TTATTTTTAAGGTTATATAACTTTATTTAAATATTTATATATTATATTAATAATATAGTTAAACTTTTAAACTGTTTATTTAAAAAGGGTATATTATTTAAAATAAATAATAAATAATAAAGCGCTTTTAAATTAATAAAAAAGTTAACCTATAAAGTATTAATATTAACCTTCTTTTAACTTAACCAATTAATTAAAATTAAAATTAATGCTTTTTAAAATATTATTAATAGAGCTATTTAATAATAATAAAAAAATAGCATTTAAAAGCTTATAAAATACTTTTTAAAAACTATATTATTAATTAAATAAACCTATTTTATATAAAATAAGGAACTATTAATTATAATTTAAACTATAAAGTATAATTATTTAAAGCTATTAAATATAAAGTTCTTTATAATAATTAACTATTAAACTTTATTATATTTTACTATTAAAAGAATCCTTTTTATAAAATAAATAAAATAGGTAAACTTTTTATTTAACTTTAATATTACCTTTTGATATTAGTTTAATTAAAAGAATGTAATAATAAATGTACTATTTTATAAAATAATTAATTTATTAATCATTAAAGCTTATAAAGTTAAAAAATATAATATAGCTTTAATCCTATTTAAAGCTTTAAAAAAGCTAATAATTATTATAAAAAAGAAAGTAATAATATTATATAACTTTAACTTAATAAACTTAATTTAATAAAAAAACGAAAAATAAAGTTTAGGATGTAAAAATTATTAATTAATTATCTTAAAGCAAACTTTTAACCTAAAGGTTTATTTTTAAACAGCTTTAATTAAAAAAGCCCACTATTTAATAATCGCTATTTACCCTAAGCAAAATAAATACATTAAAATAATTAAATAGGATTACTATTAACCCTTATTAAAATAAAATATTTAAATATATATTTATAATTATTATAATTATTAATAAAATAAAATTCCTTAAAATAAAACACTTAAACTATTATATTTATTATTAATCCTTATAATTATTTAGCATTATATTATAATTAATAAAAAGGATATACCTTTAAATAAATATAGCTATAATTATATATAAGCATTTATTAATAAATTTAACCGTTTATTAATTATAATACTTAATAAGAAAAATAATATAATAGAAAATATAATATATTAATATTATAAATATATTTATTATTTTTTAAGTTTTTTAAAGGTATAGATTTTAAATAATATAAAACCCTTTATTTTACACTTTTTAATAAAGATTAATAAATTAACCTATATTAAATATTAATATAGGAATACCCTTTACCTTTAAATATAAAGAGCTATAAAGTTTATAAATTAAAAGTTAAATTAATGGTTATACTTTTATATTAATAAATATTAAAATAATTAAAGCTCCTATTTATTTATATTAAATTTTATATAGTTATAATACTTTTTAATATTTAATTATTAATATAATATTATTAAAGGTTTTAATAGGAATTAATATAAAAAATCCTTTATTATTACTCTTATTAAATATTATTAAAAAGATAATACTTAAAAGGCTAGCTTAATAATTAATATAATAAACCTATAAGGTATAAAATGTAGTTTATAAAGTAGTAAAAGCTATATAAAAGAAATAAAAAGTATAAATAAATAAAAAGCAATACTTAATAAACTTCTATATAGGAAATAAGGTCTTTTTAAAAAAAAAAAAGCTTTATAATTAATAGCTTAACTACTTAATTGGACTTTTAATAAATTAAACCCTTTAAAATATTTAAAAAGAAAGGATATAGCTATATATTAAACCTTTTAAAGTTAATAAAAATAACCAACCTCTTTTATATAAATTAACTATATAAAGTAAGTAAAAATCTATTACTTTAATAAACTTAATTATTATTAAAACTTAAAAATATTAAAGAAGAATTAAAATAAAAAGTTAAATAGTTATTTAAGTTATAAATAATAAAATATAATAAAATGCTATAATATTAAATTGCTTAAAAAGATTATAACTTTAATAATATTTAATACTTAATAAAGAATTTTAAAAACTTATTAATTAAAATATAAAAGTTTTATAAAAGATAGCTTAATATATTAAAACTGTTTAAATAGTTAAATAAATAAATAAAAGCTATAATAATTAATAAATTTACTATTAACTACTTTAATAATAATATTGTTATATAAAATAGCATTATAATTAAAACTAAATGCTATAAATAATTCCTTAACCCATTTTATACCTATATTTTAATTTTAATAGGAAAAAGTATAATAAATATATTAAATATATATTATATTAAAATATTATATATATTATAAAGGGATATTATAAAAATATATAAAATATATATTAATAAGGTTATATAACCTATAATAGCTATTAATATATATATATCTCCACGTATACTTATATTTTAATTTTATCTTACCTTCCTTTCTTCCTTAGCTTAAAATCTTTATCTATAGCATTAATATAGCTATGCCCTAAAACCCCAATCATGATAAAGCGTATACTATAAGTTATATTATAATATTAATATATAATTATAAAGAAAACGCTATATTATTAAGGTGATTAGACTTATTTACGATTAAAGCTAAATGGGCAATTAGATCCACTCTAAATGGGCAGTTATCGGGCTGTTCCAGTTGCCTGTCATCTGTAGCGGTATTAGTTACACTGTATACCACCAAAATTAGTATGGCACGCTATGTACCACCCATGTTGTTCGATGAAGCTGAAAAAGACGCTGGAGTGCTAGATCGTGAGTTTATTGGTGGAGGCATCGTAAAATTGATGAAAAGTTGAAAGCGTGTAGAGTTGTTAATAGTAGAAGTGTTGATTGAAGGCAGAAGTGTTGAAGGTGAAGGTGTTGAAGTTAGAGGTGGGTGGGGTGGGGTGGGGTTGGTGATAGCTTCAAGTTGCGGGTGCAAGTGGGTAGGTAGGTTGTTGGGTTATTGGGTGAGTATCAGAAGGTTATGAAGGATTGTCAAGGCAAGATGTAGTTTTGGTGGGGAACTGTACATAAACTGTATAACCAGACGACAGCCAGCTGTAGCAGCCCGATAACTGCCCATTTAGCTTTGCTCTTATTTAGGGTAGCAACAGCTTCCTAGAGATGGATAGAGAGAGGATACTACGTTACAATTTGGAGTCGGGTTTTCGATGGATTAGCTCCTTCGTTGGGACGACCGTTGCTAGACGCATGTCTTCAGTCCAGGTAAAAATATATTGGACTATATTATCGCATGTCCCGATTATAGTCTATCAATATCGGTTTATTAAAGGAGCAAATATTTGGTTAATGATTATGCGCGCACTTATATGTGTGAAAATTAGCTGGGAGATATCTTCTAGTAGTACATCACCCCCCGCAGTATGTGAGCAGCTACCGGCAGTCAATGTGTATATTTCGGGTGCCAGTTATATACTCAGGCGTTGGTCGTGCCTTTGCACTACGAGGGTTGGTGTTTCGTGTTTCCTTTCCTCTTTGCTTCCATCCACCAAACACATTAATTAATATCTATTGCCAACTGGGAGAGATTCAACATGTCGTCTTCAAAGCTGGCCAGGTTTCTAGCTATGTCCCTCCTTGCGGCTTTGCCGGCAACCTCGGGGTACAACGTCCGACAAATCGTACCCGTCGTTTGCAACTGCTCGTCTAAAGAAACGCATTCTGCTAAAGTAGATGGGCTTTGCAGCGCTGCAGGCGGCGCGCCAACGTAGCTTACCTACGGGGGTGTTTGGAATCCGCTACCGCCCGGGGGAGTTATAGGGGGCATCCAATGGATGACGGTACGAATCCTTTTTGCCATCTGAAGCCTTGGTTGCTGTTTTCTCTTTGACTGTTAACATATTCACCTGTATCTTCCAGTGCTATACCTATCGTGGCCGGGAGAGTGCCGAGGAGGTTTTCACGGATGAGAACTGTCGCGCGAGATTCGGAGAGAGCTACGAGGCGGACTGCGTCGACTATCCCGACTATCCAGGAACGGAAAATACAGGGCTGGATTAAGATAGGCGGCTAATAGAGCTGTCTCAAATTGTCTTGCTTCTGCTTTAGATCAGATACCTAAGTGGTTATTTGTGGATAGGATACGAGCTGCACCAGCCATAGTCGGGCCCATTGTAACCGCTCAATGAAAGTCTATACGATGTAGCGCAATGTACCTCATACCGCAGGCTAAGTTAACAGGAGTCACTTTTGGACCCGGATTAAGCACCATTATGGGTCTACTTTTGGCTCCTATGTGTTGTTCCAAACAGGCATCAGTGGTTTAGTGGTAAAATCCATCGTTGCCATCGATGGGCCCCGTGTTCGATTCACGGCTGATGCATTCTTTTACCTCTACCCATGCCATGGGTTTATTTTCTTTTTCTCCTTTCTGATCAGTTTTCATAGCGAGAGCGGGGTTGTGTTACAAAATTGAGCTGTGTCTTTTAGATGGAAGATTGAGACAATGTCTCATTTTGAGTAAGAATGAGTGAGTGAGTGAGTGACTCAGTGCCGGACTGTGGAGTGGGGCTCTTACCTAAGGTTGTCTACCACCTGCCGCTATGGCTACCTCGACTCAACTATTATAAGATACCTACCTACCTACTCAGCAACATATATAAAATTAAAAGTGTTAAAGAAGCTTACCTATAGCTGGCTTTCTGTGATCCATTGCTCCCTGTACTCGTAGTACTTGATGCTACCGAGTAAGCTCAGAGGTGTAGCATCAAGACTCCCTCCGCCCGCAGCTCTGTCTACCATAAATACGAGAGTGGGCCCATCATCATCATCTCGAGCATTCTCAACTACGAGCGCGCCAGCAAAACGCAAACATAAAGAAGTAAGGCAGAATCCTGATCTGCAGGAATCGCGAAAGGAAATCAAGCCCCAGAAGGTTAAGGGGGGGCATAGTACCTTGACGGTTGTTGAGGAAAAAACCATTTACGATTGGTTTTCGGAATTTTGCCTCACTGAGGAGGACCACCGGGAGCTTTGGGAGCTCTCTTTGATCGAATCCGGGATGCCTAAAGAGAATAGAGGCTTCTTGATTTCTAAGGCGCTGTCGACGCTTCTGCGGCATCAGGCGGGGAATGCTGGGATCAAGCTCGATGCTGAAGGATTTGCGCGGCTGGATCAAGTTGTGAGTTTTTTTCTTTCTTTCTTTTTGGTCTTTTTCTACTTCATCGGTCACTTTTCTCTGCATATATTTTCGGCGCCTATGTCTCATTGCTATAGAACTCGTTCTCCCTTTTCCATGTCTATACCCGTCTGTAGCTGTATATTTATATCACATCTTCGTAAGGGAGGGACGAGCATGGAAAATTCAGGCACAGGTTCAGAGCGCTACGGCAAAGATGCAAGGAAAAAAAAAAACAGAAGATGCTTTTTCATACCTATTAGATAGAGAAGAGACGAAAAATGAACTAATCAACACCAAACAGCTCAAATGGCCGCGTCTCGCCAACCTCGCGCCAAGCATCACCGAGATACAAAACGAAGTAGCCGGGAACGCCAAGCAGCGCTTCAGCATGAAGCCCAACCCGGACCCGAAAGCGCAGGCCCTCGGCCAAGACGACCCAGCGCACTGGCTCATCCGCGCCAACCAGGGCCACAGCATCGCCCTCGCGTCAGAGGGTCTGCACACGCCCATCACCTTCGACAATGTGCCCCCCGTCGTCGTCCACGGGACGTACTTCGCGTTCTGGCCGTCCATCGTCAAAGCCGGCGGGCTGAAGAGAATGGGCCGCACGCACGTGCACTTCGGCACAGGCGTCCCCGGCGACGACACTACCGAGGCGACCAGCAGTAGTAATACACAGGTCCACGACGTCAGCGACGAAATTGCTGACGGCGGCAAACAACCCAAGGTTATCAGCGGCATGCGCGCCGATGCGGAATTGCTTATTTTCGTGGACGTCGAGAGGGCGTTACGCGATGCTAATGTTCTTATCCCTTCTCCTTCCACAGAACATAAGGATGAGGCAAAAACTACAGGTATACGGTGGTGGATGAGCGAGAACAACGTCGTTCTCACCGAGGGAGACGACGAAGGCGTCGTCCCGCTCAAGTACTTCAAGGAGGTGAGGGGGAGACGGCAAGGCGTCGGCGTCTTGTGGAGGGACGGCGAGAAAGTCGCTGATTTACCCGAGGGTATTGTCGCTCGGGTCCCCCAGGGGAAAGGGAGACCGAGAGGTGGGGGGAGAAGCGGACGGGGTGGAAAGGGGAGGGGAGGTGAAAGAGGGAGGGGGAGAGGTAGGTGAATGGATCGTTTTGGACAAGCGTCTTTTTAGTTGAGAATGTGCCTTGAAGAAGAATTGAGATAAGAAGGCAAAATCAGCAGAAGAGACACATTGTTTCTTTTCTCAAAATAAAAAGTGATCGCCATTCAGACTGTCTAGCTATGCTGCTCTAGTCGCTGTGTAAACGCACATTCTTCGCCGGCGTCGGGGTATGCGTTGTGAGCTTATATTAAGCCCAGACACGACGGTACCAAATCCCTCCAAAAAAAAGAACAAAAAAAACGCTGTCTGGAAAATATACTATTTACACATATTGACGCTCGCTTTCATTAAAAAGCAGACAACTTTGTCGAATAATGTCCCACCCCGTATAGTCCTCCCAGGGTAGCCTTCTCACCATTACAACCGAACCACCCTCGTTTTTCAAGAATTCGATCCGAACCAGATATCCGTCGAACTCCGTACGTTACGGGCAATTAGCTCAATGGGGCGAGCACGGTCTAGTTGGGCAACCATTTTGCTGACTGGGGTCGTAATCTTTCATGTCTAGGAGTTCGAAGTCAGAAACGGGTGGAGAATCAGAATCAGACTCAGGACCGGAGGGCTGGGGATCGGATTCGGGATTGGGTGAGACATCGTCTTGAGGACTTGGTGAGGCATCGGGTTGAGGACCGGGCGGGGAATCGAGATCAGGAATGGCTTGAGAAACGGATTGAGCATTGGATTGGGAACTAGCTTCAAGATTTTGCTGAGAAAAGACTCGATCAACGGAGTCCCAAGTAATTTCACCAGGGGGGCGAGAAACATATTGATCAATGTATAAGTCACTAAGTCCACAAGCCGTGTGAGAAGTTAATCGAGCATTGGCTAGTTCCCTAGCGTATTGCTGGTGCCCGAGTTGGATATCGCGGACATGTTGGGACTGCGGCAATAGGCTTGGTGTTGTAAGACGGCCATGGGGATCGATGGAGGATTGATGGACTTGAGGACCGCGAACATTTGGTGCTGACGAGGGCAGGCTCATCAAATTGTGGCTCGGCTGCTGGTTCCTCAAGAAGGCCTGGTTCTGCTCAGCCCGGATTCTCTTCTCTTCGACTAGAACGGCTCGCAATTTCTCGACGACAGTATCCCTGGCGATATTCTTATTGGGCATTCTTACAGCGACGCGCGCAGCGAGGATGTGCTGGGGCATCAGATCTTCGCCGGGGCCGAAATCCGCACGACACCACCAGAGATCATTCCCGTCGTGCGGTTTGATGGTGTACTTTGGACCATGAAAGCCCAGTTCTTGGCAAAGGGCCGCTACCTCATCCTTCGCCTTAGATGGAGATTTCTCTGGAGATGGAGAGCCCAGAGTGGCAGTAGTGGGACGATAAGGCCGCTGGGTATTTTTTGGGAACTTAACCCCGTCTTCTGGCATCCATCCCTCTGCCCGGAGCCATTTGACGGCACATTCTGCGGCGTAGTGTTTCGCCTCTCTCTTGCGTAAGAAGAACCTTATATCAGCCTCACGCGGAAGGGTGCCGCCTGGGTCCTCGGGAAGCGTAACATCACACGTCCAATATTCCTCTTTGTCATCGGGCTTTACAGTGTAATAGGAAAAGACGGCTTGCTGGCCAGTGCGATGATACACGGCACCATACTCTGCAGAGTAAAGTTAGAGCTGCAATGAATGATGGGGTGTCAACTAGTATGAACCTGCCTGAAATCAATCCAATCCAGTTACAGCTTCCCCAGTTATGGCTTTCTGCCTCAACCGCTAGCACACTCGTTGGCATCTGTGCAGCCATGGTAGACTACGATTCAAGAAATACGAACGAAGGATATTGAATTAAGAAGTCTGGAGATTACTGAGCTGTGCTCGTGAATGTCCAAAAGGATAATGGTATGGCTGTTGGTTCATCTGGGATGAAGAGAACCGGTCAAGATTCGTATGGGTGTAGGTGGAAGTGAGGACGGTGGGGGGTTAAAGTAAAGGGTCATGAAGAACAATCACCGCAACAGAACCTTGACCTGTCACATTAAGGTACGAAGGGACGCGTTCCCCGGATGCCCATAAATCCAATCTAGGTAGGCACTGAAGAGGCTGAGGCCCAAAAAGAGCCTTACATAAGAAGGTACGTATGATGGCATGCTCCAAAGGTTGGCAGTAGAGGTAGGCTTTGCGCACACAATAGGTATCGGGCATCTATCTGATTGGAGGAAGCACCAAGCCACGCAACCAATTCGGATAATTTCAGGTAATGGAGTTCACATCCTAGGTTGTGTGTCGAAAATCGACAACCTACAAATACGTGCAACAGCAACTTTGACAAGCGTGTTTGCGTGGTTTGGAAGTAGACAGCGATCCTATGGACCATCAATCTCAGTTTGCCACACAAATCAATTCTCACTTTTCGAACTGTTCAGCTTTCACGCAGGCACATCAATATCTAAAGGATACAACTTTCACAGCAACACGAATCTATCTATGAAGTCATTCGGGGTATCATTGGCTATTGTCAGGTCGCGGTACCTGCAATCTGGGTTTGTCGTTCCGTCTTTCCCTTTTGCTTTCTTGCCGCTACTTTGGGTGTTACATAATTGCTCATTAACCTTCCTCAAAAAAGCCACCGTCGCTATCATCATCGTTACTGTGATCTAAAGGTCCTAAACCTTGTGGGTGCTTGCCTTTGCCCTTGGTGAAGCCTTCCGACTCTGGTGCAGAGAAGGTTTTACTCTTAGGTTGAGGATGCGTCGATGGCCGTTCTTGTGGCGATTTACTCCTCGAGTCTCCTGTTGACTTTCGCTCCTGAATCTGCACTAGTGCCGAATGGCCTTTCTTGGCCGTTTTCTCTATTACACTCCATAATGGCGGTCTTTCCGTTCGTAACGACCGCGCGGCCGTGCTCGCATCTTCTGTTTTGGCCCCCTCTTCGCCTTCCGCATTGCTCGATGAGACTGGGTACAGACTGACGTAGCGCTCTCGGTGGGGAAAGTATCTTGCGTAGAGGGAATCTACCTCAGCGGTATGTAAGTCGGCTTGAAGCTTCTTCCTCTCTTCTTCGTCTGTTGTAGCTTCGAGCTGCGTCCGGATTTGCTTTGCAAGTCGGTCTGCCTTTTTCCGCTCTAGAAATCGTACATTTTGTAAATAGGTCGTTCCAATAGCATAGCGACAGCGCGCGCGCGCTAAATCATGACTCACCAAAGAACCGAACCATGTGGTATTTCTTGATCATGGCGCCCCTCTTCTTCCCATCGGCGAGATCGTTCAGCTTCCGTTTGTGATGGTCCAGCTCCTTCTCGAGTTCATGCTGTACATTGGCAGGCAAGCTATCCTTGCGATTCAGTCGCCGTTCTATTGTCCTCGCTCGTTTCTTGAGCCAGTTGATGCTGGTAGGTTTGTCCCCAGCGGTATCTCTCCTTCTCTTATGCTTCGATGCTTGGTAGCTGGATGTACGTTCGCGCGACTCGCCAGCGACCGAGTGCCCGGCGCTGAATTCGGAATATTTCCTCTTTGAGCTCATCTTGGTGCTATATTGTGTCTCGCGTCGGTGACTCTGTTGTTAATTACTAAGTGATTCGAAGCACGTAGGTTGGGCATGTAGATATTGAAGAAATAGAGATAACTACCTAACTACCCCTTCATGCATTTTTTTTTGGAGCTGAGTAGGGGACCTGACTACCTACTGAAAGGGATCTGTGATTGGGTTGAAAGGCGGTATTTATGGGTCTACTACTATAAGTTGGTACCTGTACCTAACACCACTAAGCACTGCCTAGGTACGCCTAGATAGGTAGGCTGAGCTAGAGGGTCTCGAGAGCATCTCACATCTCATCTCATCGACTCGTCACTGTAACTAAATAAGAAAGCTGTTGCAAGACGCTGGTGGTTGATACCGTCTTCAATATCGCATCGGCATTCAGCGCAGTGAAAACTCGTGTTTGGTGTCTTTTCATTCATTCATCAAACAGAGCACCCCAGGAATCAATATAGTTACACGATGGATTGCCACCAAATCTCTTGAGACCTCTTGAGACGGGATCTAGCCACCAACGCTGTCGCGCATGAGTATGAGTTGTCAAGAAGTCCCGGGTTACCTGCGTTTTGACGACTCATTGCTCATCGCAACAAAACTACAGATGACTGTCTCAATTAATATAGTGTGAGATAACACAGCATTGGCCGAACAGCCACATCAGCCGCTGGTATGGCCCAATATTCCAACTCCAAGCTCCTTGACCGGCCCGAACCTGGCCTCATCAAGTGGTCCCCGAACCCGGCTGATGACAGCTTCCTGCATGTCAACCTGCAACACCGCGTCGTTCAGCTGTATAAGCCTACCGGTCATGCTCGTCGTGGCAAGTTCGACTATGAAAGGATTGCCAAACTTGATGATATTCCTCCTCTGAGCACCTATGACTGGTCGCCCCGCTACCCCGGCCTGGTCGCCATTGGAACTGCCTCGGGTACAATCAACATCCTCAATCTCAATGACACGACCAACCACTACCTAGAGCAGAGGTTGAAGTTCACTCGCTTTTGTCAGGCCATCGCCTTCAACACGGGGACTCTACTAGCCGTTGGTCTGGAGCGCGTGCGAAATGACCAGTGCCTCCAGATCTGGGATGTTAACCGTCTCGCTGATATCAAGCCAAATACGTCATGGCCGTCGTTGGATGGGTCAATTCTAGGTGACGCGGTACATCGCTTCGAGCCTGCCACTACCGTGTCTAGCACCAAGTTCTTTGAGGATAGCCCACAGACACTGGTTGTTGGAATCAAGAACCAGGGTATACGGATCTACGATCTCAGAGGTACTTATACTATCCGTCCGACGCTGTATTTCCTAGGCTGACGAAAAGAGACCCAAATGGTGCTGTTGTCAACTACCAGACCAAGTGTAACAATAATATAGCCATCGACTATGTGGATTGCAACTACTTTGCTTCTTCGTCGTTAGACCGCCCCGGTATCGTTATATGGGACCGTCGGGCGACCTCTTCGAGACATACATCTTCACCCTCCTATCTCGATGCCGTAGATACAAGTGGTTTGCCTTGGGGTGCCGCGCTCAGCTTGGATAGGGCAATCGACATAAATCCGGGTAATGCTCCTGACAGGGGCTCTCTCATTCGTTCGATCCGTTTCTGCCGAGACCGTCGTGGCTTGTTAGCTGTACTCTCTCGAACAGGGCAACTACGTGTTCTTGAAACTACAAAGGAGTTCGTGTCTATGGACCATCAATACGAGAAAAGTCCAGAGCTTCTAGAGGCAAGAAGTTCATATGAGCTGGATATGAGTTTTACCAAAGGAAATCGAAAACAGGATCACATCGTATCCTTTGATTGGGTCACGCTCAACTCATCTACGTTGACGCCTCGAGCACTGGTCTTACGTGCTAGCGGGGCCTACGAGATCTTGGAGAAGCCATCTCATACTTCAGATCACATATATAAAATGGTGCCATGGCAAGCGCCATACCGTGGACTTCAAGGTACGCTACTTACACTACATCTCACAGCACAGCACATGCTGACAACCGGAAAGAGGGTACTAGTTACCATAGTCTGATGCAATTCGATAAAACCCAGTATTCAGAGGTGATGGGATCGCTCCTTATTGATGATGCAGTGAAATATGCCCCGCTTTTCGGCAGTGAAAAGGAGGCAATTGCAACAATTGTTTCACAGGTCTTAGAGTCACACCCTCCCGACATAGATACTGTCGTGGATTTTGAAGCGAACGACGGTCTACCAGAATCATACCATGACGCAACCACAACAGCGGCGAAGATTCTCGCCTTAAGGAAATATGCGCAAAAGGCTTACCCATCTCAGGAATCGTCAAATAATAATAGGTATTCGGCGACGACGGGGGAGGTCCAAGATAAAACGCCATCGGATACTACAGGGGGTGGACCTGGGCTAGTATCGAACCGACAGGCACATGAAAATCTTTTAACAACGACACTTAATACAAAGGGATTTTCGAAAACGGCACAGGTTGTTCTTGATCATATCATGCTGCTTCGCTCTCAAGAAAAGTACTTATTTGATTACCAAGCTAATATTAATATCACTGCTGATGACCCATGGTTAAAGGACTTGTGGCTTTGGGTAGCCAGTACGTATCATTTGTCTCGCAATGCGAATAACAACTGACGCATTTTTTTAGGGGCCTCAAATGCAGCTTACGATGATGCCATGGTATCTCAAGGGGTCGATTACAGCTTTCTAGGTGTTATACCAATATGGACTAAAGATCTGGGTTAGTCATGCGTATTTGATATTTGGGACCACGCACTAAACATTCAATTTAGGTCGTCAAGGAACGTTTCGCCTAGCTCACGGATCGGCACTTCCGGATGATGCGGCGTGGGACCGTGGTCTACAAAGATTATCAAACACTAAGACTGGAGATTTAAGTTTTGACAAGCTCGAGACGAAGAAACCGGGCCGTAGGGAAGCGGCAATGCGTGTTTGTGAGTGGGGAAAGGCATCTATAGATTCGGAGTGGAGTGACTACATGAGGATTCCTGCATCCGAAAAGACATCCTCGTCATTCACAAAAGGAGCCGCCCGCGCACTTTTTGAAGGTGACATCACAGAAGCGGTCAAAATTCTCAAGGCAGCCAGTTCGGAGTACCCGGAACTCCTATTTGTCTCTCTCGCCCTCCAGCTAATGAAAAGGGGAGACAACAGTATGGCCAAGGAGCAGCTAGACTTCGATGATGCCGTCGCCTCGAAGACAGATCCATATCTCCGGGCCATTTCATCACTGATCGCAACTAACAATTGGGAAACCATCGCAAACCAGGAGTCGCTACCGTTGCGTGAACGTACTTACATAGCGCTCCGCAATTTCGACGATGACAAGCTAACAGAGTGGCTCGACAACGAGCTCAAGAAAGCCATCGAAACAGGCGACATCGAAGGGATAGTGCTAACCGGGATAACGGACAATCTAGTCGACATCTTCGCCAAATACATCGAGAAATTCAACGACATCCAAACCGCCACGCTAGTCCTATCCATCTGCTCCCCGCGATACATCAACGACTACCGCTGCACAGTCTGGCGCAACGCCTACAGGGCGTATCTCCAGCGTCACAAAGCATTCCTCCAGCGCACGAAGTTCGAAGTCGAAAGCACCAAGAAGAGCAAGCGCGGCGGCGTCCCCACCATCACACCCCCATCCCGCCAGATCGCGCTGCGCTGCGTCTACTGCGACGCCGAGTACGAACTCACCTCCAAAGCCGGCGGCCCCTCTTCTCACAACACCGCCCCGTCGACGCCGGCGCAACCCCAGACGCATAACATCAACCCCCTGATGGCCACGAGCATCAACGCGGGCGTCAGCTGTCCGAACTGCGGCCGCCATCTCCCGCGGTGCGTCGTGTGTCTCGAGACCGTCGGCATCCCGCGCTCGGACCGCCCCGAGCTCTCGGCGGACCCGCAGGTCCGGCTCGCGGCCAAGTTCCCGACCTTCTGCCTCAAGTGCGACCACGTTCTGCATCTGGACCACGCGCGGCAGTGGTTCGCGAGACACGCCGAGTGTCCTGTCCCCGAGTGTCGGTGTCGGTGTAATTTCAGGGCGAATCCAGAATTGAGTTATCGATAGATACCTAGATGAGGGATTTAGTCCACGGGGGTTTATGTTATCTTATGTTCATCACGAAAGAGGAAGTTGATAGCGAAATGCGACTCCGTATCTCGTTGTGAGACAGATATTTCCAAATTAGATGTATCCGTTCCCATCGCCCTTGGCAATATTACTAGCTTTCGTAAACAACATTATCTACTTAAGAAGTATGATTCGCGCGCGTCTCTATCTGTGAGGGTATTCTAGTAATTTCAATCTTGTGCTCCAGTAGCTTGCCTGCCTTCCATTGCATCATGAGTCATGATATATACACAACGTATCTAAAGAACCGGGTTACCAAGATGCATTATGCAACGCCGCATGACACCCTTCTTACTAACGCAAAAACAGTAAACAAGGTTCAATCATTCATCCACGGCACCCCATCTACAAAGCCAGCATTTTCCAAGGCGGCACCTCCTCCGTCCTCCTACGCCGCGAACCCGCTTCTCCCTCACTATTCATCCGGTCTTCCATATTCCCCATCCAATCCTCTTCAGCGGCGAGGGCATCAGCCTCAATCTGCTCCATGATCTGCAGTTCGGCGAGCATATCATGTACCAAGCTCTTGCATCCCCTTAACGTGCGTGCAAGGCCAGAAAGGGACTTACTAATCCCTTCCCCCCCATCTTCACTCTCGACATCACCGAGCTGAACAAGCGTCCTCCGCCATCCCTCGAGCACCCGCACAAGACCCGCGTGATCGCGCTTCCACGCGCTGGCATCTAAATCGCTGACAAAAATCCCGACGTCTTCTTCTCTTCCGCCGCTGCGCGCCAATAGGCCCTCTAGATCCCCGCCCCGCTGCGCGGCGCGGATCTCAGAGACCCGGAGCGTCCAGTCCTCGAAGGCGCGCACCGTCCGCTGGTACCGGCCACCTGGCTCACCGAGGGCCCAGGCGCCGTTCAGCACTTGGTCTAGGAGGCGGATTTTCTCGTCTAGTGGTAGACCGCCTGTGCTGCTTATCCTTCTGTACCCTTTTTGCGGAGAATTGGGACCGGCTTCGCCCCAGCGAATCAAGTCCTGTATTCCCCTTTCTTCGGCACCGTCGCGCTCGAGGGCACGCAGTGCCTCGTCTGCGATTACTAGCTTTTGGAAGCGCGCGCCGAGCTTGGATCTGGCGCTGGCGTGCCAGGATTCTGTGACGGCGTGGGCTTCGCGGTGTAAGAGGGAGAGTTGGAGGAGCTCTGTCTGTAGACGGCTTGTTTCTGCTGTTAAGGCGACGTTTACTGGCTGCTTGGATGGTGAGGCCGGTGCTAGGAAGGTTGATGTTAAGGGTTTCGGGGCAGAGGATTTGGCGGGGCTGTAATGTTGTTGGTTTGTGTTAAATGCCGGCCGTCGTGCTGCGAGGGTTGAGGCTGTGGTTGATGATTGTGAGCCCACGCGTGCGTGTTGCGTTTGTGAGCGCGTTTGTGTCCGTGTTGACGTCGTTGTCGTCGTCTGGGTGCTTGTGCTAGTAGATGAGGCGGTAGAGGGTGCTGGGCTCGGATTCGACCTCGAGGGAACGCGAGACACTGGCCGTAGTGTTGTCGCGGAGGTAAGGGATGTGACAGTCGATTTTGCCCTAGAATGTCCCAGATGTCGCTCGCGTGGAGGATTTTTGGAGGGGAGACCTGCTGAAGATCTCGGTCTAGCGGTACTAATGGATCGACCTATGCCACCGGAGGATGCCGTCGTCGTTGTCGTGGACGGTGGCTGGCGGACTGACTGAGCTCTGACGACGGGCTTATTATTTGATGAGGTTGTCGGACCAGTCGCCCTCGATGGCGCTTTGGCAGATGAGCCTCCAGAAACCTGCCTTGAGGTTGAGCTGGTAGGTGCTCTCGCGCGTGTCAAGGTTGTTGAAGACGAAGCGGTCGTCGAGGAGGTGGTTGATCGCGTGGTTGGGGGCCTCATAGGTAACCGACTTGGCGACGCGTTCCTCGCATCATTGCGGCCCACGGCGGGCTTACTTGTCGAATCATTACCATTGGCTGCCGTATTTCGAACCGAGCGTGTTCGACTGAGTCCAGTTGTTGAGGACATGGTTCATTGCAGGGAGTTTTCGAGGCTGGAAAATGTTCCAGTTTATATGGGTGTAAGGTATGTCTAAGTACTGACTAAGCTGGGGGAAGCGACAGTGAGTGTACCAGACTGAGCTCCACATGCCGTCTGCACCCCTGGGCTAAGCTTGATTCTAGAGCACTGCTAGACCGGCGCTGGTACCCACTGGCATGCCGATATAGTGGAGCCTCTAGCGGTAAGTGCCGGCCGGTAGCGTGTCTTAGCACTTCAGCCTCTCTACGATGATGGGCTAGGTATAGTTTTCTAGATGAAAAGCCATCCTCGGGCGAACTCTTCGCTCAATCAATACTACATGTACGCTAGGATATAAAGCATTTGAATAAAACGCCAAATCTTTATTACGAAGTGGTACAGCCTACGCTTACCGGCAGACCTGGACTAATCCTACATACGAGCCTTTCTATATCCTAACAGCTGTCTGGACTTCGTCTTCGACTCGGGAGCGGAAATGCAGCTGATCCAGATGGAACCAAACGTCGAAAAGAAGCCAGTGGCTCTCCCACTCATCTGTTTCTAGAAAATTGTATATATGTGTGCATGGATAGCGACCTAGCAATCTCATCGGGGAGTATGCGTGCTTACCCGCCCCAGCATCACCAAAGATTTGCCTAACGAACTGCAGTTGGACCTACGCAGTAGGTGTGGTCGACCCCGATTTTGAGTGACCGTAGGCATGGTACATTGTTCACTTTCGTTACCTACCTAGTTGACAAATGTAATCAATCTAATTGACTAATTGTGAGTTTTACGGTGCTACCCCGCGCGGGGGGACAAGCCATTCAGTTCTGAATAAGTACTTTCATTGATTGATAAAGAGCAAATCCCACGCATGAGGCACCCACCAGCTAGGTAGGCAACCTTTTGGATGGTGTGTAGGTTGGGACCCAATGAAATAGTGGCATGTCTTCAATGCGGTAAGAATCGATCTACCCTGCCTCAAAAGTACGAATTGTAGGCCAATCAGTGGGATATACCGCGCAATGCTGTCTCGTATGAGCCTGCATTTTACTGATGGGTGGCTGGCTGGCTGACGACTGTGTTGGCATTTTTGACAAGGCCGCATACACCGGATTATGACCAAATGGAGGTCTAACAGCGCCACATATATGCAATATTGATTCTTCCAACGCCCGGCCTGGCTCCTTGTGCAATCTGAACACAGACATACTCTTCATAACAGTTTGATTTTTAGAACTTCAGCAAAGATTGTATAATGCCGCAAGATGTACGTATACCACTCCTCGTGGTTCCATAGACTCACATAATTCTAGAACGCCAGAATTGCCCATGCCTTTGTTATCCGCAGGCCATTGAAGGGTAGTCCAATCCAGGCGGACCTTGCAGCCCACTCTGCAGTTCTTCTCATAGATGAGAATGGGAAAGCCCTCATTGCAGAACGTCTAGGTAGCCCACACGGAAGCGGTGAGCAAAGCACATCTATTGCATCAAGAATTAACCATGTAAGATGTATTAGTATATCTAGCAACGTAGACTAAGTATGTGATCTTTACCAGACTTCCGCGATGTGAGCTACGAAATTATTCAAACGAATCGCATGCGAAAATATGAGAAGATAGTAACAGATGATGGACAAGTGTGGTCAAAACAGCTCATCGGGAACAAGGTCCCAAGGATTGTAACAAGAGGCCAGGTAAACGAATTCATAGCTGAGCTTAGTCACGCCACAGTTTACAACTTCCGCACCTCGAACTGCCACCAAGCGCAGGAGGAACTCAGAAGGTGGCTCGGCTTGGAAATCCCGGCACCGAGACGTCTAACTGCGCTCACAATGATGCTCACGCCATCAACCAGGGATTCCACTCACCAGCCTCCAGGTGAGCCTATCGAATGATACATCATACTAGGTGTAGAACTTACTGCTTCGCAGGCGTTGGCCTCGGCCTCAAGACCCTGCCTCACGCGGCAGGAGATGAGATAAATTCTGCTCTGAACGCCCACGTTGGTGTCCCCCAAGGGGAATGCTCTAGAAGGGTATCTCCTTACCACGCATGGGGGAATCTACAAACACCAAATTTCTTATCAGAGCGTAGCATTCTAAGCGGACAAAACTTGATCATGCCGCAGCCAGACCTTTCCTACCTAGATCTTGCAGGTTATACATCAGCCCAAGCCGCTCAAGGGCGTATCGAAGTTCCCGCGCGAGGACCGACTCGGTCGGATCTTTCCTACCTTGATCTGCCAATCGACACATCCGCTCGCCACCATGTGCCCAACTCGAGCGCCAGTCCCAGCCTTGATCAGAGCAACACGAATTCAATTCCTAGGCTCGCGCCTGGACATATGAACATGGTCGCAGGTGCCGTTTCTGATCTGAAAGAAGGCTCCTGGGATGAGGCGAGGGTGGCAAGGGTCATCGGTGTGACTGTAGCTGGTGCTGGTCTGTACGCAGCGACGGGAGGCGCTGTTTTGGCAGTTCCTACTGCAACCGGCGTAGCTGCTGGGGTGTCAATGGCGTTAGGACCGGCGGGACTTGTAATGGCCGGACTCTTTGCTGTCTTTGGGATTCTCGGCAGCTGAGGAAGATTTGGATTAGATGAATTGGAGGGTTAGAAAGATAAATACACTGACATAGTATCAAAGTCCAATGCTGTCGAACGCAGGGTGGTAGTCAGTGACTGTGCGCGGGGTTTCAACTCGTAATAAGTAAAGGAAATGGTCATACGCAGGGATTTAAAAGGGGCGCCTGTGGTCATTTGTATAGATACAATTACCTAGCCGTCTATAAAGCTCAGTTTCCCCCTTCTCTTGACAAGAGAAGCGTTTCTCTAGCTGTGATGAGCACGGTGTTCAACTTGAGATAAAGCCACAAGCTTGTGCGAGTCTCTCCGCGTGGCGTGGCGGGCAATGAGACTAAACGCAACCCAAAGCAGTCATAAAATGCACCATTGCTGATGCGCAATCCACTAGATGAGTAAGATATGGCGTTCCGGAGAAAGGGTATCTAGGTAGGGTCTCCGCCTTGTCGGGTCTGATATTGCTATTCAAGTTAGCTAGATGCTACATGTAATACCTAGTGACATGTAGTGAAAGTGACTCCGTTCAGTATACAATGTTCTATAAATGGCTGCAGGGCCCAAATGGTTTATTTAGATCCCTTCTATAGCATTATGCTATGTAGTATACATATGTGTAGCAGAAACAGTGGGCTATAGTAACAAGTACCTAGTGCGACAGAAACAACTATCACCAACACGAAGATAGAGGTATATACTTCTCAAACGGTACTGAGTGTTTTCTGTCTCGGTTTGACATGAACAGTGATTTTACTAAGGTAATGGTTATTCAATACCTATCTTTACTAGGTACTTAGGTGGGTGCCGAGGGTGCTTATACTGGAACGTGGTAATCAATACGGTAAAATTGCAGTTGCGTTTTCGCTTTCTGTTGCATTATTCATGTGCTTACGAGACAATCGTTTGTTTCAATGGACTACAACCCTACTCCATTGTATCTGCTTACAGGTAGCCATCTAAAAGATCGGAGAACACCTACATGCAGGTAAGCAACAATATTGAAACGCAAGTCTTCCCTTCGGTAAATGAATTTCGTATTAAAAGATAAATGATAAGCTTTAAGTACAAGCTGACCGCCCATTCTCTGTGCCATTCTGTTCTGCTCTTTGAACCTTTCCAACCCCACGCACAGTCAGGCTTCTCAACAATCAGCAAGCAATCCTTAACTCTGGACCCCCTCAAACCCCTTACCATCTAAATGGGAACAGCTGAACAATGGCTGGAACAGATATAGGTATGACAACACATGTCTTGTTCCCTGAATTGTGTTAGTGGTGAGAATCCTCATGAATAACCCTGGTTTTTACTATAGACGACAACGCAGCCCCGCCTATCCCAACCATGGCTCAACATGGCGATGCCACACTGCAAGGAGGAGGAGGAGTAATAAACGAACATGATAGAGAACAATTTTTCAGTTATATATTGGAAGGAGATCTGGAAAAAATTGAATCGATCTTGAATGAGTCGACTCCTAAAGACATAGCAAATGCCTATGTTACTGCAACAGACCCATCTAAGCGCACTGCCCTCCACCACGCTACTATGTGGATACAAGGGGACGGATACCCTCTCATAGTAGCAAAACTTATTGAATATGCCAAAAAAAAACAAGAATATGTGGCTAGGGCAGATTCAGATGAGCAAACTGCTCTTCATTACGCAGCTTATACGGGAAATATCGAGGTCGTGAAGGAACTTATCAATACGGCCGGGAACAGTGATGCCACATATAAGTATATCACTGAGCAGGACAATCAAAAGAGAACTGCTCTTCATTACGCTGCTTATGGGGGAAACATTGAAGTTGTGAAGGAACTTATCAATACAGCCGGGAACAGTGATGCCACAGATAAGTATATCACTGCGCAGAACAGTAAAGGGCAAACTGCTCTTCATTGCGCAGCTTATAATGGAAATACTGAGGTGGTGAAGCAACTTATCAATACGGCCGGGAACAATGATGCCACAGATAAGTATATCACTGCGCGGGACAATGAAGGGCAAACTGCTCTTCATTGCGCAGCTTATAATGGAAATACTGAGGTGGTGAAGCAACTTATCAATACGGCCGGGAACAATGATGCCACATATAAGTATATCACTGCGCGGGACAATGAAGGGCGAACTGCTCTTCATTACGCAGCACAGAAAGGATGCCTTGAGGTTGTGGAAACGCTCATCAGCATATCTCCTAATACTTGCCTCGAAATGCAGTGTAATCGCAGCTGGACTCCTCTTCATTATGCATGTCACTATGGTAGTGGCAATATCGCTTACTTTCTCTTACTTAAAGGCACAAATCCAAAAATTGAGGATAGGAACAAAGAGACTGCTTGGGATAAAGCAGTAATAGCAGAGACATTGGAGGCCATCTCTGCTCTCATTCTTCATGAAAGCAGCTTCAGTTGTCCATCGGAAGAAATTCTGGACCGTAAGAATGTAAGAATACTCAGTTCCCGCGCAAATAATACATCAAAAGTAACTAACCTATGCTTTAAGCAAATGATCGGAGTTTATGTATGTGGCTATACACATTAATTAGCAACTAAATTTCAAGTTACTAACCATTATGCTAGATACAGCTATGCTTCAATGTTCAAAGATTACAAGGCAAGCTGGTACCTCACAACCAAATCGAAACGAGCGAAACCATTGGAATTATGACCGAACTTATAAGTCGAATTAAGCATGATTTCCATTACAATCAGGAGGCATACCCACGTCTTCGATCACGAGAGCCCTCCTGTATTTTTCAGCAGCTGGAATACTCCTGCCATGAAGGCCACCAGTCATTTGACTTTGTTTCGCTTGTGGTACGATGGACACAACCAAGCCCAATCTAGAAGGAAGAATTGACTGTTCTAGGTGCCTTTTATTCAAGTCTACAATTGGGCAGTCATTGAGGCACGCATGGAGGACCCTACAAATGAGTACCTGCACGCCTGTGTTGGCAAGAGTCACGACTTTATCAAGGGCAGTATGCCACTTACTCTGGACGAGTACTGTAGTCCTGCGTTGTCTCATAACGTTCTTAAGGACCGCAATTGGGATCAAGTGCTAGGTCGTTATGAGAGCTCTAAGAAGGAAAGGAATAATTTGACGCAGACGCCAACCCGTCCTAAAAGGGATGCTTCAGCGTTACTGAGTGACCTATGGAGACTGATGGGAACATGCTTGAGAAAGCTGAGTGGTCAACAACCTACCAAAGTAGCAGCCAAGCGTACCCCACCGGATCATGCGGTGTTCGTCCGCCAAGCTTGGATTTGGAAGGTTGGCGACGAGATCATAATCAACCCTCCCGAGCTACCTCTAGAGCTAATTGAAAACGGTCTGCTGGCATCGCAATTCCCTCCTTGGCCAGACGACCCATTCGGCTCCCTTACGAATATTTTGCATATAATCGTAAAGTCTCTCGGCGACCCTATATACACGATAGACAACCCTTTATTACCCACGACAAACGAGCCACTCCTCAAGACATATGAGAATGCATTATCTCTTATCTCAGAAAATGTGAACCAGTATGTGAAGAAAGCCCGCATTGAGGATATTGATCTCGAAAAAGAGAAACAGCTCTTTCACGAGATTAGCGATCTTCAATCAGAACTATCTATGATCAAATCGGTGCTTGCTGAGCAGGAGGAAGTATGGAACGAATATCTGGGTCTTGTATTGCCAAAGGCAGCATCCGCGGACGATCAACCATGTACCAGATCTAAAGAAACCGCAATTGCAGAGCATTCCCGATGGCCTCAGCAACACACCAGACTTGGAAAGATTGAGAAATCGCGACTGCAGCCGTCAAAAACTCAAGAATCGAAGACCAAAGATACCGTGAGCCTTAAGGCCACGTTTGACAAATACCGACGGCGAATTACAAAACTTGAGCAAGATGCAGAGAGAGTCGAGCAAGATATTCAGATTCAGCTGGATCTAAAGCAAAAGCATGCGACCATGAAGGAAGCTCATTCATTAGCTGTGCTAAGCGCGACGATCTTTGGCTTTACTATTATCACGGTCATTTTCGCTCCTCTGTCATTTATCGTTGCGCTTTTTGCGCTCCCTATAGACAAATTCAATGAAGGGAAGGTTGGGAATGATAAGGACGGAGTATATTCATCCATTTACGTTGGCAAATGGAGCGGTAAGTATACAGTTTACTCATACGTTAACCTATAGCTAATAGTAACATCAGTGGCTACCGAATTTGTCTCGATTTCTGTTACCTTAATAGCAATGTGGGCTGCACTACGGTTTACAGGCCTCCATGTCTGGGGAAAGAAAGGACTGCGAGAATACATCAGACAAAAGGCTGATGAAGCCCGTATGACAGAGTCGACAGATGGGGAGCCACGAAAGCCCGATACCGAGATGGGAATGAGTACGACGACGTAGTAAGTATATGTGCTGAGGGTACTGAAGAAGTAGGCGAAAGGATATCAACAATCAGTTTGGGATCCCAGAGTTTACCTCGTTTATTAAATATAAAGTTCATGATGGCCTCACGCAAGCACTTAAGGAGAGACGCGCACAAACTTTTCGTGAATGAGGTTCTTTTCTTGAAATTCTACTCTGTTGCTTAGCGATCATTACGTTTACCAATCCTAGCAGTTATTAAATGTTTATTGATGTGCTTATTTTATACTATCCAATGCAGTATTACTGTCATAATCAGGTATACTAGAGCATTGGGACTAAATATAACATATAAACAAATAATTAAAATGGAGAGCATCGTCTAGTCATTGCCTCTCGTACACCCCAGGTATGCATGCAGGTACGAAACCAACAGTTAAGAGCCAACAGGCAACAGCCAAGAAAAAGCTAACTGCCAATTGGTATAGCACAAGACTGAAAGAAGACACTCACAGCTAATTTGCACACTTGTCGCTTGAAATGTAATGAGAAAAGCTCTTCCATTTCTTGCAAGACGGGATCTTGTCGCACACCGTTTCATCTACCCATCTATTTACCTCCGTTATCTGTACTCATTCGGCCTCACTCTCTGGCAATCAAACGAGGGACTATTTCATCAATCTCTTTTAGTCCGTCACTCTATTGAATAGGCCGTCGTAGAAGCCGGGAACTTCTGTCGATACAACATGTATAACGTGGCGCTATCCGACCTCACCGATGATTTCTGAGGATCGCCATGGGGACCACTGCGCGTTCGGGACACTGGATTCGAGACATGGGGGTTCCTCATCTACCGTTGCACTTACGGCGACGACGAGGCGTGGAATCGCTACATGGAGGCCTTTAAGGAGTAGGTGCATAAAGCTCTGGAGCGCTATAGTCGTAATTGGCTTTTGGAACAATATGCGCAATGGATTGTCGTTAAGGACGAGGGGACCCTAAACGGCGCCTCCAAGCAATAGGTGTACGAATGCTTCGTATAGTAGCAAAACTAGTATAGTATCGAAAGAAAGCTCTTTAAGGTAAACGTTATTATAAGATAAAGTATATTTTAGATGATTTACGAAAGCCTTCGTCTGCTACACTTTATATACTATCTCTATATTAACCAGAAATGCCTTAATATGCTTAAGCAATACTTTAACACTAAAGATACTGTTGTCATGATAATCGATGGGGACTATTTATATAATGGTCGGTATATGTACCCTTATCGCCGATATCCTGAAATTAAAGGCTGTACGGATGAGTATATGGGTTGGCTGTACGTGGTGGCTGGAAGTGCAGCAAGTATATATGATACTCTTCATTATGAACGCATGGATCGAGAGGGGGATTTCGAGAGACCGCCAGCCATAAGTCCTACTGGCCTCGATTTTATGCCATGATACACAACGTAGATACCAAGTATTATATAAGACTCTGCGATAAACGCAGGAAGCAAGAGGTATAGCCCACTCCTTGGAACCGGACAGTTCATACCCTCCTATTCTTGCAAAGCGCTTGGTGCGTTCTCTTTCGACTGGGCTGCGACAGCCGAGAAGCTACATGTTGTGTTTGTTACCATGCTGCTATGAACTGACTAATCTAGCTATCGACCCCTAATATCCAAGCCACACTGTGAGACATATAGCCCTGTAACTCAGACAAGCTTAAGTCTAACTTAAACCTTCGTCCTCCTGTCTTAGACATATTCCTTCTATACGCTGCATGAACATTCCTAAGATAGCATATCGTAAATGAGCCAAAAGCAAGTAACCTTATAGCCCTGAAAGGAATCGAACCTCGCCCACTCTATACCTCATTAGTCATGGCGGCATATCTTCGAACGCGAACATTGGCCTCGAGTTCTTCATACATGTGCGAGTCGTAGGTTACTTGCTACGTACCTACGTATAGGCTACCTAGCTGTACTTATGCATCAATTTCGTCAGGAGTCAGGAGACAGAGGGACGAAGAGATACATTGTACATAGCGAGAGAAGTCTGAATACCTACCTTCAGAGTTCTGACCTTTAGACCTTGTGTCGCGATGAAAGTCTTACAGTATACCTTGTACGGCCTTTCTGACGTATTTCCACTTACACGCACGATATGTCAAGCAATAGAAATACTTAGCCCGGACTGTCAACCCGCAGGCATACCTGACTCATATCTCTCATACCTTCAGGTGACTCACCCCAGACTCCCCAAACACATACCAGAACTCCCATTTTAAATCTCACACTCTCACACATTTCACGATTCAAAGGAGCCCCAAAGTAATTAACACGTCATTGCAAGAAATATCATTGGTATTTCCATTTCCTGTCTTAAGGCTCCGCCTATTCCAGCCGAAACATGGCATACAGAATCTAGACAGTAGCACAGCACATATCATCACCTCCAAATCCAACTCCATATCCCTCCGTCTTTTCCCCTTAACATTTTATGCATGTCCCTAGGTATCATACCAGACGATTTTCCGCCTATATCCATCCGCGTATTGGTATTGGTATCGGTGTGTTATAATCGTATGTCCAACCGTAGGACATGACAATGATCAATTCCTCACTATACATCGAGTAAACTTCGAACTCCGACCGCGTTTTTACACGAACGGTGGATGTAACGCATCCAGGCCGTATCTTCCCTTTCCCTTTCCTTCGGATCGTATCATATATGCATGTCGTATTGTGTGCAATGTATTGCGCAGGTAGTGTATAGTGTGCAGTGCCAATAACCCAGATGGAGAAAAAAAAAATGCCGATCCGACAAAACATATGCCGTCATAATCATCGTTTATTTACTTCGCGTTCTGAACCTTTTCCCAGTATCAACAATTCCATCTCTCCCTAAGATCCATATGTCGAAGAGCGTATCACCGCACTTCTTGAAATCTTCGTTACCGGTCCCGGTCCACTCTAATCGTGTCGATCTGATCTGGTCCGATCCATCTATATCCATGACGAAAGAGGTATTTTCGATCACATGATCGTAATAAAAAGAGCAAATAAAAAACCGCCGTCTCCAGTAGGTGATGCCTGAATAGTAATTTGTACAGAGAATTGAAAAGTCTTTAAAAATAAGAAGATACGAGAAGAGAAGGTTTGCGAAAGGAAGCCGTAGCCTCGTACCTAGCACCCTGCTCTGGTGCGTTATGCCGTAGTATTTGTCGATAAAACATATTGAATAGTGACGCCAAACGTTTCGCCAACGACAAAACACCACAAATGTTCGAAATAGGTACCCGGAGGCTTTTATCGACCCGCTCGCTTAGGGTACTGCGCCCAATCATGCATCATGCCCTTCTCTCTCAGGATCCCCATAGTCACTCTCAAGTCCCGCCCGTTCGCGACCAGAACATCGCTGCACGGCACACAAATGCGTAGATTGCAGAAAGTGCACATGAACCGACGCTCGGCGTCAGCAATGCCACAAGTCTGACAGGCGAGCGGGTAGGTCAAATTGCGCGAGGGAAGCAGTTTATTGTGCTGCACGTGGCAGTTGTAGTGTCGTCCTTCGAGGGGATTAGCAGGCCAGACGCCGTCGACAGTGCACTGGAGCTGGCATTGCGTGTTGCGGGGGAAGCGGGCGAGCGCGTCGGCAACGGGACCTGTCACTGGTGATTGAAGAGGCGACGGTCTCTCTCCGAACGTGGCTGGCGATGATACCGCGCCTGGTGCAGCGGCCGCTCGCTCATCGCCAGGTCCGGTCGGCAGGCTGAGGAACGACGCATTTGGCGTAGCCGATACGGCTGGTAGTGGCGAGGAAAGCAAGTCCCGCAGCGAGTAAGTGTCTTTGTCGATGGGCGACAATGATTTTGAAAGTTGAGACTGAAGCTGAGAGGTAGGGCTGCTCGCGCTGATGATCCCCGGACCTTGGTGGAACCCGACGGAGGACGCAGTTGGGGCTGACGATTGACTCGGATGGGCGGCTGTGGAGCCAGATCTCGGGGTTCCTCCCGTCGGCGAAGTGGGACCATGGGGACTGCTGGGACGATGACTTTGGGGCTGTTGGGGAAGAGCTGAAGATGATGGCTGTGGTCGGGGTTGGCGTTGGCGTGGGTGAGGAAGACTGCCCGCTGGCGTGCTCGGTTGCAAGGTGCTCGGAGTCTGAGTCGAGGGATTTTGCACGACGTTGGGTGTGTTAATGCCTGGTCTGGATACTGCGCCAACCGGACGACGCGGAATCGCTGCACCTGTAGCTTTGCCGGATTCATTTACAGGTGGGACTATCGTATCTGACGAGGCGGCCGATAACGAACTTGCTTTGACAGATGCAGGTGCCGGTGCATGGTCCTGCGGCTGCATTGAGCTGGCCTTTGCAGGCGGTTCGGGCTTATAAACTGCGGTGTTACCTATTGTACGGGACTGATTCTTTGATGATGATTGTTGCGGGGACTTTTGCTTCTCGTCGCCATCTTGATCGCCATTATCCCGACGCAGAAGCCCTTTGAGCTTCTGGAACTTGCCCATCTCGTCACCTTTATCTATTGACTCGGCCTGCTTGACAGGACGGATATTCCTGCCGGGCAGAGATGCTGACCTTGGCGGTAAAGAGGTAATAGATTGTTGCTGCTGCTGCTGCTGTGTTGGTGGTGGGGGTGGTAGTCGTTGATGCTTGGGAGGTGGAGGGGGTGGTGGGAGTTTTTGTTGTTGTTGTCCTGGTTTCGCAGGTAATGCAGGAGGAGGAGGCAGTGGAGGAAGTGTAGAAGGAAGCTCCGTCTTTTTCGGAGGGGGTTGTATAGTAGAGGTTGTAGAGGTAGAGGCTGTCGAGGCCGTAGACCCGTTTGACGAGGGTAGTTTAAGCTCGGTGATGACTAGGCCAGCATCTGACCTCGACGATGCCCTCCTCCGCCAGATCTCTCGGCCTGCACGTGGGGACCCGCTTGTAAGTGAAGACGGCGGCGACAATGACGATGACCCACCTTCCCCGTCTTTAGGCCCGTCCGACGGCTGCTTACTACCTGAAGGTGTGCGTGGCCGCGACGGGTTCTTCAAGGGTGGAGGAGGCGGAAAGTTGTCTATAATTGTGTAAGACGTTATTTCACTTGCTTTATCACTAGTAGCATCGTGCGTTGTCTCTAGGCTATTTTTGGAGGGCACGGGCGGTAAGATGTCCGTGGCCTCTCGTTCTGGTGAATATGATGGTTCACTCTCTTTGGTAAAGTCACTTTCATGTGATGATCTCTGAGCCCAGTCTGACGAGCTGCGTGAATAGGCAGATAGCAGGCTTGATATCGACGACTGCCTCTTTGCCGCCTTTGTCTTGGGTTTGGGCTCTACACTGGCTGGCGGAGTGGGCAACTGTGCCACTGGTTTCCGAGCAATAGGACCAGCTTGAGCTCTGGGCCGTGGGGGTTCCGCCATAATGGGCAAAAGTGGCAGAGGTGAGTCGTAAGCTTTGGAGCGCAAACTAGGGGTGGAAATGCTCGTGGCCAGAGCAGGCTTATTCATGGGAGGTCGTGGTGCATCTGGTAAGCCGCGCAGTGTTGGTGTGGCTTTCCTATTGAACTCCTCATCGAAGTCTGGAGGGGTGGGAAGGGCTTTGGAGAAGCGCGAGCGGCCCGCCCTGGGGACCTGGAGCGAAGATATATCCATCCTACTGCGCCTGTCGGCTGACGGGGGATGGGTGTACAGGTAGTTGAAACGGCAATAAGATGACCATTAACAACTTGGGTGGTTACGTCTGTTCGGGTTGGCGGACGAGATCCCCAGGACCCGCATCTGTCCCAGGCTGTATAAATTATAAATGCGAACTCCTAGGTCTGTCCTAAGTAGGTCTGTCCTAGGCTACGTTTCGGCCGCTTAGATTTGAGAACCCAACCCATGCAGGAGGGAGGGAGGGAGAAGGTAAACTGGAGGACACAGCCCTCAAAGCGAACGGCGGAAAGGAACGTAGAAGGGCGAGAAGGGTTCCCAGGTGAGCTGCCGAGACCAAGGACTACGATACGACTTCTGAAGAGGTCATCGATGGACGCCCATGCAGGTACACGGCAGTGTATTGTAAAGTGTGTGCTGGTACTGCAGCCCGAGTTCTGCTCAGGGGACCCCAAACACTCGACAACAAGTTGACGTAGGGGGCGATGGTTGTGTTGCATATACCCCCCTGGACGATGCTCAATGGGGCCTGTTATTGGTGCATGACGTTATATATTGGCTTGGGAGGGTTTGTTAAGTATCATGAGCACCAACTCATCAATCTTGCTCGGCCGAGGTCTTTTGATTGGACGGTTGGTTTGTGTCCTCGCGGGATCATAGGCGATGTGATAATATCTAAGTAAATAGGTAGGTATGTAGGACAGAAACATTTATCAACCACTGCAATCAATACCTGTATGCGAAAGAAAGATGTGAGAAATTGATTACCACATAGATGGACTAGTTAGTATAAGTTAGGATAAGTATAACTAAGTAGAACCTTGGGCAATTCTAGCGAACTAAACCTGGGCCGAGCAAGAACATGCCAACGAACGAACGACCAGCCAAGGCTGGCTACCTCAGCAAATTATCTTGTGCTGTATCTTGGGTTGAATCTATCTACCTACTGGCTGCACGGCATGTGCGGGCCCCCCGGGTTGCGTCAAGTTCCTGTAGGAAGATGGCGCTCGGTAGGCTGAAACCATCGGCTCAACAGTGGAGTCCCTATATGGCTCTTTTAATTTCGTGACACAGTCTCTTGGCGGTTGCTCCAAGCTCATGCCCCCCTAGCTTACTACTCACTTAGTACTTACAACAACACGTGTAGGTTGCAACTGGAGAACACAGTAGGTAAACTATATATGTACATACCTATGTTCATCTCATGTTGTTGCTTCGCTTGTTTGATGAACGCAACAAGAGAGCCGCCGTGAACTGTGTTCCAACATTGCCATGGTTTGATTGCAAACGCCACTCCCATTCACAGCCACTATAACCACGTCAGTTAAGATGGCAAAACGCGTCATAAGAGGCGCGTCGGTCACCGGCATAAGACGAATATGGCAGTGTTCAAGTATCTAGGGCGAAGTCCAGGGGTAAATGGCATCTTTGACGGTACTTAGTAGCTGGTGTCATTTTCCCCCTCTGCTCAACTGAGAAAGATCATAGAGCACTCGTTAAGAATTAAAAACTTTTTCAATATCTACCCTTTTCCCCCATTATCATTTCTTTTAATGCGCATCGGACATACTTACATAAGTACGGATCTGTACGGAGCACATCGCAGACATAGTGCGCACTAACTACACCAGAGCTCGCATCACCTACCCGTGTCAGTAAGGTTAGTGTGCACTACATTGTACCTAATGCTTCCCACCAACATCCCACCCCACGTTGTAGCGACATGTTAATCCTTGTCCGAGGCAAATGAGAGGAGAAGGGAATCGTGCGTTTCGAAACCTTTGGGAACCTATCAAAAGTCGCGACCAGGGGGGTTTTGGCGGAAAATCCGTCATGCAGTGCCCACCATGAGGAAAGTCGGGAGACTCGGAAGCTGGAAATCTCCGCGTTGCTGTCCCCGAAGATTACCCTCACGTTCAGAATTGCTTCGGATTTCGCGGGCTCTACTTAACCCATCTAACCTAGGTAGATTAGTGTAGTATATATCTATACTTACAGATACACTTGAACACCCTCCAGCTCTGTCTCTATTCGAACTCTGCAACAATGATCTGCCGTGCAAGCTTGCGGTTGCGAGCAGCTTTCATTCCGCGAACCCGGTTCGCAGTGGCAGTTGTTTCGATATGGCCATGTAGGTGGGTAGTACATTGAAGTGAAAGCAGCCAGGCCGCCATGCAATATTTGCTGCAGTCATCGAAAGCGGTAATAGGTAGATGACAAGAAGGGTGTCAATATCGGGATACGAGGCTGGCTTGCACCAAAACAGGTGTCGTTGGTTCTGAATTTGAGAGGCCATGGAAATTACGGTTACATACACGGTTGTACAAAATGTCTCGGCCCTAGGAGCAAACTTGAGGGATACGCAGATTGGTGTATCATGAGCTCGTTCATCTTTGTGTGTTGCTACCTAATTCAAACGACTCGTGCATTTTCTCTTTCAGGCTCATCACCGTGTCGCGTCAGATGGGCTACGCAGCGAATACTATCAGCGCTGTTGGAATCGCATCCAACTCTTTCCTCAGTTCCAGTGCATCATCACATACATAGTAATTCAGCACGCAGCGACCTCGTTACTTATACAATTCGTTCAATTCAACCCCCTAACTGGAAACGACTCATGCCGAGATGCCAATCTAGTTACGTTGTAGGCCTTGAATAGACTCACTTGATGACGGTAATCTCATCTCATTAGCGCACAAAAGAGTGTCTATCAGTAAAGACGCGCGCATCATTGACGAGGTATAACAAGAGTGAGTAGGTATCATCTTGTTTGACACTGCTCAAGTGAGTTCGATGATGAGGGCCACAGGGTGATCAGCAAATGCGGTGAAGCTCTTCAGAGTATGCATGTTTTCCGGAGTTCGGAAAACTCGGCGCAGGCTCTCCGCTATCACCCCGTACATCCATCGAGATTGTAACCTTGGAAAAAAAAAAAAGATCTCTACTTATCTATTGAAGAATCCCTTCAAAATGTTTAAACTCAGATCTAAAGTTACTAATAATTCTACTGTAAAGTTGGGAAGTTTTCGGTTACATCGGTTGGAGCCCGATCGCACGCACCTCTCTTTAACTAACCTTGCATCCGAACTTCGCAGTTTCAAATCCCGGGCGTGTGGTTATGCCGCGACAACAACAAAAGGGAGGCAGATGATTAGTAATCATCAAACAGATAAATAGTACCTCCTGAGTAGAGAACAAGAGCGAGGTGGACGACGTTCATTGCCCCAGAAGACCAATTGTCTTGCTTTAAATATACTGAGTTGGACTCACCAGCAATGGAGTCATCAACAACAGTCCTAGCGAGCGACGGCTCCGAGACGGCTCCCCTACTGGGCTCCCGGAACGGATCTTCCAACGAAGCGGCATCGTACAACAGCATACCACCGACAAACTCACCCGATGCTCCGAGGAATAACACTCCCGAGGCGGAAAATGCCTCCGGAACCATCTCCAACGACGAGCCCGCGAAACCCGCGGTGAAAATGGCGGCGCTCATGCCGGCGCTGGCTACAGGTGTAAGACAGCACCCTCTCATCTCATACCCACGCAAACGAACAAATAGCAACAAGTAAAGAGAGAGAGAGAGAAAGAGAAAGAAAGAAAGCAGACATCTAACAAGACAACGCAGATCTTCCTAGTCGCGCTCGACCAGACGCTCACGATAGCCACCTACGGCCGGATCGGCAGCGAGTTGCAGGCGCTGAACAGCACGAGCTGGATCGCGACGTCGTACTTCCTCACGCTGACGACGTTCCAGCCGCTCTACGGCAAGCTGAGCGACATCTTCGGGCGCAAGGCGTGTCTGCTGTTCGCGTACGCCGTCTTCGGCCTGGGATGTCTGGGCTGTGGGCTTGCGAGGGATATCGTCGAGTTGTGTGTTGCGCGGGCTGTGCAGGGTGTTGGGGGTGGTGGGAGTAAGTTTTTCTACGAAATTCTTTTTACCATTTTTTTTTTTTTTTTCATCTTTGAGAAATTCGTTGGCTCCTTTTTCATTTGCATTGTGGTGAATGAGAGGGGCTCATATTCATGTGGTGCTCCGACGACTCGCTTGGCATGGCATTAATAACTAACACACCACGTTACAGTGAACGCCGTAGTCACCATCCTCGTGACAGACCTCGTCTCGCTGCGCGAACGCGGCGTCTGGCAGGGCTACATAAACATCATCTGGGCAGTCGGGATGTCGACCGGGGCCCCGATCGGCGGGCTCTTCGCCGACAACATCGGGTGGCGCTGGTAAGCCATTTCTTCTCCCCCTATTCCAACCCACCACAATATTCCCAAGAATCTCCCTCGTACTAATATACCCAGGGCCTTCATCCTCCAAAGCCCAATCGCACTCATAGCATTCACATCCGTCTACATGGTCCTGCACCTCCCTCACACAGACCACTCCCACTGGAGCGCCAAGTTCCTCCGGATCGACTTCATCGGGGCCTTCACGCTCGTCTCCGCCGTCTTCCTCCTCTTATTCGGCCTCGACAACGGGAGCAACGAAGGCTGGGACAAAGAGATCACGTACATCCCCCTCGCGCTGACCCCGGTCCTCTTCATCGTGTTCGTCCTCGTCGAAGCCTACGTCGCGAAGGAGCCCTTCGCGCCCGGCCACGTCATCTTCGACCCGCCTTTGCTCGCCGCGTACGGCGCCAATTTCTTCGGCGTCGCGGGCCAGATGGGGTTGTACTTCTTCATCGCGCTGTTCTTCCAGGCCGCGGTCGGTCTGTCCGCGACTCGGTCCGGGCTGGTCTTCATTCCGAGCACGCTCTTCTCGCTGTCTGGGTCCCTGGGCGGAGGGATCACGATGAGGCGCACGGGGAGGTTCTTCTGGCTTACTCTGACGGGGTACTGCCTTGCGATACTGGGGTGCGTGCCGATGGTCATAGGCGCAGGGCAGCGGTCGGCCATCATTACCATTGCTGGTCTTGCTGTAGTCGCGCTCGGAAGCAGTATCTGTAAGAAATCTATTTTCTCTATTCATTTTCACTTTTTTCTTCTTCTTCTTCTCAATATCTTGGCTGTACGGTGTATGCTAACAAGATCGCATCAGCGATTACCTCGACCCTGATCGCCATAATCGCCAACGTGGCGCCCGAAGACACAGCCGTGGCCATCGCGTGCTCCTATCTCTTCCGCTCCCTGGGCACGACGATAGGCATTAGCGTCACGACGGCCACGCTGCAGCAGATGCTCCGCGTGAATCTAGCCGAGCGGCTAGGCGGCGCAGATCGTGCCAGGGAGATCGAGGAGCAGGTCCGTCTGAGTCTGGACTATATACGGAAGCTCGATCCGGAAGTCGCGATCATCGTGCGGAAGTGTTACGCTATCGCGACGCAGTGGGCTTTCGTCCCTGTTGCGGTTTTCGCGGGCCTCGCTATCGTCTCGTCGTTGTTCATCAAGGAGAAGAAGCTCGATAGGTAGCTGGTCTATATGTGCGGTTTAGAGAAACGGTCGGAGACAACACTTTGAAACAATGTGTCAAGTTTAACGTTTTATGAAACAGCATTGATGATGTTATGAAATTGAGCCTGATTGATATCAACTGGCACATGACGGAATATAGATACATCATACTTTAGGTATTAGAGCTACTGGCATCGAAAAGAGCCCCATTTCCATAGAGGGCTATTCATGAGTAGACAAAATTGAGATATATAGCAGTCATCTTTCACAAATCACGCGAGTCTGATCATACGATACGGATCATAACTTTCACATAACTTTTATTTGATGGCAATTTTCTCTATATGTGGGGAATAACGCAGACGGGCGCACTGATGCCGTGGTGATATCACCCACGCATATAACCGTGCATGAACGAATGCAATAAATTGCTACCCTGCGCCGGATCCGGACCTCTCGTGCGTCTCCTTTTCCCCATAAAAAAGTTGGGATGAGGAGAGCTAGCCGTGCAAGGATAGAGCTTGGAAAATAAATCAAATCTATCTGGGGGTACTCGTCGATATCTCATAACGCGTCAAAGTCGGATGTGATGTGGTAATGGGTGTAGGATAGAGCGGCACCTACGTTTCAGCGAGCAAGCTGGGGCCACATCGGTCGCATCTATACATCGTAGAAGAGTGCAGACTGTTTTCGTTCAGAATGACACTCTTTTGCTCAACGCTTTATATGGAGAAGCCGAACCGAGTCGTAAGTCGAGTGACAGCTGCCCGCTTTTAACAGAAGAACGCCGACCTAATTTTCGTGATGTCCATATGACCCATGACGTCTTATAGTGGTTGTTATAGCTTATAGAAAGCTACGGCGAGGGAATTGAACGCCCTCAACGGCTGCATTATCGGTAAACCAGCTGACGCGGTCGCCTGCGGCTTCATTGACTAGAGCGCATGGGAGTCCGTCGCCCGCCTCGAATATCCGCTTCATGATTCGTTGCTTCCCAGCGCCGGTAGCCACGAATGCGATCCTGACGGCATGTGTCACGACGGGGAGTGTGAGGGTGATACGTCTCGGAGGCGGTTTGGGCGAATCGTCGATGGGGGCGACCCAGGCATCTGTCTCACGTAATAAAGGATGGCCGGGGAACAGGCTGCATGTGTGGCCGTCGGGACCGGAGCCGAGAAGGAGGAGGTCGAAAATGGGAAGTCGGACTGAATCGCCTTTCGCAAAGGACTCAACAAGCTGCTTCTCATATTGATCTGCCAGCTCCTGGGTATCGTCCAGGTGCTCAGCATTTATGGGGTATACTTTGGGTTGACCGAGGGAGGCAGGGATCTTGTCCAGCAACTCCGTCTTGATGAGGGCGTAGTTGCTGTCTTCATGGTCTAGCGGCACAGCTCTCTCATCGGCAAAGAAGAGCTCCCATTTGTCGAACTTGATTACGTCTTCGTCAGATTTGGGCTCAGCAAGTAAGGCTTGGGCGAGGGTCTTTGGGAGTGAGCCGCCAGACACGGCGACCTTGAAGGTTTCGTGGCGGAGCAGGCCGGCGTTCTGGCTGGTGACAATGTAGGACCGGAGTGCAGGTGCGAGGGCACCGATGTCGCTGAAAGCGAACAGACTAGGTTGCTTTCCCGGCATTGTGGCTAATAGAAGGCGTCTGAGGCCGGTGATTACGGATGTTTTTGGATAAATCGAGATTGGATGAATGAAAACGGCACAAGGCTGTGGGAAGTGCTAAGGAGGGAAAATATAGTGAGATGGTTATATAAAATGGCGGGGCAGCTGTAGGCAAGTAGGCAGGCAAGTAGGTAGATACTTGGATAGTGACCTACGTACTTCAAGACGCAGGCGGAGGCTGTGATGTGACGATGGAATGGTGGGGTTGCAATGCCCACTGCGTGTCTACTATACTCTGCTCTGTACTTGCATGGAGGATGCTACTCTGCTCCCTAGCTTCTTCCAAGGTTCTTATCGCCCTCTGTACTACTTACTGTATCTCTTAATTACTAATTGGTGGCCCCGGAAGGGATGCCGGTGCCTCCTCAATCTTGTATCATGATGCCAGTGTATGTATTCGGGGCTCTTCTGTCATCCTTCACCCTATACTCGAGGTGGCACCGTCACAAGCAATGAAAGTGCAATGTAAGTGCCATTTTTACAACAATAGATGGCCCACGAAATCTACGATTCCAGTAGTATATGAGATCTGGTTGGCGTGGGGTTAGATGCTACTGCACCTCCCTGCTGTACGTGGGATTCGGGATGTGTGTGCATAAGGGTTCACTCAGCCTTCGGTAGAGCCTGGTATACTTACACACACACATAAGTACACACACGTGTAGTTCAAGGAATAGAGCCATGCTTAACATAAGGCCACGTTATTTCCAACTGATTCTTCGAGGTCAAGGGCCAATCAAGTCAGTATCGCAAACTCTAGTTTAGACACCACATCATCGGCCCCTTTTGAGTTTCTGTTTTATTCGCTCGTACTGGCTATATCCAGGCAGGTGTTTGCGCGCGTGGAGGGGTAAAATGCCGCTGTTGTCAAATAAATTTACAGCGGGGATGTTGACGTAGCACTTCACTAACCTGGCCAATTGGGTCGCTGCTAGGGGCCGCTAGGGTGATGCTAGGGTGAGGGACAGGGAGCAGGGGAGCAGGGGGAAGCCCTGCAGAAATAGATGTCTTACTGAGACCCATGCGTGTACAAGTATTCGGTACCTCCTCATAGTCCTATCATGGATCTATACTGTACTAGATACTGTACTCTATCTTTCACGGAACGTGCGGGCACATCACAAGAGTAATAATAAAAAGTACAAAAAGTGTGTTGATGCCATAATCAAGAGACGAGAGCATTCATCTGGAAGTAATTCATGGAAGTTTTTGGTCTTGCTTAATGCAGAATTCAATTTCTCGAAGTTCACTCACCGTCGGAAAATAGATCGCTGTGAGTCGTCGCATTGAGAGAAAACCTTCCTGACTACTAGGAATCACCGCTTGTCATTGCAAAGTCCGCTCTAGTTTGTAACAATACTAGTGCTCAAGACATGAGAGGCGAATTCACTAACGGCAACAAATCTGACGATATTCTGACCATTATGTGCGCCTTCCAACCGGTGATGTTATTGTAAGAATGACGCCTGTGGCAAGCGTGGGGCATCTATCCGATATGCCTACCACCGGTATGTACAAGGGCGATATCTAGTGTGATATCTAGTGTCAGTGGGCCAATGTACGCATAAGTAGGTTAAAATCCGGTAAGCAACCCGGCATAGATCAACCATGAAGGACTGTTGGTAGCAGCTTGCTTGGTCTCCGCAATCTCTAGCTCCGTCTAATCCCCGACTAATATGTAAGAATGCTATGCCATTCACAAGGAGAAGGGAGAGCAAGAAGATTCAATGTAATAGTCGCCAACATTTATAAAAAATGCAGAGGCTATTGACTAGAGATATCGTGAGACTGGGATGACACACATCAAAGGATCGATGGACGGAGGGTAAAGGCTATCTCGGCGTGGGGTCAGCTGTCAGCCGCAAACCGGACATGCTGACCACGCCGTGAGTCGTCGGGCCGCAACACCGGTAGCGTGCTCGCTCTCCCACGCTTACCTACACTACAACAAACTTCGAGGCATCGGAGATCTCGACGATAGCGTCAATCCGAATCCCATCGCTACTGCAATAGACAGTCAGATAGCCACCTACTATCCGTAGAATAATGGGCCAGTCAAAGTACCTGAGCGGCGATTCTGCCGCCATCGACGAGTTCTTGGATAAGTTTGATGTGCGTTAAAATCCCTCTACGACTTACCACACTCTCACCACCCGCGCATTGATCTCACAATATGTCCTAGGTATTCCTATTCGATTGCGATGGTAAGGAGTCCAAATGTACCCTATTATAACAATATTGGGGGACTGATCCTTGACTCTTTACGTAGGCGTTCTATGGTCTGGTGACCATTTATTCGAGGGGATCCCTGAGACCCTGGAATTACTGAGATCGAAAGGTAAAGCTAATGTCTTTTTCTAAGTTGTGTATCTTAACCAAACTCTATTCATATCTCCTATCTAATGAACTATCTCGCGCTGATAAACCTAGGAAAACGTGTCGTGTTCGTGACGAACAACTCGACAAAATCTCGGCAGGACTACCAAAAGAAGTTGACGGGCATGGGCATACCCAGCAATGTAGAGGAAATATTCGCATCGGCCTATTCATCTGCCATCTACATCTCCCGCATCCTCAAGCTTCCAGGACCCCGCAATAAGGTCTTCGTGCTGGGCGAGAGCGGGATCGAGCAGGAGCTGCAGACTGAGAATGTGCCATTCATTGGCGGCACCGATCCATCGCTGCGACGAGACATAACGCCAGCAGACTTCGCCGGGCTCGCCGACGGTTCGATGCTGGATCCGGAAGTTGGCATCGTGCTAGCGGGCCTCGATTTCCACATCAATTACCTGAAGATCGCCATGGCATTCCAGTATCTGCAGCGCGGCGCCGTGTTCCTCGGAACAAACCTCGACAGCACGCTACCCATGAGCGGCGCTTTCTTCCCCGGCGCAGGCACCTGCTCCGTTCCGCTCGCCAACATGATAGGCCACAAGCCCACGGCTCTTGGCAAACCCTCCCAGGCTATGATGGATGCTATTGAAGGCAAGTTTCGCCTCGACCGTGCCCGGACATGCATGGTTGGGGACCGCCTCGACACCGATATCCAGTTTGGTATCGACGGCGGACTCGGCGGTACGTTAGCTGTGCTGACGGGTGTCTCGAAGAAAGAGCAATGGGAGGCAAAGGACGCCGCCTATGTGCCCGCATACTACGTCGACAAGCTCGCAGACCTCAGAGGTGCGAGCTCATAAGGAGCCCTATAGAGGAGTTCTAGACCTTGTTAACGACTAGAAAGAATGAAGCGCTATGGTCATAGATAGACCTCGGAATTTCCGATTACGGTAGACATAGATATCTAGAGAACCAAAGAAAGAATCTTAGAATTATACGAGCGTGGACAGCCCCAACATGGTACCTCGTGGGTTTGAAATCGCCGGTTTAGGAGTCATCGGCCACCACTAACGATGCCATGTTACTACTCGCCATTTGTAATTGTGATTCGAGCCCAGAGGGCGCACGGGACGCGCAGGACGCATTATGATGCACGGTAAAGTATCGCGTGACATTTCCCGCAACTTCCATGCCCCCTATCCAATGAATTGCATCACCCCGCGCCGGCGCCGGCCTCCGCACACGGCGGGGTGCCCACGAGGGTAGCCACGACATCATCAATACGGTTGACGGGCCGGTATTTCCTAGCTGAATGCCGATGGATCGCTCTGGGAAGCGAAAGTCGCGACTCCTCATCACGACGAGAATGTGACTTGCTTCTTGAACCATTTTATATAATAGCTAACTCATAGTAAAGTACCACTCCTCTAACCCAAAAGACCTATTTGACTAGCACAATGGCATCGCCTCTGGCACCGCTCACAGAAGCTCAGAAAGAGCTCTTTCTCAAGAATGGCTACCTAAAACTCACCGACTGCTTCACGCGCGAACAGGCCGCTGAGGTCTGTGAAGGTGTGTGGACACGGCTCGGCATGTCGCCTACGGACAAGAGCACCTGGACAAAGGGGCGTACAAATGTATGTGATTCACCCGTAACATCCCATTCGTCGAGACTGTTTGACATCTACAGGGCACCAGAAGGAAACTCGGCGCCTCAAAATACTAGAAGTTATACTTGCGGTTTAGCTAGCTAGCCAGCACAAGTACAAGAGACAAAAGTAACAAATTCATGGAAAAGAACTCGCTGACCATGAAGCATCGCAGATGCCACCACACCGCACATTCGACGTCTCGGAATTCGCGCCAAAAGTGTGGTCCGCGATCTGCGAGCTCTGCGGCGGCGAGGAGCGCATAGAGCTGCCCAAGAGCAGGGAGTGGCGGGATTCGCTGATCGTGAACCTGGGGACAGCCGAAGGCGAAGGCAAGATGATTTCGCCGCGAGATCTCCCGCAATGGCATGTTGACGGGGATTTCTTCGTGCACTACCTCGATAGCCCTGAGTATGCTATCCTCGTAGCGATTTTCCGGCCGCTAGTGAAAGCCATATCTTGCACGTTGAAGCGACCATTGTCTATAAAAAAAAAACCTCTCAAGTTACCTTACCAAGGAAAAGTTACTGACTAGCAAAACCTACAGACAAGCCCTTCTCGTAATCCCTTTATTCACAGACATCGTGCCACGAGGCGGCGGCACCGTGATTTTCCCCAAGGGCATCGACATCGTCGCCAAATGGCTGCACGCGCACCCGGAGGGTATGTCGCCGTGGATGCAGCCGCGCGGCTCGGACACGTTTAAGACCGAGAAGTACCAATGGTATAAAGACCTGCTGAAAGACGTGCCCGAAGAGGATTTCATCGAAGCCACTGGCGACGTAGGCGATGTCTATCTCCTGCATCCGCTCATGATGCACGTCGCGAGCTCGAACCCGCTGCGCAATGTGCGGATCATCACGAATCCGCCTGTGTCGTTGAACGAGCCGCATTGTTTCGATAGGGCGGATGGGAATTATAGTCTAGGTATGTCAAGCTCTGATTACGATATATATATATATATATACGAGTTTGGCTGATCAATTCTCTCTTTTTTCTCTTTCCAGTGGAAAAGAAGACGATGCAGAGTGTTGGCGGCGAGGAGATGCTGAGAGGTTGGAAGATCACGGGGCCGAGGGAGGCTGTCGTCCCGGAGCGCGTCAGGATCTGGGAGAAGATGAAGCAGGAGGAGGCTAAGAGGATGGAGGAGGAGCAGAAGGTGGCTGTTGCTGCTGCTTGAATTTCAGTTAAAAGATAGTTGTGCAAGATAGTTGGAGGTAAGAAAGGGTATCATGAGGCAATCTAGATGTGTGTGTCACTTACGCGCTGACACTTTGCCTTGTCTTCGGGCCGGGATAGGGAGATTGACGTCTTAAATGTAGGCACTTGATAGTTATTTAGCATCAATTATCTAATTCCAAACAAGTAAATTTCTACGACTAATCTAGCATCATCCATTTCATAGAACGAATCTGTTGGCTATGGATTTCATTTTCATGTACGACGACGACACTCGGAAGCACGAAAATGAGTTGCAGCAGCCACTAAAACTCCAGCGTGTTAAAACAACGCCCTGAGCCAGCCACTTGAACCCCACCAAATATCTCGACCCTGTATCTCTACGAGAAACCCAACGTTTTTTTGAATATTCCACGTCGTTATAATCAATTGAAAACCCCCTTCATCATACAAATAGATCCTAAAGTTCTAGGAAAACAGATGTCCGTCAACACAACCACAATGGCCCCCCTCGAATTGACCCTCGTGGTGGCAGCGACCCGGAACATGGGCATAGGCCGCAACGGCACGCTCCCATGGACAGGTCTAAAGAAAGAAATGGCATACTTCGCGCGCGTAACCAAACGTCTACCCTCCGTTCTCGTAAGATGCGAATTCTCAATCTAAGCTCCCAAAAATCTATATAGGTTGGCGTCTAGGTCCTAATGCCTGTCCAGAACCAACCCAGCTCATCGCACGCCATGAACGCAGTGATAATGGGCCGCAAGACATGGGACAGCATACCGCCCAAATTCCGACCTCTCAAAGGCCGTCTGAACATCGTCATCAGCCGCTCTCACGTGGACCCGCCAGCCTCGGACATCGATCCCGAGACCGAAGCCGTGAAGGTCGGCTCGCTGGAGCAAGCTACAGAGTACCTCCAATCCGCCGCCGCGCAGCCAGGCAAAGTCTTCGTAATAGGCGGTGCACAGATCTACGCTTCCGCACTGCAGCTCCCGGAGGCGAAGAGGGTGTTGCTCACACGTGTCACGACGGACTTTGAGTGCGATACGTTCTTCCCGTTGCAGCTTTCCGAGGAGGAAGATAATTCTAGGGGCCAGCGGTGGGTTAGGAAGTCCAAGGATGAGCTGGACTCGTGGACGGGGGAGACGGTGCCTGAGGGTGTACAGGAGGAGAATGAGATACAGTACGAGTTCCAGATGTGGGAGAGAGTTGAATAATGCGTTTTTTTTTTAAATCTTAATTTCTACAATTGTTGTAATTGGCATAGTTATTGTATACATACTTAGGGGGGATATCTCCATGACGCCCGTGTCTATCTTTTGAGTGAGCCATCTGACGTCCCGAACCTTGGCTTCTAACCCACCCTGTCCTTCCTCATAATAGTCATACATAACATCTTAGCTTTTGTTTTTTTCCTTGCATTTATCGATTTAGTTTGCCTTTCCAGCCGGCGTGGTAGTAAACGAGGCCAATTGATCCGCAAGCTGCCTCGTGGGATTATCAACGACAGCATACTCATTCTTCGCAGGCCATCGGAGCGCACTTCCAGCGCGCGTGAACAAGGCCTCGTCGGGCATCTGATCCAGCATCTTCAGACAAAGCCGCATCCAGCTAACAGTAGCCGCGAGATCGCGCACGTTGACGTCCTCGCGGGCCTTGAAGACGTTCCGCCAGACGGCGGACGCCAGCACGGCGTCGCCCTTGGCGACGCCCTCGTCGTAAGCCGCTACGATACCCCGCCACTGCGTGAATAGATCCTTGAGGTAGCGGCCCCGCAGCGCTCGGGACGATATCCCGTGGCTCAGATCCATCCGCTCTTCGGCGTCGAAGAAGAAGTGGTCGACGAGCTGTGCCTGCCATGACTTTGCGGCGTCGCGGTTCAGGTTCCGTAGGCGCGCGAACACGAGGTACATGTGTAGCATGGTTACCTGGGACCAGGTGCTGAATGTTGGCGGGAGTTTGAATTCTATGATGTGTGCCGATGCTCGTTAGCTGATTTGCGCTCATATGATCATAACACACTGTCGCAAAACAACGGATGAAGGGACGTACCGTCATGCCACATTCCCTTGCCCTCGCCTATGTCCTCGCCCTCCTCGGTCTTGGGTATTGTCCCTGCCCTAACGGCTATGGGGTCGATTTTATACGGCGCTGCCTTGGCGCATGCGTCGTAGATCTCCTTGGTCGCTGCGACCACTCTGTACGGTTCGCTAGACCGCTGAATGCTGTTGCGTATGGTGTCCAAGATGCCAGATCTAGGCGGGGTGCATCGGAAGCCTCGTCTCTGTTCGCGTGCGGCGGCGACTCGGAGCTGGGCAGCAACAGCGGCACCGCTGTACAACTCGGGGGTGTTGGCTTGTCTAGCGACCAGCAGAAGCTGTCGCTTGCAGCTTCGACACGCCATTGCTACCTGTGTGTGCGCTCAGTGGTCAGAGACCTATCTGGCAACATAAGCATTGGGTGGCGTGTTCTTCTGTCTTATGGGAGGTGCACACCTCGATTGAAGATTGGTTCACGTCATTGAGCGACGATGCGCGAGTCACCAGAGCTTAGGTAGGTTAGGTAGGGAAAAAAATGAATGTCACTTTTTGCGGGTCACCGGAACAGCTACTGGGATACAGGGAAGTTCCAACCCATGCTCCAAAAAGCTTGGCAGATTTTGGAGCTCATCCCCGTCAATACTCTAGCAAGTAATCATTATTCTACGTGTAATTGTGTTTTTCGAGGCAGTTAATTCTATCTAATGATAGCAACGAGCCTTTCCTTTTGAAAATAGAAACAACTTGAATGAGACTATAGCCCAGACTCGGCTATGGATGGCAAAGAATGCGCAGAGTCGTTGTCACAGGTCTGGGCGCCGTCACACCTCTCGGCGTCGGTGTTCGACGCACATGGAATAGGCTCGTAGCCGGCCATTCAGGCATCGTCAGCGTTGCCGACTTTGAACCACAGAAGCGATGGCGTGAAATCACGAGTACCGTCGCTGGTATCGTTCCCAAGACCACTGGCGCGAGTGAAGTGGATGGGCTGTGGCGAGCCGATGAGTGGCTCTCTGCCTCCGATCAGCGACGCATGTCGACATTTTCTCAATATGCTATGGCCGCTGCCGAGATGGCTCTCGAAGACGCAGCATGGATGCCTGAGGGAAAAGGCGACTTGCAGGATACGGGAGTATGCTTAGGAAGCGGTATTGGCAACCTGGAAGAGCTCTATAGGACTAGTATCGCGTTCGATAATGGCGTAAGGTTCATATATAGTCTCCGATGAGGATCACTAATCTTACTAACACACTACACTAGGGTTACAAGAAGGTATCGCCATTGTTCGTGCCTCAGATCCTCATCAATCTTGCTGCTGGGCACATCTCCATGAAATACGGCTTTCAAGGCCCAAATCACGCGGCCACTACCGCCTGCACAACCGGTGCGCATTCAATTGGCGATGCATCTCGTTTCATCGCATACGGAGACGCAGACGTGATGGTCGCTGGCGGCTCCGAGTCCTGCATCCACCCTTTAACATTCGCTGGATTCGGGAGGTCACGATCACTATCCACGGCCTTCAACAGCGACCCCTCCTCGAGCTGTCGTCCATTTGACCGGCAAAGGAATGGATTCGTAGTTTCCGAGGGCGCGGCAGTGGTGGTGCTGGAGGAATTAGAGCACGCGAAGGCGCGCGGTGCTCACATACACGCCGAGCTCAGGGGCTATGGATGCAGCGGTGATGCTCACCACATGACGGCCCCGCGGGAGGACGGGTCCGGCGCTTTCCTCGCCATGAAGCGGGCTTTGAAGCACGCGGGGATCAAACCCCACCAGGTCGACTACATCAACGCGCATGCGACGGGTACGGCTATCGGCGATGCTGCAGAGGCACTTGCGATTCGCTCCATCATGCTCGGCGAGGAAGGGTATCGGAAGGACAGCCAAGTCAATGTGAGCAGCACCAAGGGCTCTATAGGTCATCTTCTCGGCGCGGCTGGCGCCATTGAAGCAGTATTTTCTATCCTCGCCATTACTGAAGTGAGTTGTTTTCATGGATACCTGTGTCGTACTGACTGAGACGAGATAACTGACGCTTGGTAGAATACACTTCCGCCCACACTGAATCTGCACGACCCCGACATCGAGCCGAAGTTCAACCTCGTCCCTCTCCAAGCGCAGGAGAAGACTGTCGATGTGGCTGTATCGAATAGCTTCGGGTTTGGGGGAACTAATGCTACCTTGGTCTTCTCAAAGTACCCGTAAAGAGTACATAGGTATGAACGTTTCGCCTGTATTGTATCATATAACGCTGTATATTATATAGCAAGCGTCCCTGTCCAGAAACGACAGGCTCAAGATCCCCTCATCTCAGCACCATCATAATAACAACGCCCAACTCAAAAAATGGACCTATGGTAATGAATCACTTGCACTCTCTTGTTTACAGGTATCATGGTGTATATATGTGGAATTTGTGCCTTTTCTTACAAGTTTCACATACATAGTAGTTAACGTAGAACTAAGTACAACGCTGTATTATCGCTCACGCGTGAGCCGTAAACTGCATTTTTGGTGATATACCCGAAATAGTTAAGGCTAGATCTGCATAACTACCTAAGTAGGTAAGTAATACTTCATACCACCTAGGTATGCAGCTTGGGCGGCTGTTCCCCACATTTAATGCGCTGATACGCAACGCAAAGCACCCCTAGATCTGACCCCTGCTCACAGCCCCAGACAGCCACGTTGTACCACACGTCCCTCAGCTGAAACTGCTTACATGGTCGAGATATACAGGCCTCTGTCTGTCTTACGAAGTCTTTCATACTCAGCCTCAAACTGAAAACGCTTCTTTTAATCAGTGCTTCATAAGATCATCAATATTGATTAATCTGGAAACCCTACGTATGAAGCCTCGCATTGTCTTATACGGAAACGTGTGATAGGGCTACATATGTCTTTGTGAAGCAGAGTAATCGGTAAGTTCCGTACCGAAACGGATGGATTAGAAGAGGCGACATTTCAACTTAGAGGGCCGGACATCTGTGCTGACCTTGCGCACGCAGACGCGCGAAGGAAACGCGCCTATAAGTCCAATTCACATCAGACACCTAATCTGAGGACTTTTGCCTTTGATTTTAATACTGTCCCTGTGAGACGACAAGTACTGGCGCTGAGATCTTCGGACCACGTTTCAGAAGTCAAGCTATACAAAGCGCCACGATCTCAGGCTATTGAGTCCGCGCATATATGAATTGTACCTCGACTGAGCGGTAAATTGGACTGCGAGCTGAGGTGAACACCTCAATCCTCAATCGAGGACACTTGAGGTCCGGAGTTCCGGGGATAATGGCCGAGGATGGCAGGCGAGCGCGAGGGGAAGAAAAAGCCATACAGAATGGTGACCATAATGAAAGCCATGAACTCTCCGACTGGGTACGGCCAGACGTCCCAAGTACCGCTGAAGATAAGGAGGGTGAAGAACATGAACGTCTACTCGACCCCAATTTTCCCGATGATGATGACGATATAGAACTAGATCCTCTTGAATTAGGAAGAGCTGCTTCATTCGACAGCGAAGTCGCCGCCAAATCGAACGAGGAAGATTCTCCCTATGAAGAAGTACGAGCCGCTGTACGCAACTTCGACGAAGATTTACCATGCAGCACTATTCGAGCATGGACTATCGGGCTAACTCTGACCTTCGTCGGCGCGGGGCTCAACACTTTGTTCTCGCTTCGAGCCCCGTCCATCGGGATTGGCCCTCTCATCGCTCAACTTCTTGCCTGGGTCATGGGGCGAGTGTGGGAGCGGATGGTCCCTGAAAAGCAGATCACTCTTTTTGGAGTTTCGTGCGATCTGAATCCGGGACCGTTCAACATCAAGGAACACTCGATTATTGTGGTCATGGCCAGTGTGTCTTTCTCAGTCGCATATGCCACAGATGTCATATTGGCGCAATTGGTTTTCTATAAACAGAATTTCGGCATCGTCTTTCAATTGCTTATCGTCATTTCGACCCAATCCCTCGGGTATGGGATTGCAGGCATCATGAGGAAGTTTCTTGGTGAGTCTATACTCGAGATTGAGAATGGCTGATGACTGACAGCATGCAGTATATCCTGCCTCTATGATATGGCCCAATACGTAAGTATACTTGACAATTTTCTCACGAGAAGCTAAATATGTTATGCCTTACTCATCTCACTCCATATCCTTAGTTCAATGACCTAGTGCTAACTATCACACTCCAGATTGGCTGCCATCGCGCTAATGAATGCAATGTACGAAACCCATCAGGTCAAGGATCCAACAATCATCGGAGGAAACATGTCTCGATACAGGTGGTTTGGTCTTATCACCATAGCATCTTGCGTCTATTACTTCATCCCCGGGTTCTTTGCTCAATTCTTAAGCGTCACCGCCGTCGCAACATGGGTAGCACCGCAGAACCCCATCATCAACCAGCTATTCGGCGGCACGACTGGGCTATCACTTATTCCCATCACCTTTGACTGGACCCAGGTAGCAGGTTACATAGGATCCCCGTTGATTGTTCCATGGTGAGAACGAGTACTATCGTTTATCTTTGGCAGATCGCTTACTAGCATTCCCTAGGCACGGAATAGCAAACACTCTGATCGGCGTTGTTCTGTTCTTCGTCATGTTCACTTCATTCCTTCACTATACCGGTGCTTGGTACTCTCAATTCCTACCCATGAGCGACGCTTCAACATATGATAACACAGGCGCTATATACAATGTTACGCGCGTCTTGACGCCGGAACTCACTTTGGATGAAGGCGCTTACAAAGCCTACTCCCCATTATTTATCAGGCTCGTGTCCCCACGCTCTACGGATGTGAAAATACCACAGCTGACTGAAAATACAGTACTACATTTGCTTTATCTTATGGGCTTTCCTTCGCCGCCATAACTGCGCTCGTTACACATACCTTCCTACACTATAGCGGTACTATATGGGCCCAGTATCAGAATAGCACGCACGAAAAACCGGATATTCATATGAAGCTGATGCGCAAATACAAGGAGGCGCCCCAGTGGTGGTACACTGCTCTCTTTCTCATAGTAAGTGCTCCTCGTCCCGAGTTTCTAAAGTACCGCTTATCATCTCTAGGTCCTAGCGCTGAGTCTCATTGCCGTGCTCTTCTATCCCACTAATCTGAAGTGGTGGGCTTTCCTACTTGCGGTGACGATCGCATTCGTATTCGCCCTTCCCATCGGGATCATAGAAGCTATTACAAGCCAAGAGATCGGCCTGAATGTTTTGACAGAGTTTGTCTACGGCTATATCCAGCCTGGAAGACCACTAGCGTTAATGCTGTGAGTGCCCCCTTTTCAGCTACAGTAAATCCTCATTGATGCTAACGCTATCTTCCGCAGTTTTAAAACATACGGCTTCATAACAATGTGTGTCATCCATCCCGCTCTCCTCACCCATCATCCTATTAACCCAACCTTTCCCCTTCTAGGTCCCAAGCCCTCAGCTTCGTCGCAGACCTCAAATTCGGACACTACATGAAGATCCCGCCGCGCACAATGTTCATGGCGCAAGTCGTCGCAACAACGATATCCTGCTTCATCCAAGTCGCGGTCCTGAACTACGCGCTGGACACCATCGACGGCGTCTGCGAGACCACGCAGCCCCAGCGCTTCACATGTCCCGGCGGGCGCGTGTTCTTCTCGGCCTCGGTGATATGGGGCCTCATCGGGCCCGCGCGCGTCTTCTCCCCGGGCCAGATATACTCGGGTCTGCTCGCCTTCTTCGCCATCGGCGCCGCGACGCCCGTGGCCATCTACTTCTACGCGAAGCGCTATCCGCGATCGCCCGCGAAATACCTGATGGCGCCCCTGATCTTCGGCGGCGCGGGCTCGATGCCGCCCGCCACGCCGCTGAATTACCTGTCGTGGGGCATCGTCGGCTACGTCTTTCAATTCGCGATCAAGAAGCGCCATTTCAGGTGGTGGAGCAGGCTTAACTACCTCACCTCCGCGGGCCTCGATCTCGGCCTCGCGATCGGCACCATCGTCATCTTCCTTGCTTTCACGCTGAACGATGTAGACCCGCCGCAGTGGTGGGGGAACACGGTCGTCACGAGTACGTTGGATTATCAGGGGAAGGCTATACAGGTCGTGTTACCGCCTGGCGAGACGTTTGGGCCTAAGGTTTGGTAGGCGTTGACTTTTGCTTTAGAGGATAGAATGTATTATAGGGAATTGTATAGAGGTTCTTGGAATAAGAAAGGTGGAAATACCTATGATGATGCCGCTTACTTGTGTAGCACCTTATTTATGTGTCTCTCTAGCGCCCTGAGATATATCTTGGTATGAGTGTATTTGTAGAGACTCTTCTAAAGGTCTCTATTTCAAATTCTGATTGATAAGAACGACATGGAGACAATGACTAAAGATATAGAAGTACGGCCCGAATCATTCAACTGTCTATTTCAACGTAACATGCGTTTTCATCCAGGTCACTGAACGTCCAGGAGTTTCACTCCTCTCGTAGATAAAGATGATGGATAACTCGGAATTCCAGCAGCCTGTCCAATTTATAAATCACGGCAAATACAGCAAATCAGGCATGGTAGTCGTTTGTAAATAAGTAGGTAGTCCAAACGATCGAAGTAAATTAAGTAGGTACTAAAATACTCAAAGCGACGCAACTTCTTCTCACCTTGTTCTACTCATACATATAGCCAAGGTCAAAAGAATCCTATTCGCACTTAACACCCGAGTTCCCTCCATAACGCCTGATGACCCGCGCACAATCTAGGAATGAATCCCAAGCGAAGGGATGCCGACCGACGGCAACCGGTCCCGGAAAGCCCACAGCGATACCCCTGCGCCGACGACGATCAAGGCGCCACCTGTCCTAGAGACTCTGGGAAAGTGCAGACTGCTCTCGAGTCAACCCCCGCGCGTTAGAATACGTAGGTTAAGTTTAAAGATGATAAAGTTTTCGCGTGATGAAAAGGGGGAGTTGAAGAAATAGGGAGACGCTAATGAGATATATAGCAAATGAGCTTCTTACACCTGGTTATGGTTCCGGCTACAGAGCCAGCAGAAGAGATTTCTGATCCAGTCGACGAACACCGTGCGGAACAAGGTGTGGATCCAGGAGTCACTCCCTTTGTCGTGGATAGAGTGCGCCGACGAGGGTGAGTATGGCCGCTCATCGTTAGTTGGATCTTTCAGATCTGGCTGGTTAATCTGCTCACTAGACTTTGATCTACTTGAGACGCTGCTGCTTGAAATATCTTCAGTCGGGGTAGCGCTTTCTGCGATAACTTCGTCGATGATAGTAGGGCTGGGCTCAAGCCTTGCCTTATCATCCGTTGTTATAGCGTCGTTCGTTTCACTGTTTGGATTACGAGATGCCGCTGTGTTCATAACAACTCCCTCGTCACTGTCCAGCGAGAGGAGAGGGGGCATGCTTTTCTCGATAGGGCCGATATACTGGACTGGAGTAGACTCGTCTCGAGACTCTATCTCGAAAGGGACCTCCTCTCCTTCTGCAATTGATTGTAGAGAGTGTCGAGACGCATTGCCCACAAACGGTGGAGTTATAGCTTCTGTCTGTTCATCTGCAGTGTCTACGTCATCATCGGTGCCAAACGAGTCCCGCATAGGGGAAGAGCTGCTCGCGACAGATGATTTCCTCGTGATGACCGGTGACAGGGTGACTTTATCTACCACTGTCGGATCTGAGTCCACGGTGGCTGACACACGCCGCATTGTAGCCATGATAGATTCGCGGTCGGAGGGGAAATGCTCTAGCCGAGGGTCATCGAAATCCATATCCAAATCGTCAATGCTTTGTGGAGTGAATTCCATTGCGTCACATTGTAGCTGGGGCTCTGACTGTGGCTCTCCCTGACTAGGTTGAGAAGCAAAGCATTCATGGCTAAACATGGGATATGTATCGTCGCTATCAGTCTCAGTCTCGCCTTCATCTAGTTGGGACGCAGAATCAGCTACTTCGGCAGCAATACTAGCGACTGCTTTATCTTGAACAAGCTGAGAAATGGAGTCACTTGTTTCGGCGACAGTGCTAGAAATTTCTTCGCCCTCATCCAGGTGAGAAGCGGAGTCAGCAACTTCGGCTGCAGTACTCGCCATTTCTTCGTCTTCATCGAGCTGAGAACCCGAATCAGCGACTTCGGGGGTAGTGTGAGTAACTTCATTGATTGGAGTAGAAGATAGATGTAGTAGCTGGTCCTTGTTGAGGTCTTCGTTGAGAGAATTCAGGTCGGTAATATCCGTTTCCGTATCTTGGGTATTAGGAACAACTCCGGCTTTTTCGGTTGTTGAGGTATTGTTGAGGTCGGCAGCCGTGCTCTCAGGCTTAGGGATGTGTGTTTCTTGTAGCCGTGTTATCTCTTGAGCTGCCCTAATATTCGGAGAGTATAACAAGCTGTTGATATTGCCTTGCTCATCCGTGGCTGCAGCAGAGAGCGTGTAAATGTCAATATGAGCAGCACCTTCGAAAATGTTCAATTCAGAGGAATCTCACCTGTATCAGCATCCGGATCCAAAGCCCACCAATCACCAGATGCATGTCGGAATTTGTATTGGATCTCCGAACACTCATCTACCATAACCTCTTTAGTGTAGATGTAGTCTCCATGTTGGTCTATGGACGCAGTCATCTCCTGAGGTTCCCACGGTGGATTTGTGAACGATCCGGCGACGAAAAGTGGAGGATGAACGCCTTTTCGATGAAAGGTAAATGTAACGGGAACTTTGTGGCGAGAAGACATGTCCGTAGGAGGTTGATAGGGCATTTGAATTCAAAAGGTCTAAGGTGACGCCTGCTGCTATGCTGAGCAAAGGCCCAGAGCTATCTGGCGATGAAATGACGACGATTTCTGAAGTATAGGAATAAGGTAGGAAATTGAGACTTGGTACGAGGTCAACCCTCAAGACTCTATTGAGGTCAGCGGCCTCGTGACCATAATAGAGAGGATGATTGGCTGGTGCTCCGCGAGGGGTTTCACAGATTTTGGCAGCGAAATTGGAAGCCAAAGATGGATATCCTATGCAACCTCCAACTAGCTGGGAGTTGAATAAAGCTACGAGGCAGGCACCGCTGCTAAACTACATGTAACATACGTTCGGCGGGTAAAGAGAGAGGAACAAAGAGCCATAATTCATTGTGCGCCAGCTGAGAGGTACCTGGGGCAAGCACATTCGTAAGCGTTCATTGACTCAGAGAGCACTGGTAAGCGTCATGCTGGGCTTGGAGAGGAAAGCGGCGAGCAGATTGACTCTTGAGGATGAAGGATCAGATGGAGGGGTAGGGTAGCCTAGAGGAGCTTGGAAACTATAGCAGACCGGGTCAAACTCTCCTATCCATCCATCCCCTCACATCTTGCTCTACTGAGGTTAGTGGTTCGGGTTGTTAGCATCATCAGATAGCCGCGAGTCCTTGAATGCCAGGGATATCCTGGGTAAGGGGCAAAAACTCGTCCTACGGCCAGCCAGCAGTGGTGTGTGTGGGATCACCATTTAGATAGCAGTAGAGCCAGAGGGGCGCCGTTGATATCTTATGCCAGGAGCGACTCTTTCTCTATCTTGTTACCCAGGTAGAATTAGACGATGACTAAGTATGATGTGAACTGTACGCAAATAAGCTTCTAGTAGCTAAATGTGTCGACAGTCCCAGGGCAGTCACTTTACCACAACACAAAGACAACACTATTAGTGAATACATAGTAATAAGGACCGTTTGCACTCCTAGCCGGGCATGGCACCCTCGCATCGCTTGGTTCTAATAATAGACAGAATTTATGCGAGTGTACATACAGATATATGGTTGATCCATGGCTTAGGATAGATCAACGTCCTTCCAATAGCCTCATGTAAATAGGTTCGGGATGAAAGTGATGATGACATTGACAGGGTTTCTCCATGCCTGCCCAGCACCTGCCATAATTGCATAAAAGATGGATAGCTAGGTCCACCTGCAGCGGGACCCACCATAGCTCGCGCCACATGTCACTAGCCACACATCAAAGAGCAGCCCAAGTTAGGTAAGTAATTGAAATTGGCAGGGACACAGCAACACCACGAACTACATACACTTACCTACCTGGGCTATCACATGCCGGAAACATACGCCAGCCATAAAAAATATCTCGTGGTCTGAGACCATCCTCAAGTCAACAACGTCAGTTACGTCATTTTGTGCTTTGGTTTGTCTGCTGTGTCAATCCCTTATCTTCTTCATACAGATCAACATAATGTCTGTACCACCACAGCTCATTCGCGTGAAGCGCAAGGCCACTGAAGAGGCCCCTGTTTCGTATCTACGTAAGCCGTCATGAGAATGAATATAGATCTATAGCCTCAATTTATGGGCTCCAGCTAATCCAAGCTTGCTTTTAGGTGTTCAGGAAACCAAGAGACACAGGAGTAATGTCTTTGTTTACCAGCGCCAAAATGAGGAAGCCACTTTTGCCGAAAACATTCCTGCCCAGATTCAGAAGCCCATCATCCACACCTCGCCCCAGAGCCGCCGAACCCCAGCATTCCAAAGCACCGCGAGACAAAATATCCCTCCTAACAAACATGTTTCTGGTGCCAAGAACACGACCATTGACAATAGTAATGGAGTACAATCGGCCAACGCCCCTACAAACACCAACACACTCGGCACCGCCTCCGTCCCTGCCTCTACGTCCGAACCCCGACGGTTTCACATGTCGCGCAAGGATATGTTGTTAGCTGCATCTCCTCACCCAGGTCGCCCCCATGGAGGCATTTCCAAGAAAAGGGCTGCGCCCGCCATGTTCGTCGAGCGAAAGATAAAACGCGTTGCCTCGAGCACTCTTGAAAAGCTTCATGCCGCCAACAATGACTTGGCCGCTGAACCCCTGCCCCCCAACGCCTCTACGGCTGAAACTATGCAATTGGATCAGCCTGAACCTAGGAAGTTCAAGAAACCCGGCGTTGCGAAGCTGGCAGCCAAGGATAATAGAGCAAAGGATAGACCAGAGCTACCTAAATCTATGACGGATCGTTGGAATGTCGACATGCAGCAGCTAACCGCTGATATGGAAGCGTACGCAATGCAGCAAATAGGCCTTAACCTCCAGAGGGCTGAGGATGAAAGACGCGAGCAAGAAAGGGCAAGGAACAGCACTCCATCCAAGCTCAAATTCAAGCCTAAGCCTCCTGCGAAGCGCTATGCAGAACGTCATCCCGGAGAGGCCACACAACCAACCGATAGAGAAATGATGGATGTTGATGTTGGACACAGTGATAGCGACGACAGCGACTACATCATCGAGACCTACGTTCGTGTTCCAGCCAGCAGCATGGGAGACCACGTACCACCACAGAGTGTGGGACTCTTGGTGTTTGATGAGGAGCCCGATATAGAGTTCTTCTACGGAGAAGACGACGAGAGCGAAGATGAATGGGCTGAAGATGAAGAAGACGAAAACGGTATGGCCTTGCATATCTAATTGACTTACCTTGGGCACAGTGCGACCTTACTAACAGCTTCTAGCTGAAAACTACTATACGGCAGACTACCCCGACGAAGAGGTGGCCTCAGATGACGAGTTCGACAAGAACCCTTACTCATTCCGGACTGGCAATGCTTCAGATTTAGAGGAATATGATATAGATCATAGCGATGATGAGCCTGACGGGGAGAACACTAAGAGCCAGTTCAGGACGTATATAGGGCGAAATGGGCTTCGGAGTAGACATCTATGAAAGCTACTAGACCCTGAAGTACCTCCCTAATCAGCGTGTGAATCACGATCAGACGCACGTGTCAATCTCGGATATCGAAATGGATCTACATTACGCTACTAAACCCTTCTATACATAATTCCAAATATCTTTATCGAAAGAGCCGTTGATTTCCCCATGGGCTCATAGGGTGACACGGACGGAGAGGACGAGGCAAGGGAAACCTGTCATGTCGGCTCTAAAGCATGGTACTTTGTCACAGCACAGAAGCAAACGTGTTAGGCCCAGAATGGTGGGAGTTCAAGGACCCCCCAGGGTGTCGCCAAAAGGGACGCATGAAGTCAGTTGGTCGGCGGACTGCAGCTTCGAGACGCTCTACAGCCAACAGCACGCTCATATCTTATAATCTATTATGACAGCGCCGCCTCAGCAAACCTTATTGGCTTGGGGTTTCCCTTGTCTTTATTCTCATTGGCTGTGTAACGGGGATCTGGGCATTATTCCGCAGCAACAAACCCCCGCAGGAAATCCGCTCCCTTCCCTAAATAGCGGGTTGATCTGTGATGCAGAAAAACTCGAAGGCCTGCATTTACATACCTGGCACGCATGTCAGATGAGGGCGTGTGCATGTGCGTGTACCTATTGTTATCGAAAGAAAGAAAGAAAGGGGGAGAAAAAAGTACCGTCCCTGCAAGCCACCTCCATCGTTTGTGCAACTGTTACATCCAGGCCACTGGTATTGTTGGTCACTTGACCTACGTAGGTATATGCATTGTCACCACCACACTCCTACCTAATACCTGCATCTCAATCTTTGTTATACGTTGTCTGCCGCTGTTGGCCAAGGCTCGGTCGCATATGCAGAGCAAAAAATACCAACAGGCGATAAAGAGAAGAAAAAAGACAAGACAACCCCATAGCACAAGCTTCCTTTTCTCTCCAATTCTTCGCTTCCACAGCCCTATCTACCCAAGCATTCGGGAACCACCGGGCTATATCCTTGCGCAACTGGGGTGCTTGTGCCACTCACTCATCGCATCCCCTCCGGCCCCTACTTAATAATCTTATCATGATTGGTAGGTAGAAGCTCATTTCAAGGGAAGATAAGAACAACGCGTGTGTGACCTATCATATATTATAGCGTTGTAGCATGGAGGCATTTTTCCCTCGGTGACGCTCGGTGAGATTCTGGCTGCCGGAGAAAGTGGAATGAAATGCGGAGTTGAACAAACTCACTACCAACACCCTCTCGGGGGCTATTTCGGCGTTTTCCCACCAGATATATCAGAGAAGCGATATAGATGCAGTGAATGTTACCATACGGAAGATATGATGGCATAAATATATCTATATATTTCCAAAAATGAATTAATCAATCAAGCGATTCGAGTCCACTGAGCCGAACCCGTCTCGCTTCACAAAATACCACCCCAAATCGTCCGAAACAAAGGACGGACGTACAAACTTCGCGAACCCCCTTTTTGTGTTCCCGTAGCACCAACCAGTTGTCCTCATTCCCTTATCTCCGAGTCTCGTTAGCTTGTCCGAGTTTGTTTTGTAAAAAAGTTCGCGTGATCTCATTCTTTTCTCATTCCAAATAATCTAAATCAATCAATCAATCACTCAGTTAATCCCGTTCATTCATTTCGATGTTCCCCGCACCAGCCAGCACCTTGACGACACTCCCGCTTAGCCCAACCCAACCCAATCAAACCATCGCATTGCGCGAATTTTATCTATAATATGAGGAACCAATTTTGAGTAAGTAGAGTGGGATTCTTCTCTTCAAGGTCCGTGTATTCGGTCATGATACCACGTTGATGAAAGTAAAAGACAAGGAAAATATGAAATTCATGATATGATTTGAGAAAGAGAGGTGTAGAAATATACATCTGGAAATGATAAGCAATAAAAGTGATTCCTTGTCTGAGAACGCCGCCAATAGCAACCCTTTTTCGAAGTTTCGACATCTTGATCTGATTTGTTTCGTTTTTCATGGCATACAACTCAGCTTGCACGTGGGTCTGAAATATTTGAAACAGAAGAGTGAAAAGAAGAAGTGAATGAGGGGAAAAGGAAGAAAAAAAGGCGTCAAGTAGTACATGTTTGCTCGTGCCGTCATCCCATAGTCCTGTTTCATATTTTCGAAATCTTGGTTTCGAAAAAGTAGTCGGTTCAGTTTGTAGGACCTTCTCGTGTCCCCCGAGGAAAGATAGCAAAGTGTTTCATTGAAAGCATAAAGCAGCATCGACACTGCAGGTAGGGAAATAGAAGGAGATGAAACCCCTTCAACATTGGAGTAATAGCTGAATAGCAGCTCAGCAACATATGACAGCTTGTTCGTAACACAGTGAATGTGCGAACATAAACGTAATGGCGACAGTCGAAGACGATCATGAAATGTAAACAGGAAAATAAAAACAAACCACAATCGAGCAGTGAGTAGATATAGAAGCAGACAGGCAGGCAGATATGATAGGCAAGCCTGTCCTAAAGCTTATAAGCTCTCGCTCTTCTTGTAATTGCTCGCCTTCGGACCGGACGAGAAAGGGGACGGACAATGGCCTTTTTGGGCGCAGGCCTAGCCTTCATCAGATCTGGATTCCGCTTGCGGTCCTCGCTAGGGCAGCAGCCGCATTCCTCGTCGGGTGGTAGTTTCTCGACGTATGTTCCGCGCTGCTGGGCTTCGAGCCGTGCCATTTCTATCTGCGGTTGTCGTTCTTGGTCTAATTACACCCAACGTTAGTGCCGATTACTGCTACTAACCCATACAATCGACGGATGGCCGGGAATCCGTGCTCATGAGACTATAAAGAGGAAAATAGGGGTAATAGACGGAACGTACTGAGCTGGTATGCGCGTTCGCGCTCAGCGGCGGGGAGCCAGGAGTAGTTCATCGCACGTTCTGGATATAGATACACCAGCGAATATAAGTGCTTCATCTCTGACTGGTCTCGTGTCAGGACCTTGGTGGGCACGACGTGGCCGTTCTCCATGAACTGGAGCTGGCCACCGATTATGAGAGGAAGTATCTTGTGTTCCCGGTAGTACGCTCCCTGTAGACCGCCGGGGCTCCGCGGCTTGGGAAACATTTGGGCGAACTGTTCCGCCAGTGGTTTCCATGCTTGACCCAGGTCTACACGGAGGTACCGGGCGTAATCCCTCTCTTCGAAGAAGTATTTGAGATTGCAATGTGGCTCCTTTTCGCCTTGTTCCTGTTCCTGTGGTTTCTTTGACTCCCCGGTTTCTTCGGCTGTGAGCATCTCGCTGGTTGACTCCATTTCCACATGCTCGAATGGAGTCTGAAGGCAAAGGCCATCGAGAAGCGGTAGTGGGTGCTTCTTCTGATTTGCACGGAGATTGTTCAGCCTGTCTAGTATCGGGTCGAAGCCAACGGACACGCTCGACCTCCGAGAGCAGGTATCATCATCACCAAAATCTGGCGTGAGGCTCGGCGTCCGCTGGCAGGAAGGGTGGTATGAAATGTTTTGAGATTTACGAAGAGACGTAAACTGAAATGGCGAAGCCATAGTGATCCAAGGATCAAGAGATGGCAGAGGGGTGATCATCATGGTCTAGAGGATATAGAATATCTACCATATAATATGCACTAGAGGAGGAAAGAGTTGTCATGAACATGGAATGGATGAATAAGATGTTGGCTGTGCCGTCGAACTCACGCAGAGATACCGACGGCCTAATATAGACCGAAGATCCAACATCTAGGACAAGCCTCCAGCCAGGGGAGCAAGTACCCATCCCACAGAACCGGTTGGACACCCAGGGTGTTGATAGCGCTCCGCAGCACAGCAAGTATTAGGTATCCCAGTTCCGGGGCCCCAGAACATAGAGTGGTAGTATCAATAAATTGTTCTCCAGCTCTTGCACGCCACTCTTAAAATGACCTCAATCTGGTTAGAGAATCGAGCGGACAACAGACAACAGTGAAAGCCTTGGTTGGTACTGTGCTGCTTGCTGCGGATAAGAGAATGTGTCTCAGACAGGTAGCGTGTGCCAGAAGCTTGCAGCCATGCTTCGTGTAGCTCAGCGGCGGGTCCACCGAAGTGATTGGCCTTGGGGCGGCGCAAGGGATTCACTTGTCCATAGAGTGTTTCAATGGGGGGAGGAGAGGTCAATGGTCCAGAGGCTAGACGTTCAGCTAATGAAGAACTGCCCATATGACAGTAGCTATGATCATCCTACCCTTCACGCATCGTATCGCAGTCGGTATCGAAAGGACCCGAACGTACACAGCTTCGACTATCCGGAGCCATCAGAAGGATGTATTCGTGCACTGTGTCCTAGCTTAGTCTGTAGGATTCTTCGTTGTTACGCTACTCGTCAGTTTTGAACCGCAACCAACTCATCGGTAAACAAACACCACTGCCATTGGCTGTTAGTATCCAGGGTTAAATGACAGAAGAGGGGCTGTGCCATGCAAGGAGGTTCGTGGTATTGTAGCGGAGGAGGAAGGCGAAGAGAATGTCCCAGCGGTCCATGCTTGTCCATAACACAGATCATGGAAGAAGGTGGTATGTATCAAGAGGACAGGCAATCCCATCAGAGCTTTCTGTACATTCCCTCGGAACGAGTCGGCAGTAACTAGCCTGCGTCGTTGGTTTGCCAACCCTCTTGTCGAATATGTGGCTTTCCTAACAATGCTACAGCCGAGCGTTTGTATGCGGCTTGAACCAACAGGTCAAGTATCTCGGTCCCAAGGTCGCGAATCGCTTTTCCTCGTCATTGATTGGACTCTTGCGTCGTGGGGGGGACGCTGTGGTCCAGACTCGTCCGACTGGTTCTGACGCAGCAGGTTAGTCATCTCAGACAATCTACTAGAATATATGTACACACCTCGAGTCTGCTCGAGGTTGCCAACAGTGTGTGCTCAAGCCACGCCAATTTTGAACCAGCGTAGCATAATGCGTAGATGGTAGTAGCGCGCTGTCGATGCTCGTGTCGCACGCCACCGTGGTGCCCATGACATAAGGTTGTATTGGATTTGAGCTGCCATGCAGACGATTTGCCACTATAGAAAAGAAATACTGCGCGTCTCTCATCCGAAGGCATTCGACTATGTTAGTACAACACTCGTGTAGATCCTCCGCATCGAAGCAGAGGCATCGAGATACATGCAGCCTCCTGGGCAGGCACCCGCCGCCCTCGAACCAAATGGTTCTGGTAATCAAATCCCGACCGTTACGACCAATGGCGTGATACCCATGGCACGACATCCACAATTCTTGTCATCTAACGTCCTGGCGCTTGTTGTGCCACTTTAGATCAACTCCTTGTGTTACTTGAGCGGCTACTCGAATAGATACGCTTTAGGAAAGTCTGGGTAGATTCTAGATAAATCCTAAAGACGGACGATCGCATCTGTAGGTCTGGAGTGCTCATCCCTGACTAGCACCAAGGGCATTTATCCTCCGTCAACAATACTCTCACGTCTGATTGCTTTTCTCTGCCCTTGGCTGGGTTCAACGGCACAGGCACATAGTCTAGCTGGCTATCCACGAGACCTCGTTGCCGAAACTTGAGCCCCAGAATACCACCCTATTAGCTCAGAAATTGCCTACATTGGTTTGTGACGTACTATTATAGAGTAGCATAGGAGTGATCGGATGCAGGGTTCTCCAGAGTCGGATATGTCCTAACATGCATACACATCGGGTTTGGCTTCCCTTGTCCTTGGTCACATGAGGAGGATAAGTTATAGCACCGTCTACCCGGTACAAGCCTTATGAGCCCTACGACTAGGATGTTGGCACCTGTTCAGTAAAGAAAAAATCATCGAGGAAATTGCAAAACACAGACCTAGCATGAGCTACTATTGTAGGCCGCGCTAGGCCTAAACCACACCGCTTGGTGTCCTTCACTACTTGTGAGGTGGTTAGCATACCATTCTCTCATGGCGACTATGAGCTCAGACGTATCGTCATGTGTTGACATGTGTCTTTCCTTGGTGGATATTTGACTAAAAATGCTTTGCAGCATCAAGCGTGAGTTGATGAAGAAAGGCTGGATGCGTCTAGGTGGGCGAGTCCAGCGATTGCGTTTGCAAGGGCTTTGTCTCAACTGAACTATGTACCTATGTAAGTACCTTAGGTGAGTACCTACACAGGGAGAGCTGGATCAATGTAAGTACATCGTGCCTGCTCTGCACAGCATCTTAGATCGCCCCAAGTACGCCCAGGACCCTTGAGTTGCAATCGAGGCTGACAAAAGTGATACAGACTAAGACGGATTGTTGCAGTCATCGGATGCTCACCAAGTAGCTAAATGATACTATTACATTGTTGGGCTGGTAGTTGCAAGGTTTTCCGAGCCTAGGGATCAGAGCTTGGAGATATTAGTGTGGCTGGAACTATCCCCGCTTTCCCTGACAGCAGTGTTGGGCTGTGATTCTGTTGTAGACGATGGCGAGTCTTCCTGACCCAATTCGACAAACGATTCATCTCCCGAGAACGTCCTGGACCCTGGTTAGTCTGGATGTCGAAAGAAGAAATCGTAGATGCAGGGCAGAGGCATACCATCCACGTTCTTCACCAAGGCGAAGGAAGCTACAGTCCGAATTTGTCTCGCTTGTCCAGCGGGTGGATAGATCAAAGGCAGGTCTCTGGTATGGTCCTCCGTTGTTTTTTCTACCACGTTCCCGAGAATCCAATGAAATACGGCCATCCTGACCAGCCATTTGCCGTCGATACGTGCTTAGCCCGCATGTGAAGGCTCTAAAGTCCTCTACAGTAGTATCATCTGGTACCATGCCGGTGAGTAGCCGTCCGAGAACAATGACAACTGCAGCATGGGTAGATATCAAGACTGATCTCCTGCCCTCTCTATCACATTGAGCAATAATACGCTCTATACAGGAAGACACGCGTTGGTATAGTTGCGGTATCGACTCCCCGCGACGGCGAGGTGCAGGTGAAGAGACATATTTCGGATCAATGTCGGCAAACAAGCCATGCAAGTCACTCAGGGGTGCGGAAGTAGGGTGCTCGAAGTGTGCTTGTCCATACCATTCGCCCAACCCCGCGTCCACGTTTATGCTCAAACGTGAAGAAGGTATATCATCGTCGGACACTGAGACCTTGGCCCGTCTGTCGTTGTGCCGTGAGACAAAGGGCGATATCGTTTGCAGGCACCTGTAGTAAGGACTGGAATAAACCTGGTCTATTGGCGGGTTGAGGCCTAGCAAATGCACAGCTAGCTCGTTAGCCTGCTCAACGCCATGAGACGTGAGTGCCGGGTCCGTTGGCAAGCCTGTCGGCGACCGAATATGCGCAGTGTAGGTACCAGTAACGGGGTCTACGCTCCAGGCAGACCTAAACTAAGAGAAAAACTCAGCTTGTGTTTCAGCTCAATATTGGGTGGCGATGACGGTCAAGGACCTCCATCCCAGGGGCGAGGCAGACACTCCTCCAACCCCTCGGTGGTTTATCAATGCAAAGCCAGCCCCGACTGAGCGCCCGTCGCAGAGTTGCAAAGCTCTTACCCCGTGGCGGACTACATATATGACCTCTAGTGACATTTTGGTTGGCGTGGCTGGTCGACGCGCAGATGTGGCTTGCCAGGTAATGTCGGGGCCAGGATTTATGAATCCCTCTGTGTGACCTCGGAAAGCTCGCCAAGTTCGGTTAGGAAACTGACTGGTGGACCCCTCAAGAACAAGGACGACAGCTTGAGGGGATAGGCGGTATATAGATGCTTTGCTATCTTGCCCAATTGACGAAGAGCCGCTTACGAGCTCAAGACAAGCCTTGAGTTGAAAGACACACCACACGCGGCTATGTGTATCGTATGAGGATCTTCAATCAAAGACAATCTTGAACGACCCAACGGCGCATCGCTGGCAACAAGTGAATCACGCCGGATGAAATTGATTCTTGTATTTACAACTTGAATGTGTACAATACCTATTGTTGTCTCGGGATGTGACGAACCCTGGTCGCTTGTCGGCCCGCTGGTGCTCACTGTACCACCTCGGGCGAGAGAGCAGGGCTCTTCAACTCGGCCTCAGCCACGTGGCTGAAAACAGTATCTGACACTGTATCTATACATTGTTCATCACTTACCAGTAGAAGAGTACATAAGTATAGGTCCCATGTTCCAAGGTTCAAGGTTGTTGGTATTCTCAGTTACACTATTCATCAACAACTACCTACATACCTACCTAGGTAGGATGCTTAAACATGTATATAGACAAATATGTACCTGCGCATCATACCACAGTGGTCAGTGGTCAGTACATGTAGATTCTTTACATAGGCGATAGCGTAGGGATCCCTATCTTTTATAGACAATCCCGTCGTTTACACCAAAGACAGTGCGAAAAATGCAGCCATCAATGATCAATTCACGCCCATCCAAGGACGAACAAACTGGGCGTACTTCATAGATCCTTGGAGATGGCCTCGAGCCAGTTCCCGGGACTAGTACCTAATAAGCACCTAATAAGGACCACATACCTACTTCGTATTGCCTGCAGATGGCAGACGGTGGGTGATTACTGAACATCACCCCATGATACGTGATACATCTTCATCACAAGGCAATTGAATTGACCGTTGGGTGGAGATTCCATCGTTGTTAAGCGGGGCACCTACCTACTTTACCTATAATATCGTGACATTCTATCACATTCAGACAACGACACATGCATTCCTTTTCCTCGCATGCATGTATAATACAACTGGGTATCAACGATGGTTTTGCTTTCAAGCTTCCTTTTTCATTTCTGTTAGTATCGTGCTCTGTATATACAAAAGTAGTGCATTGCAGTAGCTCTGCTCCTTCCATGTCACACGGATGACGTGGACAGCACGGACCACCCTCTCGAGCGGGGTAATTCATGTATATAAAGGCTGGCTAGGTCCCTTTCTCCATTTCTCGAACTTGGAAGGTTAAGAGGCCCTTTAACGCCATAGCCAATTATTAGATCTTAGGAATGAAGCTATTCCCAAGCCTAGAGATACTCTGCCCTTGTGACAAATAATTGGCTACCACTTAAAGGCTTCCCCTCTTCCTTTTCGCGTTGGCAAAGACCAGGTCCTGCGAGAAGTATCCAACCAACCGCGCTAGCGATCGGGCACTGCCTGACTTTGACTAGGTCCTGCGGAAGGAAGGCATTCAGACTATCAGACATTCAGACCAGACCCTTTGAAGTACCGCGCTGGCAAAGACCAGGTCCAGCGGGCTCGAGGGCGAGCCCTGAACGAAGGAGGGAGATGGTGTCACACGGATGACGTGGACAGCACGGACCACCCTCTCGAGCGGGGTAATTCATGTATATAAAGGCTGGCTAGGTCCCTTTCTCCATTTCTCGAACTTGGAAGGTTAAGAGGCCCTTTAACGCCATAGCCAATTATTAGATCTTAGGAATGAAGCTATTCCCAAGCCCAGAGATACTCTGCCCTTGTGACATTCCATCTATCCAAACGAGACCCCTGTTCCCATTCGACGGTCAGAGACGGTCCAATGAAGACGCCCGGCTGTGGTTGTGGTTATCTTCGCTTTCCCGCGATGTCATCACGTTGCAGGTTTAGTTGCAGTTATTAGTGGCGGCATTGTTGTTATTGTTGTTCTTCGTCCCCTGCCCAGTATGGTGTCGCTTGTTCTGTGATAAGTCAGTAGCCACTCGAATCTCGAGAGAGCATGAAGACACATGACGACTCACATTGTTGTTGCAAGCTGCCGCGTTATTGTTCCCATTGTTGTTATTGTTGCGGAAGTTGCCGTTGAAGTTAGCTGCACCATTGTTGCCCTTGCCCTTGCCATTATTATCTATTAATATCATCGTCAGCGACAGGCTAGGGGTGGATATGACCCGGGAATTGTCTTACTAGCACCCTGGCCGGTATGATGACGAGGCAATACCACGGCAGTAGCCGAGGTAGCGAGGAGGAGAATGTGCCAGAACTGCATGTTTTCGGCTTGATAGTGAATGTCTTCGTCAAGAGAAAGGTGGTCTTGAGCAATTGCAATTAGGCGGTAACGGCGAAAATGTGGAAAACCAACCACGTAATCGAAGAAGAAAGCACAAAAATAGGAAAAGAAAACGAAGAAGTATCTGAAGCTGTAGGCGATGCTGTGGTGAGGAGAGGAACAATCATTCTCGATGAAGTACGAAAAGAGCACACTTTATAGACAGAGCTCGCCGATGAAGACGAGGATGTGCCATCGCTCTCCAGGCGCTTGGTTCGTCCTCAAGCAGAACACACAAAACATCGCCATGTCACATCTAGGGCCTCTTTCAAGGTCGTGACAGCTCGTAGCGCCGGCCTCAGTAACCATTTCTAGTGATGACAGGGTACCGACACGCCAAGCTGCGACGTTTCGACAGATCCGAGGCAGGGTGGATCGCCAATCTCAACTAGTAAACCTGGGGTAGACAGTTTCATGGCCTTGGCTAACCAGGTTGAGCCTGTGGGGTCCGAGACGTCCACCAATTATCAATTGTCTTGTGCGAGAAAGGAGTATGCAGAAATCCATACAAGTCTCACTATACGTACTAGTACTGAGTAGAATATAGAACCCATGGTCCTTCAATGCCAATTTTGCGGGTTTTGGTTTTTGGTTTTTGACGATAGAAACGGCGTGGTATCTCACCGGCGGGGTTCCATTTGCGGAGCTTAGGTCCAGCTGTGACAAGGGAAGAATACCAAATCCCGAAATCTCCACGGGTCAACAAAAGCTTCATCAAATGAACAATCAGGCCGACCTATGATCTTGGCACAATGAGTTCTATGTTTCCCATATTGGAAACAAGTGTTGAGAAAGGCTACCACATGTAGAGTCTATTTCGGCTATATCACACACAATGTTGCGAGTTTGGGTGCAGAAACAATAAGTTGCTACCTCATAACGTAGTATATGCACATAGACTAGTCATTCACTCCATCAGGAATTCAACCTCGGAGATACCGCATACCATAATGATACTCGGAGCTGTCACAGTAGATACAGAATCTATAGATAGATTTACCAGCGGTTAGGACGAAAACCATTATCAAACCATGCAAGTTTCACGCAGGCTCTACGTAAGGAAATATCCACCAAGCGTAGCGTCGCTTCTGTTGATCAGGAGCCCACTAAGGTAATCTTTCCCAATGTAGAATTTGTGTTGAATTAGCGTGATTGGCATTCATCGACAAATGGCCAAGCTTTCTCATCCCTAGTTCGTGGATCATTTGCGATGATCTGCAAATCCAACGGCGACCATCTCTCCGACAGTTCATGCTGGCCCTCTGCTAGCCTGTCACCAAGAATCAACAACACAAGGCGAAACTCAGATACATACCTCTCATTGGTTTGAGACAGGTGAAACGTAGCTACCATGTAGGTTTGATTTGCATGAGTTAGAACGACTCAGTACTTACTCAGTGAGCTTGTCTCAAGTTATTCATTCGCCTACTCGCGTTGTACCAATGAGACATGAAACCCATAGCTTCATGTGAGTGTTTCTTGAAGAGGAAAATTGATTAATCTCCGCTAGCATGTACGTCACGCTGTATGCAAGTAAGTTCCGTAGATCAGTAGGCGCGTTATGAAAGGCTCAGACATGCTGGGGTTCAGACGAGCTGGCTTATGTCGCCTATTCAAGCACTCCTGTTTCTCTAACCATCGTGACTGCGCCGGTAAAGTGGGCATGAGACAGGCAGATTTTTTAACGTAATGAAATTCTGACCGGACATGAGACAGAGTATTCAGTTTCATTTTGGAAACGCGATATACAACCACCGTCGATCGTTTATAACGATGTGGTCCTGCTCTTACATCGGCGGCCACAATGAATGAATATGACTAGTGGAGCTTGACGAGGGCGATGAGATTGGTGGCACCGACCTTTTCTACGATATGGCAGCTGAATTCAGTCGATCTCGGATTAGATGCTCTAAAGTTATCAGATTAGTGTAGTGGCCGAGAAATAGGTACAATCTTCTCCGCAGAGAGATACTATCGCCCATTCTAACCGTTTGTATGTACAGCGCAGGATCTGGTTCGCAGATCTCAGACAATCCCATCCTAGTGTCTGCGCCATAGGATTGGATGGTTTGTATTTGCCCAGTCTCTGACCCAACCGGCTCAGAGTTTGGTACCTAAACTAGTATAGAAGCCCTCTCAGTTTCTACTAGCGTTACACAATCCCAATCACCCTCATCTTGAATCAGGATAATATCGTGATGTTAAACATGCTATTAGAGAAAATGTCACCCAAGCCTCGCTTTGGTTAGAGAAACTACTAATTAGCTTATGATATGAACTATATAAGGGAATAATAACAGATAAGTAAATGCGTAGCTGATAATTCGTTATGCCACGTAACATAGCACAACACAGCTCTCATCAAAGCAACTCACTTCAAGCCTGAAACCACACACTGTGCGATTAAGTAGAGCTTAGGTAGTGTTAAGATAATTATCTGAGACCAAGCTTGCCGAAAAGGGCGAAGACAGGACAGTGTCTTTGGAAAGTCCAAGAAGCAGGGTTTTGTACGTTCCTTTTTCTTTTTCTCCTACTAGCCTCGATCGATGGGCTGAATTGTCGAGGGTGATGTCTTACCTAGTACCTATGCAGCTTGAACTTGCACTTAAGGCTGGGAATCAAAACCAGTGTCTCATCAAAATAGACCACGGGCCTGCACGGGGTATCGATAAAAATTAGACATTCATTTGATGTAGCGGAGCGGGTCTAATAAGAAAGGCAACACACTACCCGCAACGCTTGAAAACGCGTTTTTTGCATTGAGGTGGCTACGCAACACCTACATTCTAGCGAGAATAACCCAGTCTGCATGGAATAACGGGAGACCAAACAAATTACAGATATCCATCTAAGGTAGACCCTGTCCAAACTTGATATACGAGGTATTTTTGAGGTGAGCAGTTCTTTCATGAGCTTTTTACTGTTGAAGCTACCTATCACTCTCAACAACTATATCATATTCTACTCATGTGATAATTGCCCAACTCATTGGCATTAGGTAGACTGTAGGCGCATCAACAGCAATCTTTGTACCAATATTCCCTATAGATGATAGTTTAACTGACGAGATAGCTTGTTAATCTGGTAAATTATCAACTTGATAAGCAAACCTACCAAGGGGGATTGGGCATACATTTTCATTCCATGACGATATAAAATGAGAGTCCTTGGGATCAATTGCCTACTAAGTCTATAGCTTACCTAAGCATGCACTTGGACGCCTCGAAATTTCCATTTTAGGAATATTTAATATGAGCTAAGCGGTCCTCTAGAATTGGAATAGTGCGGAGTACCGAGTACATGTGCTACACAGTAGCACTTACGCTGCACCTAGGTACACAGTACTGGTGGATACCTAAGTACCTCGCTCTAAGTACGGAGTACTACCTATCAGCAACCGCGATACGCGATAACAGTACCTATGAGATCCCATCTAAAAATTTACAGAAACTTTTCGAGAGACACAAGCCAACGCAACAGCACACACTCGCCCGCTGTGTGTCTGAGTCATTTGGTGATAGTTCGCCTTGTATCTGCAATGATGCATGCGCTCGCTTCTCAGCCCATTTGCCCGTCTTGTCTATTCACGGCTGCCACCCGAGTGCTCTTCCAAAATGGACGCCAGCCTTGGGCCTCCCGCCGACTTTTCTCCGGACGCGCGAAGGCGAGCCCGTCACGCATGGTGCTCTCAGATCGAGTTGCGCGCCCCCCGCGGCGAGATGAAGATAGTCATGATAAAAGAAGACCTCGTCGAAAATCAGAGGGTCCTTTCGGTGGTATGAACCGGACTTTTGCGCGAGTACGGGAAGATACGCCCAGACAACCCTCTCACTACCGCCGCAACGACAGAGATCGGGGGGACGGGGACGGGACGGATGGCCGACGAGTCAAGGCCATGAAGATGCAGAGCTCTCTCAAAACCATACCGTATAGAGAGAGAACACGCACGAAGGCGAGCATGGCCGAAACCAAATCTTTTGACCAGTTCGCCCTACTACCCACCTTGCAGTCAGCCATCTTGGACGATGTATTGAAAGGGCAAACAGAGGTCAGGCCCACATCTGTCCAGCGATTAGCAATACCGCAATTGCTGGGCCAAAAACCGAGCGGCCGGAGAGAATACCTCCTGGCGGCTGAGACTGGCTCGGGCAAGACTCTTGCTTACCTTTTACCCGCAATCAATGCGTTGAAAACGGCAGAGGCTGCTGATCCCGAAATCATTGCCTACCGCGAGGATTTTCTGAAGCAAAGTGCGGCGATGAAGGAGCCTGGATATGAAGGTCCCCGGGAATTCGAACCTCATCCTACTATGGCACGCCCTAAGGTCATCATTCTTGTTCCTACAGCCGAACTTGTTGACCAAGTCGGCGCAGTTGCCAAATCCCTTTCTCATGCCGTCAAATTCAGAGCCTGTATGTTCTCGGCCAATGTCTCTGCCAAAGTGATACAGGCCTCTATGTACAATCCTAGTGGCATTGATCTCATTATTTCTACACCTCATCTGCTCGCTTCTATGGCCGATTCAGACCCCAACATTCTGTCTCGGGTCAGCCATTTAATCGTTGATGAGGCGGACTCGCTTTTCGACCGCAGCTTCGCGCCAGTGACTACGGCTATTCTAGATCGTGCACTACCCTCCATCAAGCAACTTATACTGTGCTCAGCTACCATCCCCACGCGGCTCGATAATTATCTATTAAGAGAATTTCCGAACATGGAGCGAATCACTACACCAAAGCTGCATTCAATTCCTCGCCGTGTTCAACTTGGTGTTATTGATGTGTCAAAAGACCCATATCGTAACAATAAGGATCTCGCTTGCGCAGATGCCATCTGGTCTATCGGCAAAGACGCCGCTCGTTTCGAAGACACCACATCTGGAGAGATCGAGATCAGGCGTATCATGGTCTTTGTGAATGAGAGAGAGAAGACTCAGGAGGTCGCCGACTACCTCGTCTCTAAAGGCATCGATGCCGTGGCACTTCATCGTGACACCGAAGAGCAGCGCCAGTCCGAGATGCTGGAATCATTCACATCTGCTAAGCCCATGAGGGCCAAGCTTCCGGAAGGCTCATCGCAGCCGGCTGCTGGGCGAAGCAGAAGATCACTTCTAAACACTAAAGTCATCGTAGCTACGGACCTTGCTTCACGAGGCATTGATACCATAGCCGTTCGACACGTAATCTTGTACGATGTACCTCACACGACCATTGACTTCATTCATCGTTTGGGCCGCGCTGGACGCATGGGCAGACGAGGACGAGGTATTGTATTAGTAGGCAAGGCTGACCGGCGCGACATCGTCGCCGAGGTGAGGGAGAGCATGTTTATGGGTCAGGCGCTGATCTAATGTCTAACTATCTAATGATCTCCCGAGTTGTATTCTCCATCCTACTTGGACGACAAGAACTGTATATCTATGTATATCACCTATCCCACAAACTGTATAGCTACTGATGGGTTTCGAAGAAGCATGAAATACAAGGACAAATCATGATACCCTCTCCTAAAAGATGATATTCCATATTTCTTCTATGTTCCGCTGCCATCATCCATCACTCGATACAGTCGATTGTATGGGTGGGTATACTAATGTGACAACTGTCTCTGTGGTCCTGTCTCTGCTCATGTCAAACAGGTCAGATCAGTTTCATCATGCAATCATCTACCCCATCTAATCCTCTATGAACCTGCGTCCCTCACACTCATCTGAGAATAGGACATGGCCAGCATATCCGCAAGCACCGTCCAGAGATCCAAAAGAGCGGTCACCCGCAGGGACAAACCCTGCGCAAACAGATAGCACAGCGTCGGAACCCAAGACGTCTGGTGCTCAAGGACCAAGACAATACGTCACGAGCATATCGCACAAGCGCGGCACCCACCCGGTCCCAATCCACGCAGGCGAGGAGTGAAACCTGTCCGGAATGAACACTCCTAGACCCTTTAGCGCGGAGAAGTACGCTGTGGTGTACATCCTTCAGCCTGACGTTGATCCATGTCCGTGTTAATAGCGAAGACGAGGATGAGCAGTGCGGCCAGGGGATGTTTAGTCTGACCTTTGCTGTCTGCGGGTAGGTAGATCATGGCAAGATTCGACTGCCGTACGAATTTCACACAGTCTGTGGTGGTGCTCGCTGCTGACTGGGCTGTTGGTATCTAGCCACCCAGGATGTCGTGCACGAGACCTCGAGAGATACCCTGGTGGCGACGATATCGTTGGGACATGTGCTTATGGTTCTGCGCACTGTTGAAGGGGCTGTTTCGCTTTCGCTGAGGAGCCTGGTTAGTTCCTTCGTGTGTTGGTTCCGCTGTGTACGTGATGCTCTCTCTCTCTCTCTTCGTTTTTCTTTATTTTCAGCCCCCGCTATCTTCATCCCTCGCTTGTCGTCGAGCCCCGTAACTTCTGGAACTATTGGAGCTTGGTCCGTCTCCATTGTTCTTTGTTAAGCGCATTGTCAATGGCTTCATTGTTACTGGCTGGTGTAGATTCACCCCCCAATGTAGTGCTTCGCGCGGAGTACTCTTGGGAAGTTACATAGTCGTCATACAGTACACGATGAAGGCTCAACTCGTGGTTATGATCTATCATACCGCTTACGTGCTTTAGCAAGGGAAGCCCGGCCACACTGATGATGTCGTGCGCATAGGCGAGCTTAGTGTGTACTGAAGAATACGTATACTACTGTAGCACAGAGATGCATCGGCAGAATACACTCTATGATAGGTGGAATTACCGAGCCTTAGCATCGTGATTATCTACGTGAACAATGCAAGGGGTTTCATATGATCTACCGGTATACACGCCCTCGGCGTCTGTACGCTGCAGATACACACCTGTAGATACTAATTAGTATGCATGACGAAGTCAGCTAGACGTGATATGTGATATATCAACCCGTTTTGATTATGCGCATCGATAAGACGTACGAGATCTACCTGGCCAGTCATCCAGCTAGCTAGTCAGCCTCTGACTGACGTACGTATGTCCTGCCGTGAGCCACTCGTAGTCTCGGCTCTACACCGCCTCGTGTAACGCGATCTCCGCGAAGCTGAAAGTTAGTTCGGTTCCGTGGCGAAACCCGTCATACCTATGAGTCCGTCGGTTCGGTACCGATAAGATGGGGATGTCTCTCCCATCCCTTGACTCCCCCCGCTGCGGGCTGATTCGCTGGTTACCGGCACAAGGGAAACATCTAGTCTGTGTCTCTGTCGATGTGGTACTTAGTGCTGAGATAATCCATACATGACTATCTATTTGTACTCTTGAGGTTGGATTAATATTGAGTGGCGCTAGTGAGCTGGAGGTCCTTTATGCCTAATACCCAGAGGGTAGATGAAGCACTTTACTCACAAGAGCACGATACTTATCTAGGAAACTTTCATCTACCTAATTTGGCAAGCTGTTGAGCTCATGAGAGAAATTTGCTCTACTCCATCTGTAAGACGAAGGGCGTATGTGGAGACAAGGCGGTTCGTCGACCCTAGGAACTGTGTCTAAGTATGAGCCGGAGACGACCACGGATGTCCGTTCTGAAGTCTTGCTGAGTGAGACCAGAAGAAAATTCACGTGATTCAGAGCATTTTTTTTTTCTCCCGGAAGGGACTAACAGAATAGACAACATAGTTGACCTTCGCAGCTAGTATTCGTATTCGGATTACACTGGAGGCCTAACCATCTATGAGGAAATATTCATTTTCAATGTACAACCTTATGGCCTATATGTTCGAAATGTGTATAGAATTAAGGTAGCTAAGTTGTTGATCAATTCCTGGCTCTATATAGATATCTCGTTGCATATGACTTGCACGTAAATCCCGTCTCTTCGCCTTGTTGGAGTTGGCTCTGGGCTATGAGGCACACGATAAGGTGTGGATAAGAATGCCTTGATAGAGTATAGTTAGTATATTTGGATTCACGGGGATAAGTAGTGGGATTTGATTTATAAGTTTTGATTCCAAATTAAGCTACATATTGATCACACTTCACCAGTTATACGTCTTGGGAGCAGAAATGTCTACGCATAGTGAGGCTTGTTGTAGGTATGTATGTATGCTACGTGCGTGGGTTACTGAGCTATAGCGATATATGAGCAACTGACTAGGCTCATCTAGGATCCCGCCCGTGGTGGATGAGGGCTACGAGCCTAAGGGTCGATACCTCGATTTGGGGGGTCTCAAAACATGTGAGTTTTCGTCGGTCGTACTCCGCTCTGGATATCGTCAGAGTCTTCACTAATCAAAGCTGTGTGTGCGAAGATGTGACGGGGCCTGCCGACGCCGACAAGGCCATTCTAGCTGTCTATGACATATTTGGCTTCACGCCGCAGATCCTCCAAGGAGCCGACATATTGGCCACTGGAGACGCAAAGCAGTCGTACCAGGTTTTCATGCCCGACTTCTTTAATGGAAACCCAGCTAAAATGGAATGGTACCCGCCTACCACAGACGAGCAGAATGCTGCTTTGGGAGAGTGGTTCAAGGATGCCTTGTGGTCTATCCATCAGCCCAAGATTCCAGGGATTCTACAAGCCGACCAAATGTTTAATCCAAATGTCAAATCCTGGGGCATCATAGGATATTGTTGGGGTGGCAAGATGGCTAGCTTGGTCGCGGGCGATGAAGCAGGCTTGTTCAAGGTTGCCATGCAGACTTCACCGGCGCGGATTGACGCGCACGAGGGGACTCGGGTTAAGGTCCCTACGATGTTGCTTGCTTCTAACGGCGAATCAACTGAGGATGTGAAGGCCTATGAAGACAGCCTCAACGTACCTAAGTATGTTGAGAGATTCGATGATCAGGTTCATGGGTTCATGAGCGCTCGGGCAGATCTAAAAGATGAGAAGGTCAAAGCAGGGTATGAAAGAGGATATCAGCTCGCACTCAAGTTCTTTCATGAGCACCTATAGAGGTAACCGGCTATAGAGATCCAGGTCGCATGAAATCCTTCTAGAATTGAGGATGTTATCATAAACAACAACAGCCTTGATGCTTACTGTAAGCTGGCGGAAATATCGTGAGCCTACGTAACTTTGTCATGTGAATTAACTGAATGTTTATGATTGCTGCCGAGTGAGGTACATGATGCGATCTTGTAATCTTGGAATCATATCGTCGTCTCATGTTAATGTAATGCCGTCAATTGAGTGACAATGCATGCATGGCCTATTCTGAGCCTGAAATTTAAGCTGACACTACGATTTAAACCTACCCTAAGCATTCAAAATTCAATCTATGAGAGATATTATGAAGAAAATAACTTGGTGATTCTCACCACTCTCACTGTCACTGTCTTACTCATTGATTGATTGATTGATTGTTTAGCCAACCTGAACTTACTATGTAGAAAGAGTTATATAGCAGTAGCTAGTTAGTCATCCCAGCTTTTATCGTAAAAAGTACTCTCGCATTACTAAGGTAAGAGAAACATAGCATCTGAATAGAGGCTACTGGAGTTCCAATGATATCTCTCTCAACATAGTGTACCACTTACTTCGTGAGAAGGTGAATAGTACAAATCTACAGCGTTTCTAGGTAAACGTTGGAGAATACGAGGGGGTACCTGCCAGATGCAAGTGCTCGCATACTTATAACGGGCAGGTATACAGGTACCTTGTACTTAAGGCTGAATGGGGGAAGGAAGGCGGGGTGGGGCACAGTCCTCACAAACACGCTTGTAGCTTCGACGCGTCTGGATATTGTGGTCATGATTCCCCACCATCACAGCTTGCTTCTTTCTTCCCCAAACGCCCATGTACATAGTATTCCTAGGTACCTCGGCGCAGTCGCAACACACCGCCGACATTGATTCCTATTTTCTACTGCATATTCCAGCCAGCCTCTGTACAAGCCCACCTGCTCAGTTCTCGGACATCTCCAATCCCTCTTCTTCATCGAGTTGTAGTGTTTCGCGATGCCACGACCCCGAGTGTCTCGGCCGGCACGAACGCGCCCAACCCAAGCAGCAAACCCCAGTGCTACAGCAGTAACAGCACCAGCACCAGAGTCAGCGTCTACGGTTGCGCTCCAAGCCAACGCGCCCAGCTCTGATATTTACGATGTGAGCGACCGCGAGAAAGAGAAAGCTGCTACGAGGCGCAAGTCGTTACGCAATGGCACGTCACTGCGCAACAGCCGCACTACCTCTACAGAAGCAATACATCAACAAAAAGAGCTGGAGAAGACAAGACAAAGACGTGATGAAGCTATGGAAAGACTCGAGAATATCACATCAACAGCTAGCTCCGCTAAAGAAGAGGACGTCATTCCCAGCACAAATGATTCTGTTGACGCAAGTCAAGGCGTAGTAAAAGCGACACCACCGCGCCGCAGGCCTACGGATATAACTGGCTTGGATTTGGATGACTCTATGTTCAATGATCTCGATACTACCTTGGATACAGTGGGACATGCAAGTGCCCAGCGATCCGCCGAGACATCGACTCTGTCTGTTTCCCAATTCAGACGACGACCGCGCGCTGGCAGCTTTTTGAGTCGCGATGATGGACCAATTCGCCCTAGTAGTAGGGCGGGTCCTAATACTCCCGCCTTTAGCTCCACCCTCAACTTCGGCCAGTTTAAGAGAAGGGCGAGGGAACCCAGCATTCTCAGTACTGCCCAGAAGCCAAGGCCACAGCGTCCCGAACCCGAGCGGGAGCTGGAGGATGAGGATGAAGATGAGGAAGATGAGGAGGAAGATGAAGATGGCATTGCAGAGGATGGGTTTGCGCCAGAGGCCGAATCTACACCCCTGCGACGCTCTAAGAGAAGTTCCGGTGGCGAGGCGCTTGTGCAGTCAACTTCGAGTGCAAAATCACGCAAGAGAAAGTCTGCAGAGGGTCACGAGCGACGTCTTCGATCGTCTCCTTTTGAAGTTCAAGATGAGATTCGCCAATCAATTGAGCAGCCAGCTTCAGACGAAGACTCTCCGTTATCATTGCCACAGCATGCACCTTCGACACCAATTCCGCCAATGGACCCGGAGCTGATGGCCCCTCCTCTCAGCAGTGACTCTTCGGAAAGTGATGAAGAGCTTTGGCCCCCTCTACAATCTATACCAAAAGCACGCACGCGACAGGCAACTTCAGTACTACGACGAACGCCAGTCCAAGATGATAGTGCCTCAGATATGTCATCACCGCCTTCACTTACACATTCTCCCAATTATGCCCATTCATCTTCGCCACCACCCACGCGAGTCGCTCAACCGAAACGCAAAGCATCGGCACCCAAGCCACCGCGTAAATTGACCACAGCTGAGCTCGCGGGGCTACTACCCCGTCGTCGACGTAGAGGTACCGGTGATGATCCTTTCAACATAGATGCGGATGAATCAGAACCTGAAGTTGATATTTCCGGATTGGGTGCCCGTGAAGATGAGCTCGGAACCTTAGACGTCCGTATGAGACGTCGCCCGAACACCCGGGTAAACACCCAAAATAGAGCTACTACAAGAACACGAACTCCAACCCGCAATAAGGATAAAGAAGCTTCCGGTCCTAATAAACGTATATCTAGGACGTATGGTCGATTATCAGACAAAGAGAATGAAAATGAGAACGAAAATGAAGAGGAGGATGAGGGTGAAAATGACAGCAACTCTGTCGCCGATCTGGCCGTGGAGAGCAGTCAGATGCTAGTGGAGAGATTAGGCGAAGAGCTCAAGACCGCCGTGCGCAAGTTTCAGGAGGTGGACAAGTGGGAGCTCTCATTCGAGGAGAGAACGCGAAGTAGTTCACCCGTGGATGCTCGGTGATGAGTGGCTCCGTCTTCGTAGTAGTTTTGAGCGGGAGGCGTGTAACTTAAAACGAACAGCATTGGAGTTTGCTTGGGTTAACGATGATGATGATGATGAGCTTTTTATACGCATCTGTGTCAGCTGTTGATTTTATATGCTGAACGAGACGTGGAAGTTGGGGGGGCTTCGCTAGTGGAAGGTTACATACCTGATTATCTTCGTGGATGAACTAGAAGAAAGTCCGATTAACTTGTTTGCTATTATACTCAATACCACTAAGATCCCCTTCTCTCGTATTATTTCTATAATCTTTGCCGCCTCTATATTTACAGTGTCATGAGTCATTGCCTACACAGTTAAGCCTGCGCAATCGAGGTTTCTACTTTATACTGGATTCGAGCACGCTACTGATATGCTTGTGCGCTCACCAACACGGCTATTAACGCCCTGCGCAGCTGTCTTTTTTACAGCTGCCATTAGAATCAACTGCCTTGTCTAGTTAGGCAAGCAGTCAAGGTCAGGCTGCTAATGCTTTACGAGGCAAGCGAGACGCTCTCGAGAGTCCCGTCAACAATAGGCAGGATTTCCGCAATGCTGTTCGCATCTCGTAACGCCACCGTTATCGCATCGGGTCGTAGGCCGGATAGCAAGAGTTTCTGCGAAACGGGGTTGAGATTAGCGTTTGTCGAGCTGAGCGCAAGGAACTTGATACAGACAGGCACTGCTATGGATATCTCTATTCCCATCCACGGTTATAGAGGGCCTTTGCATAAGAAAATCTAGACACCAGAAAATAGAACTTTGATGAGAGAGAAAAAAAAAACGTACCTGCTTCACATCGCTGAAACTAGCCTCTTTAACCGTGTACTCGCGCGTGATGACCTCGGACGCGAAATCGACGTACACGCGCGTGTCGCGCACGCGACAGACGACGTTATCCAAACGCATGTACAGCCTGCAGAGCAGCAGCATGCGCTCGTCGTGGACGCGGAACTTGGCGCTGAGCACCGAGATGCCGTTGTCGTCGAGCTCGCTCTCGTAGAGCATCACGTCGTCGAAGAAGCGGATCGGGTCGCGCCTCTTGAGGAGCTCGATGGGGATCGGGGTATCGGTCGGGGCGAAGGCTAGTTTCCTACTGCTTTGTTCCGCGGATGTGCCGGCTGGGGAATTCGTCTTGGTACGCTCGTCTGTCACCACTGTCCCTTTGTACGTGGTGCTGTAGCTCCAGTCGAACGGCCTCACGACCTCGCGGATGCCCGCGCTCGTCTGCTCGCGGCTCGCGCTCCATTCGCCGGCGTAGGCGACCTGTAGCATGTTGTTGCCCGTCTTGTCGACGGCGTCGAGGGCGTCGCGCGCGTTGAACTCGATGCGCCACCCGCTCGGCATGTGCGCTATGCTCACGAGGTTGTCGCCGAAGATCATCTCCGGCACCGGGATCCCGATGGCCTTCTCCATGGCCTCGATCGGGCCGGCCTTGGAGATCGGGAGCTTCCGGCTGGATATCGCGAAGGGGCCTTGTCTGTGCGTTGTCGTGGCTGCTGCTAGGTGCTCTGGGCTCGGCCATGGCTCGTTCATCGAGGTGATCGGGTTCATGACCGTCGCTTGCTGGTGGTTTATCGGCGGGGCAGCCATGGCATATATAGGTGGGATGGGCGTGTATCTTCGTTAATAAAGGGGGGTTGCTATGGGTCTCAAGAGAGTTGTAGCATACGCTTCGAAGTATAGTGATCAGAAGAAGTTGATGAAGCTTTTATAATAAATAATAAGAGTAGACTTTGAGATGAGCTGATGCCATCTCTGCAGGTCAAGTACAGTGGAAGCCAAAAGGTCCAAGGAGGGGCACAGCTGGAGAGCTCCAGGTGGGGTTTAACTCGGCCTGCCAAATGCCCAATGCGCCTCATTGCAAGCTTAGGGTCATTACTTACATAAAGCTGCCTTTCTAGGTCGTGATACAGTAGAATATAGCTAGAATATAGATTTACAATTGAGGAACATATGATCTTAATATTCGAGGCCATAAAACCTCTTTCAATATCGTCCCGACGATAAGCTGAAGGGAAAGTCGGGCTCCTAGTACTTGGGCGCTGAGCTTCATCATCACAATACAACAAATACCTACCTGCGAGATACTCCTGTGTGTGCCTAAGATGAAGGCAAATACCCTTCTGCAGTTTCTAACCACTGCTGCCGCTGCACTCGCAGTTAAGAAGAATCTAATCATTGACACCGACCTCTTCAGTGACGTCGAGTAAGCGCTGGGGAAATAAATCTCTCCATATCTATAATTCTCGCGAGTCTCTCCACTTACAGACATCAAAACAGCGACGTAGGAGCCCTGCTTCTCGCAGCCACATCGCCGTGCGTAAATCTCCTCGCCGTCAACATCAACTACCCTTCCACTTTCTCAGCCCTTGCTGCATCGGCTATCCTGGCGCACTATGGCCACCCCGATATCCCAATTGGAATTCGACGTCCGTTGACCAACGCCACGTTCTTCGACGCGTGGTCCTATGAGGTTGGTGAATACGCCAGCAAGATCGCATTTCACTGGTCTGGCGGGAGTCTACCGTGGGGCCATGCGGAAGAGGCATGGGATCCCGTTGCGCTGTATAGAAAGGTACTTGCCGAGGCCGAGGATGGCACGGTGACGATTGCGTCGATTGGGTTCTTCGATAATGTGAGTCGTCTGATGAAGCAATCTACAACTAGCATTCTAACTTTAGAACGAAAGCTATCAGGATTGTTAAACTCGACGGCTGATGACTACTCCGATCTTGATGGCCGTGAACTCGTCGCGCGCAAGGTCTCCGAGCTCGTGATCATGGGCGGTGGCTATCCCTCGGGACACGAATTCAACTTCTGGGGCTCTAATGCCAGTCTGACGGCACATGTAGTTCACACATGGGAGGGCCGAATGGTTTTCCTGGGCGAAGAAGTTGGTAAGCCTGTCAAATCCGGCGGACGGCTGATGTCTGAAGGACCCAGCACGGATCCGGCGCGAATGGCGTATATCTACTACACGTACTATTCGTCGCGGCAATCATGGGATCCTCTGACGCTTCTGTACGCCATGAATGGGTTGGGGAGTCTGTTCCAGTTTGGAAACGAATATGGGTATAATCACGTAGAAGCTGATGGGACGAATCGATGGGTATGGGACGAAAAAGTGCGGAATCGGTTTTTCTTGAAGCTGGCGGTTGATGAAGAAACGGCTGCTGCAGAGCTAGATCGACTGTTTCTTGAAGGTGCCTTCTCAGTCACGACACAGACTATTAACGAAGCAGTAACCACGCTCTTTTCCTATTGTTAAATTCACTCTCGTCATACCAAGCCATAATGATCTGAAAATCACGGCTTGAACCCAGTGCAGTCTTAAGCTCTTTGTCTGAATTATAACAGACAAGGATATGCATATATCTACCTGTAGGATCTCGGATGGGTCCTCTGCAAGCATTGAATTTGACCCATCAATTGGTGGAATATAAGCGGCAAACGGCACTTGATCTTAAGTGCTGCTTGGCTTATTTTGATCAACGTCGAGAGTTCTTCAAGTTTTGGTGACTATTATGTAGGCCAAGTAACAGCTAGGTACGCTAGTACTAAAGGATTCAAGCTCAGGGTCCTTCGTTGCAGATTCAGCTACTGCTCTATTTTTATAGTAGCCTCGAACTCATACCGAACGATCTCCGCGCTTTCATAGAGTAGAATTCATCATGGTAGAGCCTGTAGATAGCATGGTAAAACGCGTTTGAGGACCATTTATTCGTAGAGATGGAGGTATATAGAAACCGACACAAAGATTACTTGTCTAGATTCAATTCAATTGGTTATTTTCCCCTTTTCAGAAAGACCAATCAGCAATGATCATCACGAGGCCTCCTTTGGTCAAAAGATAGAAGAATTGCACTTGAGCTTCAATGCGAATGCGAATATGTAATGCAAGTCAGATACCATCTCACCATCTCACATACCTACATCATACCTGATCCACGCATGCAGGTCAAAGAAGCTTGTCTGAGGCTTAGTCACGTCTCGATTAATTTCAGCGTCCAATCACAAGCCCTCCTCAGCCAAAAGCTCGCTTTCGCTTTCGTTAGTTTGCCCACTTTGGGACTAGGGCCTGAAAGCTGGGATTTCGACTATGGAACGCCTCACGCCGTCGACGACGACACACAGCATGCTCCGCCGCGCAGCCTGGCTGAGGTCCTTGTCATTGGACAGAATAACGAGTGAGAATATAGCAGGGTCGCGATCTTGGTGCTTCATATTCCTTCGTGTGGAGGTAGGTATCGGGATAGCATGCCGTGAAAGTTATATAAGGAGGTAGGTATGCGTAGTCTTGGCTCGAGATGTAGCTCATTGAATATCGACATCCATCTCCATACCTCTCTCTTCGTTATAGAGAATTCATCTTATATATTTATTCACTTGACTTCGACCCATTGTAGCTTGGAATTGCTATACCGTCCTCGAACGACCCTCAACATGGAGATCACCGTGCGCAACGGCATCTCCATTACCCAAATCATACTTTATGTACCATTCCTCGCAGTTGCTACGCTTCTCTGCGTACGACACGGTTTCGGACAGAACGCAGGATGGCTATTCCTGTTCTTATTCTCGCTCCTGCGCATCATTGGCGCGGCGTTACAGCTCGCAGCCACAGCTCAGCCAGATAATATCGGCTTGTTCTTCGGCGCCTTGACCCTGCAAGCCATCGGACTCACAGACTTCATCGTCATGCTGCTAGCCCTGATCAACAGGGCATGTGAGAGTGCCGAGAAAGCCCGAAATGTCCTCGTCAACCCGCGCGTCCTCTACTGGGCACAATTACTCGTCTTCGTGGCCGTGATTCTCGGCATCGTTGGCGGTACGACAGCGGGCAGCAACTATGCCGACACAGGAATGTACAAGGCGTCCTCCGTGTCGCAAGCGAGTATCGGGCTCACGATAGCCGGTTACGTTCTGTTGGTCATCGCAACAGCGCAGCTGTTATTCAGCATCTCGCACGTCGAAGCCGGCGAGAGGCGCTTAGTTCTGGCCATTGCCTTTTGCTTGCCCTTTCTCCTCGTTCGCCTCCTCTACCAGGCCATCGGCACCTTTGACCGGCATTCTGCGTTCAACAGCGTGTCAGGGAATGCCTACGTCTTTCTGGGGACCGCCGTCATTGAGGAGATCATCATCGTTGTGATTATTGAAGTGGTTGGTCTGACACTCCAAGTGCGTCCAAAAGCCGATACACCTGCCGGTGGCTCACGGCCTCTGGGGCGCTTGTACGATCGTCTCAAGGGACGCTATGATGCTATTGAAATGCAAGGCGTGGGACAACATCAGACCCGGCGTCAGGGCCGGCGTCAGGGCCGACATGAACGACGATATGAACAACGATATGGCCCCGTTTCTGGGGTATGATGTGGGCAGTGCTAGGATGATGGAAGTTGAAAAGTTTCTGGGGGCATGTGTAAGAGTTTTTAGGAATTATTGCGTGAGGCGTTTAGATGGATACCCAACTGGTCTCTTTTGTTTTGTTCGCTGGACATAAAAGCACGACGCGAATATTATTATATATTACATGTTTTAGAATAAATAGAATTTATACAAACATGGAATGGAGGAAAAAAACATGTGAGAATCACAGCATATCCATAGTGAGCTCTTGGTGAAAATGGGAGCGTTTAGGCAGGTGATTTTTTTGGCGGGGTAAAACTTAATCACACTCATGGTGGGAGGGAGGTACTGACTCTTGGCACGTAACGCTGAATAGTTCGCCTATCCAAAGATTTCCCCTTCACCTCATTGCAAGAAACAACGCCTTCTCCTAATCCCTCTGCGTGAGCTTTAGTTTTAAGCCATGCCGGTATGACTTCCCATTACCAGAGCTATTCTATACGAATCAGTGTTAACCCATCGAAAAGCTCATTATAGTCACCGGATTCCCCACGTCCGGCAAGTCGACCCGCGCAAAGCAACTACACACATATCTTTCCGAGCGCATAAAAGCTGCAACACCAGACGGTGCGACCCCCAAGCATCGCCTGCACTTGATATCGGATCAAACGCTCTCCATATCTCGGTCCGTGTACGACTTGTCCGCTCTCCCCGCCCACACCCGGTCCGCGAACGCCTCGGAAAAGGACGCGCGCGCCGCCATATACGGCGCCGTCAAGCGCGTGCTAAGCGACAAGGACATCGTCATCCTCGACGGGCTGAACTACATCAAGGGATGGCGCTACCAGCTGCACTGCGAGTCCAAGGCCGTGCGCACTCCCAGCTGCATACTACAGATCGGATGCTCGAAAGAGAAGTCCCGCGAGATCAACGAGGCGCGCTTGCACGGCGAAGCAGCGGGCGCGCAGGAAGCGCGGAAGTTAGGCAATGATGCCGAAGACGCAGAAGGCGCGTACGAGCCGGCGAATTGGGAAAACCTGGTATTTCGCTACGAAGAGCCGAATCCCATGACGAGGTGGGACAGCCCGCTCTTCACGCTGATATGGGAGGACGGCGAAGCGCAGACGAGGCAGGTCTTCGACAGCTTGTGGGAGGCCATTGCGGGAGAAACGCGCAAGATCGTCAAGCCGAATCAGGCAACTGTGCAACGGGGTCGGGATGCTGACGGCGATTATTTGTACGTGCTGGATCGCGAAACGCAGGATATCGTTAAGCGAATCCTCGAACAACAGGGCGATGAAGGTGGGGGCGACGTCTCGATACCGCGGGCCAGTGGGCAGGGAGACGACACTTTGACCGTTGAACTACCTAGTAGGAAAGTCGGGTTGCCTCAACTTCAGAGGTTACGGAGGGCCTTCATGGGGCTGAATAGGGGCGGTATTGGTCTTGAGGGCATAGGGAATATGGGTCCGTCGAGGATACGTGAAAGCTTCGTGGTGTATTTGAATGATAACTTCGAGAAGGATGGATAACACCTGACTTCGCTTTATTATTTTCTTGGCCAGTGCTCGGACTATTTTTACTTAGATACCCCTGTTTCTTGAATTTAAAGATCGGCAACGATGCCTCTTCTCTACTGGTAAAGCGCCATGAATGTATCTCACTCTTTGCCTATGTTACCGACCTCTCTAACGTCGTTGCGATTCCGCCTATCATTTACGTATTTGGATTGGGAGATATCTATCTGTGTCTAGCCTTATGTTTTTAGAGACCCTGTCGATGTAAGCTCAGGCCTCGGGGCTGAGATTCAAAGATCTTCTTTGGCTGAATCCAGCCTCCCCAACGATCAGCCACAGTGACAGTAATTTAAGATTAGGTAACTCGGCCTCGAATGTTACCCGTCACAGTCATAATAGGTATTGATGATCTACGTAGTTTGAGGACAGTAAGTCCTTCTTCAAATTAGAAACCAAGTTTCCGCCATCCATTTCCGGCTTACCTGCCCGTGAAACAACCAACATTATGCCATCGGTCCCGAGGGGGTGGTCTGACTACATATTAGTGAACGAATAGAATCAAGCTTCCGGTACACCCAACGTCTTCTCCTCTTAGAAGCCAACACGCTAGAAGAAATCCCGCAAGCGAGTGCAAACGTATCAATGATGTTAGGAGCCTCATTCTATGCTTGAGCTATCGGGTTCGCTGAATATAGCCCGCGTAAACATTATCGATAGGTGCGATACATCGGTTGGGTAGTATCCTCGCATCACGGCGGCTTAGAAATTTCACTGAGTGCGACATCCATAAGCAGGCTGCGTCTTATAGTGCATTTCATATACAGACATACGGACAATCTAATCGGGGGTTAAAAGCGCCCGGGAGCCTACAGAAGCCCAGGGCAAGCGAGCCAATGAAACTGATAATATCAGATGCAACCATTCTGAGGGGCTGCGCCACCATCTTCTATATAACAGGCTATGATAAGGTCGGGCAAGTCATCACAGCTGTGCCCAGTTCTAACCCCCTTTCGTCAGCACCATAGCACAACGTCCCGTAATTTTGCCTTCGTCACGGATGTGCGAAGAAGAGATACCATAACGACAGGTACATCAGTTCCTCCCAACGGCGGAAGAATATGGCCTCTACAATGACGTTGACAGAGAACGATGAGTTCGATTACAAGAGTCGGTTCAAGGAGGAAAGCGTGGATTCAACCCGAAGTATCTCAAATTTCCCATGTTGTCCCTGGACCAATCATGCACCAAGGGAATCCATCAGAAGTTCCCTGGACAGTTTTGGCCTGGAAAGTTTCCGGAAGAACTTATTGCTGAAGACCATCACATCTCATTGTGCCGGGGCTTTCATAGTGCTCAAAGAGTTTGGTCCAACATCTTCCTTTTCGGCCGAACTGGAAGTATATGAGAAATTATCAAATGACCGGCTTGCAAGCGGTACCATATTCCTTCGAAAAACCACAGTAGATAAGAATTCCGATATCACGGAAATTCGAATTTCTTGGGAGGAGCGAAAACCAGACAGAGAACCAGAAATAGACGGCCTCCTAAAACTGGACGGCCTGGGCTATTACAATGATTTGGACAGTTGTGCAAAACTTTCAGAGCCAATTCAGTCAATGGGATTCTACTACCAGCTAATGCTAGAGACGTATACCGGCCCCGAGGATGATATATCTCATAGCGCACAACACAATTCTATTTGGAGCGAAATACGCGGTGATCTTTATCACCACAATGGCGAAACGGAGACACATTGGTCTATATGCTCCTCCGGATCACGTTCATGGGGATATCACTCTATCGCCGAGCGCGATGATTGCGTAGATATCTCCGTGTCCTATATCTATGGATTATCAACCATAGAAACGTTTCGTTGTGTGACTATTCGAATAAATGCATGCACCGAGGCCGTGATCCAACTCAGTCTCCAGAACAACGTGGAACGAAAAGCAAAACAGGGTGATCCTGACCCACACACCTCGATATTTTACCAAAGATCATGTTTAAAAGTGGATTTTCTTTGTATCAATAAGAAAGGCGTTATAAAGCACAAAAATACAACCAATCAACCAAAACCTAATAGGATGGCGGCTGCCATGAATATGCGCGAAGCTTCAGCAGCCCCGAAGGATCCGGAAACCTCACGATGCCCATTCAGAAACAATCTATTAAAGCGGCGTAAAGACTCCGAAGAACTCGAGAGCGAGCAGCTCGCAGAGAAACCGGAGTCGAGTGACGGTACAGCTAGGAAAAGAATAACGCCAGATGATACGGGCGGCTTGGCCTGTCCATTTTATAAAAGGGATCCTTGGAGATTCGACCGATGCCTCACGTACAAGATGTCAAAGATAAGCTACGTAAAGCAACATCTACTGCGGTATCACGACACGCTGGAATGCGATCGCCCAACATGCCAGAATCCCCTCATCAATACGACGGAGCAAGATTCCCACACAGACTGCCAGAAAGGCCAATGCACACTCTACGGCATGACGGCCAAGCAAAAACGGGACATCCAGAAAGCAGCCGGGCGTAAGATCACATGCGAGGTCAAGTGGTATCAGATATGGGCCATCCTGTTCCCGGGCGCCAGAAAGCCCGACTCGCCCTTCGTCAAGAGCCACTACTTCGCCGAGGTGCTGTCCTCCATCCAAGCATTCTACCACGACGATTCCAAGCCCCACGTCCTCGAGGACGCTTTCCGGCATGTTTTGAAAGACGGCCGCACGTATCAAGAGGCTTTCGACGGGTTACTTAGGAGGATTGAACACCGAGTATTGACGCAGGCCCTGGGTCTCGGCTCGTCTTCCCGTTCCGTCGGGGCTGACGGCGCGGATTGGCTAGTTTCTTGCAGAAGCCCAAGCACGAATAACGACGAAGAGCCATTTTCATTCTCTCCAATGCCGGGCGAGCATAATGCAAACCCTATTGTAAGCCCCTCAGCCATCAGGGGCGATGAGGAGAAGGCTCTTGCCATGGATGATGAGTCCGGAATACTGTCTTACGACACCGAGCTTCAAATATGCCCTTTTATCTGGGATGGTGCTGATGCAAGCGAACGCCATAAGATGCTTATGAGGTCGCCGGATCCTTCGCAGTTTGTTCAGATAGACGGGCCATCGTCTTACCAAGATACCTCGTCGCTTGACTGTGAGTCCCAAGATGCAGTCATTTATCATGATAATACAATGAATTGTCATATGGCTGCTATGTTTGAGCATTCCTACTTCACGAGTTCGCCCACTTCTGCAGATTACGGCGTTGGCGCAGGAATATCCGATTGGATAATAGAATAGAGAGGTAAGCATGCTCGCACCAGGGCTGGTTATAGTCATTATGTTATAGTCCATTCGAGTAGGTGGTAGCACATCGAGCTTACTAGGACAGTCAATTGATGATATGTGCAGGTTTGGCTCTGCCTGACGCAGTGCCGCGTGACAGCAGATATGCTAATTAGTGTTTAGTACGAACCCTACGAGTGTTTTGACTAGCCGCCTTCTAGTTGACTGTTAAGTAAAATATTGTCTATTCAATATCCCTGAGATTATTCCTTGGCGTGTGATATTATGGGAACGAACAACATATTGTCGAATAATTACCAAACCTGTTAGTTGGTTGACTGATCGATTCTATATTCTATGGCGGGGTTATTGTTTCGTCGGGCGGAGAAGGAAAGATGGTTGGGAACGTATCTCTCTCGCTTGAATCGAGAGGGAGAGAATAGGAGCGCTGGGATCTCCTGTTCTCTCATGGCACAAACCTCATAGCATCAGCCAATTAATTTGTTGTTGCATTCTGAAATCTAACGTAGAAGGCAAGCAGGCTGGGTGCTGATGTGCACTTATCGTTGGGTTGGGCTTCATCATTGCTTCTAAACCCATGTCCAACTCCAAATACGCCTGATTTTGCACTTGGGGCAGTATAAATGATCCCTTAGAGAGCAAGTAAGGCCATGGATGATGTTGCATGTGTGCAATGGGCACACAGGGATAAGACTGGCTTCGCGTAAGCATGCAAGTCCCGATTGAGACATCGTCACTTGAGAAAGAAACTGCGAAGCGCCCTACGAGCATTTATTAGGGGTAGTATTACCGACCTCCATGAAGGTAAGCTGGTGAATCGTGACTGATGCCATACCACCCACCCTTTACAGCTTGACCGAAACTTGCGAGCCGCGTTTATTGGGGTTTGCTCGCCCACGGGATCAACTCAAGGAGGGAGAAACGTGCATCTTATGTAGATAGTCCTACATGGGCACCGCCCCGGCCATCTACATGTATGAGCGGTAGGTTGTTCGTTTGTGCGGCTCTGCTGGTTGTGGGTTGAGTACAATTAGCCAGAAACTCCACCATGGGGGGGAATATGCGGGATCCCGTCTTGTCTCTTGTGCGCTAGTCCCGATTCTTGCCCCGAGCCATGGTCCAGGAAACCACGCCAGCGACGATCGACTTAGATCGTGTGGAGAAAGGTGGATATACTAGGTTGGCCGAGTACATGGGCCAGCAGCCCCAACTCGCTATCTTCCGAAGATTTGGAACTTTGGCTAATGCGAACCTGTTGTACCTTCAGGCTGAGATCGTAGAACTTGAGAATCACTTGAAGCTTGTTCAGGATGAGGATAGCCAGACGAATGACGATGCTCGGCAAAAGTATTTCCAGTCATGGAACCGACTGTCCTACTCAGCTTGTCTTAAACCTGGAAGCCCGGAACGAGAACAGTACGAGTTGATCATGAAACTTCGCGAGCTCATGGCCCAGTACCGTATGTCCTGATTCCTGAATCTTGCCTTAGTCCTCTTCGGAGTGATCAGACTGATTTGCTAACAACGCTCATCTAATCGTTTGGTAGATCAAGCACTCGACGACCAAAAGAAAACCCTGGCGCTTCGGACACCTCATGTCAAAATGCTCAGAGACCTGCGTGAATGGATACGGCGTCCGGAAATGGGATTCATCCATATTACAAGCAAGGACTGGGAAACATGGGATTACTACGACGTAGCTGACTTGGTGACGTTCGAGAACTCGGCAATGGACCGTTTCACCTCGTTGGTAACGTACACAATTATTGACGTCTACCATCGCCTCATTGGGAGGCATATCCACGTATGCGCATCCCGCTGAGAACACCGCCATCTTTTTCTATACTGTAATTAGCGTGCTTTCGTTCTGTTCGACTAACGGAAGGTGACTTAGCGAGCGAGAGAGGGAACGGTCCTCCCGCTAAACTACCAAGACGACCGCCATACAGTAACATATAGCCATAAGTCGATCGTTCGGTTCACACAAGCTTTCACCGTATTGATTGCTTGTACACTGCCGATTGCCGCTATTGTTGTTCTGTACAATGTGCGCGATATGCCTACGCGGATCGGTGTCATTGCGGCTTTAACGGGACTATTCTCGACTTCGATGAGCATTCTCACGATGGCGTCGCTTCAAGAGATATTTGCTGCCACTGCAGCGTAAGCGCAGCGTAACCCTGCCACCTTGGCTCGACTTGCACTGACCATTCAAGCAGGTTTGCAGCTGTCCTAGTGTTTTTCCTTGGTAGCGATATCAAGTCATAAGAGCATCGTCTAGGATTCAGATTATGAGCCCCTTGCAGATGAAGAGAGCTCCTTTAGGGCTGGCTGCTGGACTTGGTCTCTCGTGTCCCTTAGGCACGTAACAGACTGGGGCCAGCTGATAGCGGCTTGGCAGACCCACTACCGGTAGCGACTTGGCGGGGTTAATGACGTCATCGGTCGTTTTATAATGTATCTCATTTCCTGTCTGTCGTTGGGAATCTCAAGAAAGCTGAGCTTGAAGGCTGCTAAATAGGGTCCTGTTAGGTCCTGTTAGGCCCTGTTAAGTTCTATTACATACATATTAGTTGTTTTCCTACAATATCATAGAATTACGATCTTTATCAAGCTGTGACGGCGCTGATAACATAGTGTAGAGGTAGGACTTGTACCTAACTATGTGCACGAATATACCTTCATCATTTGAGCGTCATTACGTGTGTGTGCCTACGGTAAGTACCGTACATAGCATGAATGAAACACGGGCAACACACCAAAGGACCATATTTTCCATTGAGGTGTTGCCATTCTTAGCCCGAGCCTGCTCGAGGTATGCTTTGCTTCTTTTGACGGCATTTATCTTCAGCCAAAGGGAAATATTTACTATCGAGGATCGATGTTTCCCGGGATCTACACAATCATCAAACTCGTCTTCATTTGTTACCGGGCTCTCGGGGAGATTACGGCAGGGGATCTTCCATCTTACATACAGTACAGTAGTGGAATTATAGGCATGGGATGAGCGAGCACGGGAGCCAATCGACATAGCGTACACATGAAGTCTCTACTGTAGATCAGCTGATATATCATCATACGATACTTATGATCTTTAACTCGGGCTTAAAGTGAGAATCACTCATCTATGTGTGTAAAGTGGCGACGAGAATGGAACCATAAGGTACCTATGTATCTTGCTTACCTAGGTAACTTCCACTCACCAGTTCACATCTCTGTAAAGAATCTCAACCATGATATCTCCGCACACTGCTTAGGGATATTCAATCCATTCTACTCCGATACCGGTATGTTTCGTGGAATAGGTACGACATTCACAACAACCCAACGAAGGATGGACATACGTAAGTAATGCACGGGCTACTGTGGTGCCGAAACAAGTGGCGTTCGCGGTGCAGGGATGCAGGTACCAGTGGTGCGGTACGCTGTAGGCGTGGTTTAGGTGACCACAGTGGCTTACACGGCATATTGATAGTGGAATTGCCGCTAGCCGAACCCTGTAGCACACACACCTAGCGCCTTATGTAGTTACCTAAGGTCGGTAACTAATAGAGTTACTGAGGGGCTAAACTTAGCACGATCGTGCTGTTTGATATCTCACTAGGTACTTAGTACGTACCTAGATAGCCCCGGTTCTCCCTCACAATTACACGATGGAAACACGGCGTGTGATTGTTTCGCAGGGGCTTCTTAATGTCAGCCTACGGGTTTAACATCTCGTAACTCCAGTAGATCTGGTATAGAATGTTTCATGGGATTGATCTATTACGTGTAATTGATAAGCCCGGCACGGATACGTACATGCAAACAATTGTGATGGTGGCAAAAGCGCGCTAGTAAGTTTTAGCGTAGGTAGGTACCTAGTAAGTAGTTTAGTGTCGGGCCACTGATTGTTTCCTCCCTTGCGTGGCCCGTGGTCTAGAGGTTTGAAGAGAGTTGGGCATCTCAACCGTCTATCGAATGCATGTATCGCCAGTTATTAGAGCTCTTTTCAAATCGATCTCTTTCCCAAGCCCTGCGAGTTAAGCTGCTCAACAAATATGTCTTCCACAGTGTGTCCCACGAGGAGGTTACCAAGGCGGGCTGAAACCTCCGGTATCTAGGTCCCCCCTTATCCCTTGTGCACATAACCCCATCACACCTTTTGCTGCTTCCAGTAGTACGTGATACGGTATGCAAGGGATACTTACTGACAGTCATTCCATGGCCAGCCGAACTCAGGTACATTCTCGAGATGTATCACCAGACGCGGGACGAACGTGAAAGGGAGAGGCTAGCGCAAATAGCCCGCTACCTAGCGGCGAGACAGAACCCACCGAACCCACCTCCTCAGAACCAGAACCCACAGGATCGGAACGGCAACCGTCATTAGCAGGTATGCGCATCGTCTTTGCTCGTCTTTGCTCGTTCAGAGAATTTCCCGGACCTGATCTTGCTAACATGTACCAGCTTGAATAGGTAGTCCCTCCTATCGTTCGGACCCCGCTACCCGTCTTGTGAAACGACAACCTGTGCGTAAGCTTCGATCGTCCGACCCTCATATCCCACCACCCACATCACGTCCTACCCGGTGTTCGAGGACCATCGTCACACGTACCATGACAAATATAGACATCGCACAAGGAAACAGCCGCCGTGGTTTGTCATGATATGAAGCAAAAGAGCGCTATACGAGGATAAAACGAGGATCCTGCTGTTGGGGTAGTAACGGCATTACCTGCCGCAAAAAGGAGAGCGGTCCTGCTGGAAGATAAACTGGCGCCATCAATGGCATGAGGAAATATAAAAGACAAAAGGTAGAATGAATGAATGACAGCTCCTCTCTATTTGCCATCGTACCACTCGAGGCAGTGCAAGAAAAAAGGGAGGGACTCTACACTGAACACAGAGGTGTTGAGTCTCACTTTTTTCTTTCACCGCTTCGCCACTCTGTCCGTGATCCTATCGATACGCTGTAGATGATGCCCCATGGGTGCTAGTATTGTCTCAAACAGAACGATCAAGGCAGATGGACCCTGTGAGTATTCTGAGACTCTTTCCCTACTAGTTCGATGGTCAGCTAATTCGATAGGGAGGCACTGCCGATGGGACGGGCATACTGACTCACCCTACTTTTGCTATGATATCGAGGGAACTTCAGACCACCAAACTTCAGCGCCCATGATATATAATACCAACGAGTAAAGTAAAGAGAAAAAGGGGTTGATTCCAAGGCAGGCTGAAGCGCGTCGGCTGACCAAGGCTGGCTCTCACGTGAGGTGGGATCAGCCGCATATAAAATGGTGGCCTGAGTAATCAGGAGATTCGAATGCCTGTAACCCATAAATGCACAAGTAGTCGTCTTCCATGGTTTTCCACGGCTTAATGACTCATTAACTTTAGTTCTGCGAAGCAAGGTGAGAATTTTGTAAATGTTGGTTGGGATTGCTCCTAGGGCTATATATGCCCCATGCAAGGGATCGTAAGCCCATGTCAAGATCCCGTAGAATCCGAAGGGGAAAACTGACTAATGAGTTTATCTCCTTCCAATTTAAGCCATCAAGGAATCGAGTCCCTGATCGAATGACCGTGGAAAGGACTATAAGTAAGCCTTGTGCATCTTCTAGGTAGGGATGTCTTATCTCAGGACTTCACCCGTGTTCTCCGATATTCAACAAGGTTTTCCTGGACTTTTAGAAGAGACGATAGACTAGTGATAGTAGGTTCTCGAACCGGTGATTCGCGTTGTTTAGATCCTGGCCGTGCTATGTTAACAGAAATCCTAAAGGTGAATCCCACTTATGGAAGTAACATCCTTAACATTGAGTATATTTATGATCCAAATCCAGCACACCGTACTCAAGAGACAAGTGCTGTCTAACTGGCATGTATGAACTAACTTTGAACGAAACAACGGTACGCAATACATTCTTCACTTACAATAGAGCCAGTTTTGGGAATAAAGGAATTCAAAGTATATAGTCAGAAGGAGTCTGAATACCCTCACTCTTAACTCGGGATACCCACACTCCTCGCTATGAGTCATGACACACAGATATCATCTCTATTCCTGGCTCATGGCGATAGATGGACGAAAGTGATGATTCTGATGAGGGAAGTGAAAATGGACCCTAGAAGCTGGGTGTGGCAGCTGCATCATGGGGGTACTCACTGTATGATAATTGCCATTGCACGACAGTTTCGAAGAAGCCTTCGTGCCGCGGCTAGGGCTATATACAGAGAGACCCTTGGTCTGTATAGCCCTAGGATCGTGACAAGTACAGGGGAGGAGAGATATAACAACTAGTATAAGGCACGTACCCTAGCGCCCAACTTGGACCCCGGCAGACTCATAGTGCCAAGGATCGAGACTACCTAGCCTACAAATCCTCGTTCGCGATGGGAATGTTGAGTGTAGAATTCCCCTTGATGATCCCTTAGATGAGACGTTGACGTTGATGTTGATGAAACAGGCACGAGCCGCCCCAAGGACGCCTCCGCCTCAACCATGCGCGACTTCGGACGAATATATAGGTATGCATAAATCCGTTCGCACCAACCAACTTCACTAATTTCTCCGGAGGACGTTTTCCCAGCAACCGCATAGCGCGCCCTCTCCCCTCACCCGGCAGATGAGATTGGAGCACAGTTGCGTGCCCTCCACCTATTGGCAACCAAGAGAGCAAGCCTAACGGCTCCTGTAAGACCAGAGGGTATATAGTAGTAGCACCGTGTTTTGGTCTGCGGACAGGTCAAAGACATATCGAGAATACGACACAGCAATCATCGAACTCCTATACAGCCTGCTTTAAGTAGGTATACAGTGGCTCAAAGAAAGCCTACTCAGCGGTTTGCAAAGTCCCAATGTCTTCCCAGCGCAAAAAACCACATACCTGTCCTCGTTCATGAGCCAAAAAAATAAAAAACAATAAAAAAAAAAAACAATAAAAAATAAAAAATAAAACAGATAAAACTCGTTTCTCTAAAAGGCAACCAAGGCATCAGAATACCCTATTTGTCTAGATTAATTCGAGATTGTAAACGCGTTATTGTGCTGTTTTCTATCAGGAGTGTCTATTGACTGTATATAGGTGGTAGCATTCAACCATGCCACTACGAATCAACACCATCATTGCCTAGGTAACCTTAGATAGCTGATTCTCAGGCAAACAAAGCCCAACTTACATTATTAGAATCAAGGTTGAATCTGCTCGTGATCCCGCTTACAACGGTAAACATGCCTTTGCATACTGTAGGAAGCGATGGTTATACTGGTTTAGCGTACCCTAGCTTCAGATCAAAATAGTGCAATCAACTGTGGGTAAAAGCCGTGTGAGATTCTAGGTACTAAGCACCGCCCCTTTGTATCTCTCAACAGTCAGTCGTTAAATAGTATTAAATGGCCACCTCTCCCGATGAAGACAGAAGGTGTTATTATCATGAAATGCTTCATATTATACTAGGTAGAAGAAGGTCTGAGCTCGCAGAACGCACAGTCCTCCTCCTATGCAAGCGCGTGTAGGCCAGCCAGTGAGCGGTGGTACTGAAGTACCCGTGGTCTAGACCGCTATATAGCCGACACCTTTCCCTGTCGCCAGAGATGCTTCCACTCGCGCGCAACCTCCTCCAGCGTGCGCTGCACCAGCTCCCGCCTCTCCGTCGAAGACGACACCCGCTTGGGCACCTCGCTAAATAAGTAATCGTTGTACAGGTTTATTTCTTCCGGGAGATCCTGGTCGATGTACGGGCAGTGCGGAGGCGGTTCGTCGAAAATGATTTTCCAGATGTCGCGCCACTGCTCTGCTTCGTCGACCGACTGGTCGGAGCGCTGCGATAGCTTCTCCTTCGTCGCCTCTGTGATCCCTTCTACCGTGCCCGGCCTCACCTCGCAGTGCTCTTCTTCTGTTCGACGGAGGTGTGCATCGCGCTCTAGCAACGTGGAGAATACCTCGAAGCATCGCGGACAGTGTGGGGGGACTATGTGCGCTCGAACTAGATGTTGCTTCACGTAGCTGATTTTCGATAGCTTGAGGCGGGCACAGGGTTGGTATGTCTTTGGATTGAATTTGTAGAAGGGACAGGCGAGAGTGATGGCCCCAGGAGGGGTCGCCCGTAGTGATGCTCGGCTTTTCTGAGGCATCCGTCAAAAGGGTGCTAGGGGAAGATGATGATGATGACCATCAGAGTGTAGGTAGTTAGTTACCTCTTGATGTCTCGTGGATTTATATGTGGAACTGGACTGGTGCCGGAGTTTTTGTTTGTGTTTTGGACGGAGGGATGGATTCGAGTCTGGCGACGAAGAATACGCGCGTTTCCTCGGTTTGGACAACAACATTTCTCTATTGAATCAATCGACACTAGAATGTTTCTACATTACAGAAATCCCCGTCCAAGTCACGATGAGGCTCTACAGGTTTTAAGTACGCTCGACCTTGACGACATAAATCCACAAATCTGCTATTATCATCTACCATTACCATCCATCCAAACGGTAGGTACATGCTGAGATACGCCAGCCCCTTTAGGGCAATTAATTGGATGATGTGATAGTGGCAGTGAACGTAACCTCCTGTAGACTACAGTTCCAGGCGAGCACATAGCTCGGGAGGGGGGGCGCGCACCAGCAGTGCCAAGTTGGTGACAAATTCTCGCACTTACATACTTATGGTCCTTTATAGAAGCTGGTACTAGTACTACCTACATGGGGGCTCCATACATGGTACATGGTGAAGTACCAGGTACATGGTAACTCGCGACGTGACCGCGTAATTTACCTCCCTCGCTAACAGTCAGTCAGCCAAGCTGAACATAGTAGTGCTCACTGAGGAATCATTCAAGGGCATATCGTTCTCCCTTGATAAGAAGGCTTGGTAAGGGTGGCTGCAAAACTTTTTCACTGCGCAAACTCAGTGGCGTGACGTGTAGGACAACAAACACGTCTAAAATGACGAGTAACAATAGGCTTGACACGTGAGTCTTGACGTCTCAAGCAGGCTCGCAGATTATCAACATAATAGGAAACGGACACATACAGGTCTCTTAAGAACACCCCTGAGAATTTAACATGTAAGGCTACGTCTTGGTACAAGAACTACAACGAAGAAAAGATAATAATTTGTGAATTAATCTCACAGTCTGCCACGTTTCGCCCAGACATGGTTGTTTCTTCTAAAGCAACCTCGTGATCACATATAGCATCCCTTAGGATCAATTGTAACCTTTTCTATTCCTTAGCTCTTCGCATGTTTACATATATGCTCCTTATAAATGCTTTAAAATTGCATACGATATAATAGAGGAGTTTTCATACGCTAATCTTAATCATAGCGCAATGACAACCAGGAAAGACACTTATGTGACCAGCTTCATGAGATGAATAGGAGTCTTTCTGAATTCCCGTTAAGCCTGCGAGACAACTTAGACAGCAGCATTTGACAGCCTTATTACTCGTGGCGCCCTTGAAGGTAGAAGCCTAAGTTTCAAAAGGAATTCAGTATTGGTGGTTGTTGCAGTTGAACTTCAATCAAGGTACAAACAGAGCCTATAGATATAGCGTCGTTTCAATATTGAACAGTGCTCACCCTACCGATCTAGAGCAAATCTATCAAGGGGTAGGTTCATTATTGATCATGGGAAAATATCTGTCTATTTCGAATTTGCAGTATGGAAATTCTCTGACGAGGAATGAAGCTCCAATCGGCATTGTCCACGTTCAGTTTCAGGCTCAAGCTTAGGCACCAGCGATATAACACAGAACAATGCCATGGCTCGCCGGTATGGTTATGTGAAATCGTAGACAGTAAATCTAATAGGTGAAATGGCGCATAAGAATGTGGATTATTTACTTCATTAGTTCGAACTCGTTTCAAAGAGTCATACTCTGTTATATCAACCCACGCGAAGCACTGGACTCTATGGATAATAAGCACCACGTGCCAACACTCTACTCCTATTCTTTCCGTTCATAAAACTTATGACATCATTTGTCTTCATAAACTGAATGAAGGATGTAAGAATAAGAGTTGATATCTATACATCATTCATAATGTAGAGTCTAGTTCTTCCTGTTCCCGCATTGGCTCTAGCTTTAGGTAGTTAATGCAATTATATACGGAGTATATAGGTGGGAAATAATAATGATAATACTAAATACATGCATCTTATTTAAATATATAAGCTTCGTTCTCTATATATACCGAATGTGCTTATACAGGGTTTAGGATCTTATTAGAGTATAATAATGATATGCTACGCGTGTCGAGGTCTGCTGATGACTGAGATGGGTCACCTAGGTAACCGCCCGCATTCGAGCCACCTAAAATGCGACGCGTTCCCCCGACCTCCTATTTTTTCCAACTTACACTTAATTATACTATACGTAGTACAGCCTTTGCGATTCTTTAAAACCCGAAAATTCTAAAGTCTATTCAACCCCATATAGTCGTGCATTTCCATATGTCTCATAAAGGGTCCTCTGTAAAGCATGCACCAGTAGCCATAGGCAATACATGTTCGGTTGTAGGTGCATGTTACCTCTATATAGAGTATGCCTTAGGTACCTAACACAAGCTGTTAGTAATAACTCACATAGTCTTAAAACTCTGGGTTAGTATCATGAATCCTTGATAGTCAGACAAGGTGTAGCATTCAGAAAGGACAGACGACGATATCCTCGCCTTATTATTACATATGTAAGTGTAGCATAGGCTTAACCACTGCTGCATTACATCAACAAGAGCCTCATGTAATTATAATTCGAAAATCGCCAAGTACGTGCCTAGTACTACTTATACCTACAGTGCTGTTATCCCCGCCCCCGCCTCTGCCCGTCCAAACCCGTCTAGGTTCCCCAACCTCTTGACCCGCTTCCCCGGCCTGCTACCCGTGACAGCTCGGCACTCTATTGCAGCTAGTTGGCTGTGTGTACTTATGCCTTACTGTGCGTTCCTTATGTATGTTCGTATGTAAAAGTACCTCGGGTACATCGAAGGCTGGCTGCGACCTCGGTAATATGAAGTACCAGCTGTAATTCATTATGATGCCGTGTCTTACTAAACCCAAGTATTTAATTCTTTTACCTGGTATTTAGGGGTCTCTTCACTCCACCATTGGGCATATTTCCGTGTGTGATGGTTACATATAGCCGGCTACCATTTTTGACGTACGAAGTAGTAACGAACTGCAACCACCATTTGTCCAGGATACGACATCAATCTCATTAAATTGAAATATACCGGTTATACACTTTGGTTGGGATTGTCTCGCCTAATTAACCATGTCGGGAGCGGCCTCGCGCTTGAAAAATATCCTCGGACACCTCAGCGGCACGAGCAGCAAGTCGCCAGCTGGATTCGACCACACCCACCATCTGCACCATTTGTCGCCGACCTTCTTCCTCGAGCGTGCAGCTGCCATTGAGCCTGACGCTGAGGCCATCTACCACATCACAGCCAATGGAATCATCCTGCGACGCTCGTACCGCGAGTTTGCGGACCGCGCGCGGGGCTTGGCGTATTACTTGCGCAAGCACGGCCTGAAACGCGTCGGCGTGCTCGCCTCAAATACACCGGCTTTCCTGGAATCCATCTTTGGGATTGTTGCGGCAGGAGGCGTCCTAGTGCCTGTGAATTATAGGTTAGTGAGCGGTCGTCAGACGGCACCACGATATATGAGATAGTATTGTGAGCGAGGGAGGTGCGGCGAATGTGACTAAGTATGATGTGTGATGCAGACTAAAGTCAGAGGACGTTTCTTACATCTTCGATTTCGCCGAGGTGGACTCTATCATCGTCGACCAAGAGTACTTGCCACTTCTCGACGATTTCAAAAGGACACATCCCAATGTCCGCTTCATCATTGATCTTGTAAGAACCCCCAATCGAGACTCGCCCTGATTCATATTCTCGTTAACGGCCTGGTCAGGATACGGAAGCAACAGAAGGTCCTGATGCGGGGCAATTTGATCAAGCAGTTATAGAGGGTCTGCAATATGAGGACAGTCAGAAGATCCAGGGCTGGGCAGGCCTTCCAGAATGTACGGGAGAGGACGACATGGTTGCGATCCCTTTCACGTCGGGAACGACCTCGCGACCGAAAGGCTGTGTCTATACTCATAGAGGCGCATATCTGGCTTCAATCGGCAACGTCATCGAATCCGGCTTGAATTACCATCAGGGGAGGTGTAAATATCTGTGGACACTCCCAATGTAAGTAGCTATCTCCGGAACAAACATAGATAGCTAATCAAAGACTTCCAGGTTCCATGCTGTAGGATGGACATTCCCGTAAGTAATCCGATGAGTTGATTTTGTAGAAGCAGTACCTAATACCATCGCGTAGGTGGGCAGTAACAGCCGTCAGAGGCACACATTATTGCCTAAGGAAAATCGACTACCCGTTAATATGGAAGCTGCTGAAAGAACATGGAATTACACATTTCAACGCCGCGCCGACTGTCAACACCTTGCTCTGCGCATCGCCCGAAGCCGAGAGGTTACCCAATCCAGTTCGCGTGACTGTGGCGGCAAGTCCGCCAACTGGTCATCTCTTCGAGCAAATGGTGCGTCTCAAAGATCCCATATCCCTCAACCCTCACGATGCAGTGCAAATACTTACATCGCCACCTAAAGATGAACCTAAACCTAAACCCGGTCCACGTCTACGGCATGACGGAGACATACGGCCCCATCACCAAGGGGTACCACATGCCCGCCTGGGACACCCTCCCACCAGCGGAGCGCTACGCGCAAATGGCGCGGCAAGGCCACGGCTTCGTCACGAGCCTGCCCATCCGCGTCGTCAAGCCCGAGCCCGCGGAGCGGGGCGTCCTCATCGACGTCGCGCCCGACGGCAAGGAGCTCGGCGAGATCGTCTTCTACGGCAACATCTGCGCCAAGGGCTACTACAAGGACCCCGAAGCCACGAGGAAGCTCTTCGCGGGCGGCGCGCTGCACTCAGGGGATCTGGCCGTCATGCATCCTGACGGAAGTGTGCAGATCCAGGACCGGGCCAAGGATATCATTATCAGCGGTAAGTCTGTTGCTATTATCCCATCTGTCTATCCTCTTATCAATATTCGCTGTGCTTCGTCCTTTTCAGCCACTTAGAAACTCGAAAAAAAAAAAAAAAGATATACTGACGATCTACATCTCTCACATCCAGGCGGCGAAAACATCAGCTCAGTAGCCCTCGAGAGCATGCTCGTGCAGCACCCCGACGTGCTAGAAGCAGGCGTAATCGGCGTCCCGGACGAGCAATGGGGCGAGCGCGTCAAGGCGTATCTCACAGTGAAGGCCAACAGCGCCGTCACGCCGACGCCCGAGGCCGTCATTGACTGGGCCAAGAACCACAGCGGTATCTCGCGGTTCATGGTGCCCCGGGAAGTCGAGGTCGTGGCCGAGCTGCCGAAGACGAGCACGGGGAAGATCCAGAAGAACGTCTTGCGGGAGTGGGCGAAGAAAGGGAGGAAGGCTTGATTGATTGGTTGGTTGACGGGGGGGATAGAGGCGTGGATGAGAAGGGGAAGTTAGTTGACGCGAGCTGCATTAGGAAGCGACTCGGGAGGTTGTATACCATGGATCTTGGACAGCGATGCAGTGGAGGATATACAAGATAGAACGAGCTACTAGAGCAGAGAATTAGGTGAGGATGTTGTTTGTGGGAACAGAGGAGATTTACGAATAGTATATACTATAAGCGGAGGACGACGCGTAGATATATTCATTCGAGAAGTCACATATGCTCGAAAAAAAAACAAGAGTCCAAAAGTCTCGCGGGTTGTAGCTTAGTGTCATTTAGTATAAATAAGGCTGTAAACACCGTCACTTTTGAGAATCTCCTATAGCAAGCAAATAACCCGTGTCCACCGCCCCCTTGTTTAACAAGCATGGTTAACCCACACCAGAAACCGGAAAGCTTATTCCTTACGCCATTCTCACCGTCGACTCCCCAGCGCCTCCCCAAACGGATCCTCAGGCAAGGCGAAGACTATATAAGTTTGCATATCGGTGCCCAAGAGGCACAGCCTAGGCGGCAACGTCCCGCGCTCGGCGCTAGCTTCTTTGATTTCCATCTGCGCCGGCACGAAGCCCGGCGGGCACGGGACGATCATGTTCAGGAACACGCTGGTGACCTGCTCGTTGGAGAGCTCGTGCGAGGCGATCTGGGTCCCGGCCGTGTAGGGCTGGTACCCGAGGTCTTCGGACTTGTGTGGGATTCGTATCAATCGGAGAGGTGAATCTGGGGGATTGATTAGTTACCTGTTCCATGTTGCACTTGTTGATTTAGAAGTGTTGGAAGTGTTCGGGCATGAATTATACCTTTTGGAGCCCAGAGCACGAGTAGACTGTCGTCGTAGAGGAATTTGAGATCGACGATCTTGCCGTCGCCGAGGGTCATGCGGGATAGCTCGGCTACGACGGAGCTGCTGATGCCATTTGTTATCGTTGTTGAAGTTCGGAAGATGTAAACTAGATGTATTGTAAGCTTTGATAATGATTAGATATTGTAATTAGGGGACAGTTTTACCTTGTGAATCATTACCCTCGGTGATCAAGGCCGTGTGTGTCACGCCTCGCCATGCATCCTAGTCTCCAGTTTAGTTTGAAAGCGCCAGATTTTTGATGAATACCTATATTCCTTACCCCGACTGGTGTGGCGGACAGCCGAACATCAAACCGCGATACATTGCCATCCAATACGATCTTCGTCGCTTGTCCGAAACGTACACTTCGCCGCTCGGCTTCCGCAATGCCCTCAAGAACACCAGCGGCCTGGCTGTCCAGATACTTGCAAAGGAACTCTATCTGAGAATACGATCCCGCATCAGCTTGAGTAGACTCCTGCTTTTGAATCTGCTTCGTTAATAACTCTAGAAGTGAGCTACCGCTATCAGCTAGCTTGCGATCTCGTCCAACGTCCTCCGCTTCGATGTCACTTAGATAGTGTCTAAGCGGGCTTGCCGGCATATATTGTTGTATATAAGCCAGGATTTTGCCATGCTCCATCGTAGCATCTTTCTCGGTAAGATCATCCGTGGTGGATGATGAGGCCAAGCGATCAATTTCATGGCGAAGCCAGATCGAGAAGGCATGGAATAGCTCCAACTCCTCCATCACGAGGAGAAGAATCTTATTGCCGACCAACATCAAGCATGACACAATGTCCATAACCTTCATGATCTGTGCGCTGGTGAACCCGATCTCGGCTTTGGATTCGTGAAACCTAGCAATACCCAGCAGACGACTAAGGATGACGCTGACGCGCTCCAGCGCGGGGAGGAAATTCTCGTGGACTAGAGACCGAAGGGCCTGTAGGCCTGTTACCACAGCCTTATCCCATCTCTTGTGCCCCTAGCCAACAGTTAGTTTTGGAACGATTAAGACCAGAAGGGGACGTACCCGTTCTGCCAGCTGATCCACGAGCCATTCCTTGACCTCTGGAAACGTGTGACCTGTGACGACAGAATGATACATTGCTTGGCCAATGTTCATATCACCGTAAGCCTCGGACTCTTTCAAGGTCTGATTTATGCTATTCAGAAAGCGATTAGGTAGCTCTCGCGTTGACTGCCATTCTTTCAACATGTGAGTCTGCACCTGTTTGACGTATCTCAGCAGTTTTTGCAGGGTGGTTGTTTTGGAAGCTAATAGAGATAAATTCTCTGGCGATGAGTTGATGAAAGTGAGATCTATAGGTACAAGGTATAAAGTCTTGGTCTTGTCTTCCGTAGATGGGCTGAAGACAAGCATGTGAGTAGAAAGCTCTAGGTGTGAGGCGCTTCCACAAAGCTTCAGCTCTGTCTTTCTGCCGAATGATGGCGGTAAGGAGTACCGAAAACTGCCTATAACGAAGGAATCATAGATGCTGATATGGATCTGGCCGTCGTCTGTGCCCACGACCATAACGTCAACTTTATCGCTGTCATCTTTTGAGAAGGGTCTAAATAGAAATTCTAGCGAAGCTCTTGTTGTGAACACGAAGGTGTCGTCCCTAAAGCAGGCATCATTAGCCGTTGGGGCAATCACGCGAATATCATCATCCATGGACTAACCCCGAGCCTCCTGCAGGGAGGGGACTGAGCTTAGGGAGAGCGGTCTCAATCTCAAGGAATGTCAGCTCTCGTGGCAGATCCGCCGCAGGTTTCTTCTTGGTCAGATCGAGACCCTGTGAAGCAAGCTGCTCCCATGTCCTGATAGAGGTCTCAATGGCCGCACCTGGACGCTTAGTAGCGAGGTTCTGCGCCCAGCTGATGCAGGTGATTCTTGACTTCGCGGCTTCGGGTATGGTGATTTGATGCACAGCTTTGTTGGTCTCCAGCCCCATCAGGCGTACAATGCCATCGCTCCATCCCACAGCGAGAAACTGGCCTAGCACACATCAGCACCGTACCGACAATTTGCGGCTTTCAAGACTGCTGTTACCGTCGGATTTCCAGCGGACAGCCTGTACCGACGCCCGGTCACCGCGCTGGCTGTTCTTGGTGACGACCTGATTGTTCGCACGCCATATTTGAAGCGTAGTTGGACCAGCAGCTCCTGCAAATAGCTCGATGGTGGGATTGTATGTTACTATTCCACCATGCAGCCTGGGCTCGAGCCTAGACTCGTGCAGGAGACGGAGCTCGATTGGTTCCGTCATATCTCGACCGGCGTGACAAGGGTTGTTGCCGTGCTTGCATGCAAGCGATCGCTCATGATGCAAATCTCGATGTAGCCGGGGTTTTACGAGCCTCCAAGCTGACGGTTTGCAACCGTTTATATATAGAGGAGCATTGAAGCTATGAAAGCTCAACGTACTTAGGTGACGGGCTTTTCGCGACAGCACCTGCAGTGCAGTGTCCAGGCAAACCGCCGGAATGACCCGCTTTTCTACTTGTAGGCACTAAGTTACAGCGACACAATTCTCAAGACATCAGGATCATGATTTTTGCTATGTGAATCACGTATTGACCTACTGTACTTCATGGTATTCATTCATACTATTACCCTCCTTCCGTCATATAGTACCTACGTAGTCTACTAGCAACTCCTGTAATATTTTCCTACCACAATAGCATACAGCCAAACCCCGTCATGTAACGGCCGTCTCTCATCATTTCTAGGTGAATCGCTCACAAGGCAAAAGTTATTTGATCATTCAAATACCTGCTCGTCTACTCAACCAGGAAGTTTTCAGCAACCGACCTAATATCCTTTGAATATGCGACTTCTTCGTCTTCCTCCACGAGTCTCACCGACGAAACCTGAAGTGAAACAGTTAATTTCAAGTCACCACGAACCATAGCATGACAGGGATCACTTACGTCGACATCAACAAACGGCGAAGATTTCGAGAATCGCACCTGCATCGGGAAGAACTCGTTCTCATCATCGGCTTGGGCGTCGAACTCGAACGAACCGCTTCCATTATCAGAGTCTATCGTTCCAATTGTCCACTCCAGAGTGTCTCCAGACACGTCGTAGACGGCATCAAAGCTGCTGACTGAAGGTTCACTTGTAGCGTATGGAATAACCACAGAAACATCCTTCAGCGTATCGCCTCCCGTGAGCTCATATTCTATCGTAATTGTGTGGTTACCTCCTGAGCCCTTGTTAACCCACACGGTAAAGCTAATAGGGAGAGCACTTGTATCATCAGTCTTGGGCGCGGTTCGCCATCGTAGAACGCCAACAGAGTTATTGACAGGGAAGCCGCGGGCGACGTTGCTCATCTGAATGACCTTGTTGCTCGTGAACAGACCACGGTCGACATTAGGGTGTGTGCGGAATTGGGCGCCATGCGAAGCGTTGGCTGTTAGCTGGAGCTTGACTTTGGTCAAGCTGGGGTCGGATATGCGAAGACTCAAGTCACCGCTAACAGTCAAGGAGGTGAGCGAGCCATCTCTCGAGATCTTAGCCCCAATAGCCTCGTTGATGGTGAGATGTATAGCATCACGATCTAGGGTTGAAGAGTGACGTGGCGCAACAGGCTCGGCAGCCGGGGCTGGTGCGGCTGGTACCAGTGGAGTGTCGTCGACTTCGGCTCCCATATCCCCACGAACACGCTCAAACATGTCTGTAGTCTTGGATTTCTTCCCAAGTTGCATGCCCTTCACCTTTGTGGTCGCCGGCCTATGCCATAGTTAGCGATGTGGTTCCTTTATTTAGGGACTCAACTTACTTGTAAGACTTATTCTTCTCGGCTTCATAGGAATCATATGTATCTGTGGGAGTTGGCCGACTGGGAGGTGTATATGTGGGGTACACAGGAGTTCGTGGTGCGCTGGGACGGCCGGTGCGGGCGGATTCCTTCCGTTGCATCTCAAGCTGCTTAGCCTTCCTCTTCCGCTCCTCAGTGGCCTCCAACTCCTTGTTCTGTCACGAAGGTTAATAGGTTGCTGTCAATGCTTGGGATTGCGTCCACATACCCGTGCGATGATCTCCTGAATACGTTCCTCGTGACTTTCCATCTCTAGGAATGTCTTGATCTGGCTGAGAGTCAGGTTTTCTCTGTATCCGAGTGTGACGAGCTCGTCGAAAGCGCTGAGCAGCTCGTAAGCATTTTTCACAATCTCTCTCTCGTCCAAGGTTCTGCATGTGCTGGAGACAACCTGGGCGAATAAGTGGAGGGAGTCGATGTCCTGTAAGATGTTGCTCTGTCGATTGGTTATAAGAACCATGTACAGTTCGTCCAGGGGTTGGTAGACGAAGCGGACATTGTCCTGCTCGACAGTCGTGTGTTGAGTTCCCGAGTCGGCAAGTTTGGGGAATGAAGCCAGGAGAGCTTCTATCCGTGATCGGGGCATCTCTCGAAACTGCCTGGAAAGGACAGCTTTCCCGCCGCGGGTACAGATGGAGGCCGCAAGAACAACCTAGAGACAGCACATGCATTAGCTTGCAATGATGGTTAACAAGGCACTAAATGAACCCGTACCATCTTGACAGTTTAAACAAGGTACCGGAAGGAGAATTGAATATGAGGCCTAGAATTGGGGGAGGAGTTGAGGCCTGCGGTTTGCTGTCGCAATGTTACTGGCGAGATAACTTTAGAGCCTCACTGTAAGTATGGTTGACCTGTACATGTGTTAGGTACTGTCTAGGTAAGGACATTCAGCCAGCTGTCCCACCAAAAAGATGACGGGGGTGTGGGTTGCTCCCCAAGCAAAGCCACTCTAAAGCCACAGATACATAGGCGAGATAGGTACGTTCTTGGGTATCTGGTGGCTTTTATAATAGGTACTTATATTTGATGCCCCACTTAGGTAATTCTGTCTTTGGGTAGGTAGTGGTCCAAAGTACATGCACCTTCCTAGTTCACAGAGCACTCCTACTTATGCTTCTTGGACTCATGCTACAAAGAGTACCTAGTTAGGATTCCTTGACACTATCTCCCCTTCTGTTATAAAATTCATTAGTTGATCATTAAATCAGAACCGGTTGAGGGGCGTTTTACTCTGCATGAAATACCTATGCATAAAATGTAGCTCCTCAGTCAACAGACTGACTAGGTAGGTACTGCTATGTACATAGTACGGGGCGAACTGAACCTGAGCAACAGCACCTGCAGCGAGCGCACTAAGCAGACAGGAACCTCCAGCTGCTAGTCGAGGTACATCGGGTTTCTACCAGCTTACATATAGTTCCAATGTATAGTTCCAATGTACCTTCTCAATGACATACTAACGCCAAGTACTTGCTTCAGGCTTCAACGTGGTGACCTGCTGGGTACATATGTACATATGTAGGTAGTACCGATCTGACATGTGTATTACACAACCATATGCTACTATGTATTTCTTCGCGGCAGATGCGAAAGCCTGACTTGCATTCCTCTTCACCCTGAAACCCAAACTCCATCTCAGCCTTTCCCTCTTTCTCAAATTCCTCCACATCAACATTGACTCGTTTACTCGACGCTCCCATCATTTCACCCTATCGCCACTGTGCGATATTATGTTCTGTTGAATACTGCCTGAACAAAGAACCCTCTCCCTTGGAAACTTTGTCGCCGCCACTACCGCACGCGTCTTGACCCTTTCCTTTCTGCCTTCTACCGAACCCGTACCAGCATATCCTAGCTTGGGCGAGCCAATATCGATCCCATCAGCTACCGTACTCCATACTCTCTTCGTTAGGCGGGTGCCGCCAGGATAGACACCCATTCCCGCGCGACGTAATACCACAACAGCACCGCCGCCCACCAGCTCTCAATCGAGCAACGCTGTGAAACCGCACCGCGTGCTTCGCTTCATTAACCCCGTAACCAAGCTGATTTGTCTACCCGAATCTCCCCTCATCAGTTGGTCGACACACTACAACCTGAGAATATAACTAGTTTTTATCGACGAAATCAACCTTTGGCTGCCTCAGCCTTGACCTCGATCCTACATTGCACGCCTTTATTTTGCGATCTGTTCGTACCATAGCTTACGGGCATTTGCCACCACGTAATACTTTCAACCGAAGCTCGACGGCTCCCAGTGACCGCAAGCTTAATCTTTGTTGACATTCTTATTTCCGATGACCTGAGTGCGCCACATTTTGCCTACTATCTTCTCATTTCATCGTACCAAGTAGTCCCTATTACCAGCGGCAATCCGACTTGGAAATTTGAGTCTGTTTGAGTGTTCCAACAATGCCGGACGATGAAATGGAGATGGCTGTTGATTTCGGCCAACCTGGCTTTGGTGAGGATATCGACATAGATTTAGATTTTCCAGCTGGAGAGCCCGATGACGACATGGACCTGGGAGACTTTGACGCAATCCACGATATCCAGAACTTTAACACAGATCCTCCTCTTGTCCCAGACTTTAACTCAGGTTCTCATCTTGTTCAGAACTTCAACTCAGATACCCGAGATGAGCTTATGGCAGAAGGTGATGATGCGTCCTATGGCATGGTTGATGCTATAGACATTGATCCCAACGCCTCGACTGCGCTTGTTACTGACGTTGATATTGAACTTGAACAAACTGTTGAAAGCATCTGGCAACAAGATCCACAGCAAGCGGCTCATTTTCAGCCAGATACTGGGGTTAGCTACCTTAATGAGACTGTGGTAGAAAATATGGATGCCGAAAAAAATGATGTTGAGGCTAGTGAGTGGCTGCCTGCAGCAACGACTTCCCAAGACACAGACATCATGGATCATGCCAATAGCGTGTCTGTTGAAAAACTTACAGCTATTCAAGAAACGTATGATGAATCCCATGAGGAAAACCCTACATCCTCCCTCGAGAATGTTTCCCCACCAATCCAGACATCGCATATCAACGCGGAAGCTTCTCAATCCCCCAGCGCTTTAGATTCGAAAGGGATTGAGGAGCCAAGTGAGGCCAATGATGTACACGAAGATGGAGTAGAACCTGATATGTCCCATCAGTTATTGACTGTGGACCATGATGAAGAGAGCGCTGGCCACACGAATGCCGATGATAGCGGCAAACCTCATAGCCCAGTTACTGAGGTGCAAGAATTGCAAGAGCGTCCGGAAAATGATTTTCCTGATGAAGAGTCTCAGTCAGAGCCCGATCATGCTGAGGAACATCTTGTATCTCATGGCCTTGGACAGCTTGGACATTCTGAGGCTAACAGGCCAGATGATGTGAAGGAAGATCACGCTGATCCATCGCAGCCTGAGGAGGCATATGAATCCGCTGATGATGCCTCACAATTTCATGAAGACACCACCAATAACCAAACCGTTGCTGATGACAATGCCCCCCAAGCTGATTCTTCTGCACTCAACAGTTTTGATCCGGAATATGTAGAGGCTGATATTGTACGAAAGGTTGAGAGCGATCAGAAACAGGAATCTACTGGTGGGGTCGGTGATAGAGATGATCCTGTCGAAATAACGAACCGGTATGGAGTCTACATCTCATACGGCGAGACAGATTACCGGCTCTTTGCTAGTTCCGATGATGATGACCCAAACCAATATTTCCTCACAGATAAAGCGGCCCTCGACGTATCTCTCTCCCAATTTTTGACAAACCTACGGGAGGTGATTTCTGAAGAAATATCCCCCTTGGATGACTTGGTACTGGAAATCGACGGCCTTGGCCTCGAGTTCTCCGAAGTAAGCCACCAATAACCCAACCCCACCCCCGGATTCTATTTTGACTAATTCCTTGGTAGTCTACAACTCCCGATTTTCTTAGCAAGTTTACCTTCGGCGACCTAGTGATCCTATATGATAAGCTCGTTAAGAACGAGCAGGCAGAATCATATCCCCCGATTTATACCTTTTTATCAGTAAAGCCGAACTGTAGTCGACGTATGATGGCATTAGGAGAAAGTGCAAACGCTGGCCGCGGCTTGTCTGAAGTTGGTCTGTATCGTGATTCATCGCCGTTGCAAGAGGAACAAGTGGATGATGTCGGCAGTCCTGATACTAACTTTTCAACTGGTGATTACGACGATGGTGATACCGGAAGTATACTTGAACAGGAAAATTTCATCGAGACTGGAGGATCGGACACAGGTGAACTTGAAAACTCGCCCCCTCTAGATACTGAGGCACAGCTCGAACATGCATCGGTCCACGACGAGGGTTTTGATGAGGTACCCGAGGGTTATGACAATGAGAACGAAGATAATTCCGTGGACGACTCCGCCAATGCCGTTGATGATGAATATCAAACCTCTATATCTAAGCAGGGTATTTGCCCCCTCCATCTGCCCTATGCCTCTCCTTGTACAGCGGACAGCACTTGCTTGTGCGATAATTGCTACGAAGTCGAGCTTAACTACCTCGTCACGTCACCACCAGCTGAATTTTGGTCAGCTCCTAACACAATCATGCGTTCATACAACAATAACCCTAAACTTTTGACCTTAATGGCTAACCATCCTATGCCTGAAGATGACGCAACCAGCGAATCATTAGCATTTCAATCACAGGAATTAAACGACCACAATCAACAGCCGAACGTGGAGCCATCTGAGACTGATCAACCAAAGCCTCTCGCATCTGGATTAACACCAGTAAACACGATAGCAGCTGCTCCAAATTCAGAGCATACTAGTGTCACAGCTACCCTTGACGGCGAGGACTACAACGAAGAGCACGACGAGATTGACTACAACTCCGACGAAGACGAAGTTGAAGAGATAATTCATGTTGGCACCGACGGAGTAGATGTGCAAAAGCAGTCCTTGTCGCAGAAATCACAGGAACCAGTTGATGACGAGATCACGTGGGAATCGGATGATGAAGAAGAAGAAGATAAGAATGAAACACAAGGTGATTCGCCCAAAGATACGGTACAAGTGTCATCGCTATCTAGAAAACGGAGTCAAGCGGATTCGGACGGCTTGGATGACGCAGGTGAAAAGACCGGTATGGACCCTTCACATCTAATATCAAATCAGCCTACTGACTTGGAGCAGAACACAAGCGTCTTCGGTCTTGATACCTTGCAGCCGTACCGTGACTCCAGAATTTCCGACTTTCTACTTCTACAAACCTCACTAAGCACAGCATCAAGCCCTCGTAACTGGATATTGTTGATCCTACACTTCCAGCATCGACGAGGAATCCCCGACCCCACCCTACCTTTTCGACGACTACTCAGGATCACTAACAAAATTAGTATTTTTGCGCGGCCATTTAGAGCTTGGGCATAGATGTTTCTAATGGTAAGTTCGGCCTATTGCGGATATAAGGTTGTCCGACGAGGACAGCTATCTGCTATTCTGGCAATGTATTTTCTACCTCCTTTCCCATTTAAAGTCTCGGATCTCTTGATACCCTGGGCGTTCACACATCGTTGCAATGAGCTTCTTGGGGGTTAGCGGATTAGAGCTATCGAAGTTTACGCCAAGAGAGATGGTCATAGGAAAGCCCGGATGCTTGATCTCTTTAGGCGTTATGGAGGAAAAGGAATGCGCTCTCAAGATAGAATGGCGATTAATGTAGCATTGTGACGACAGCGATTCTGTTGTTATTGTAGCTATGGCGATTGTTGGTGGCATGGATCCTAGCACTGTCGTAATTATCTACCTGCGGGACATTTAGTCAATACAGGACTTCCCCATCGAAATGACTTGTTTGCGATTTTCGGCTTGTGAAGTGACAAACTCTCACAACTTTTTCGAAAAGTCGGCCGAAGTGGGGGGATTTGTCGTTTTGGCTACTGTTCTTTTACATCTTTCCTGCTCAGCCACGCATTACGCTACATGTGGACACTACGATAGCTAAGTTGCGATGCACAGTATAACATGGTAAAGCTTTCATGGATAACTGTCCTCATGTACGTACTTGGTTATATAAAAATCTAAGTACGTGGATAGGTATGCGGCAACCTCTGGGTTTATAGTCAATACCCTACCCTACCTAGTAATCCTGAATCGAATGTCTACTTGTTCACACCACTGTAGGAGAAGCTGCACCATGTTCTGCATTATGCAATTCCGTCCAATTCTGCCGGGTCTTAACCCTCTTTATAGGACAGTAGTGGAAGAGGTTGGTTAACAAGACGTCACTGGGAAATCCAGCAGACTCGAAACGTTTGAGCTGGCGCGCACCCTGGGGTCTGAAACAATTCGGACAAAACTTTTAAAGGCTAACCTGAATTCTTGTTAGCGTCTTTTCTAACTCACCTTTCCCCTGCGTGCACCATACCATACACGTGTACTCTCTCTCTCTCTCTCTCACACACACACGCGCTGGTGCTGCTGTGCTACGGAACTATCTATCACCTGGTGCCGAGGCTGACAGGGAAGAGCCTATATATGTATCACGCTATCAAACTAATAGATATATTTGTAGTGTAAAGTGCTATAGTTTGTTTATTCAAGGATCGATTGCAGTTAAATACTTAATTACTTACAAGGGGGGGTCACGAAGCAAAAAAGATTCGATCGACGTAGCTCGACGCCACGCACTACATTTAATTAGGGGTTGTCCAGGCGAGCCAGGGCTGTCCAGGCACACCCGCCTGCAGGAGGTGATCACACTAGTAGCGGGTAGGGTTAGGTAGGGTACCGTACATTTGTACTCGGGACCGCCTGCCCCTGGGATCATTCGAGCTCGAGGGCAGTGTTCAGCCTGTTGGGAGGCATCCCAATACCTACATCATAGTATCTCTTTAAATTACCATACAGTTCCTAAGTATACTAGGTACTACAGTCCACATGTTTCAGTAGATACTTCAATAGATACTTCAAGTACCTACTTGGAAAGAGCCGAGGTTTACGCACACAGCTTAGTGTAGCGTATCCAAGTATCTGTACCTATGTAGGTACATACTGGTATGGAGGTACCTAACTCAGGTGTTTAATCACCCAACTTGGCGCGACAGGCAGCACCTAATCACTGCAGGTGGCTATCAGTGCCCAGGTGGTCGGTCACCTTGGCTTCGGGTACATCTAGATACCTCTTATAGGTGGCTTATAGGCGGCATTTTATACTATGATCCTCGTACCTCAGCGTCGTAGTAGAGGTACCGCACAAAGCAACTTGGCTTCGCGGCCAACTTACTCAAGAGTCCACGCTCCTAAACCCTCTCTGACCTGGCTGCTGATCCTTACCTCCAGACTCGTTTGGTCTAGGTTAATGGTTAATCCTCTTGTCGCAAACCACCCTCTCTGTCGCCAGCCCATCTCGTCGTCGTCGTCTTCTACCAATCCTCCTTCGCTCATCGAACCAGTCCCCCGGATCTGAACTGCCCATGGCCACACCTGAGTAGTCGAATCATCGCACTCCAATTCCGACCAACAGCGACATTGTACTACGCCACCTCGCTCGTTCTACATCCCGACCCGGACGCAGTCGGCTACTTAGTCGTCCCCTCCGACTACCATACCCAGCTCGCGTCTACCGCTGTGTCGAGCCACCGTGGCAACCGTGGCATATAGTTGATCGAAGCGCATCAAACCCCCGAGGCCTCTCCGCCGCCTGCCTCGCCCGGCGCGAGTTTGCAGACTCAAACCCCAACTTTCGTTTTGTTGTTCCCGTGACTACATTCTTTACCGGCCACCTGGCGCATCTCCTTCAATATGATAGACGATAAGTACGACCATCTTTCGTCACAGCGCGCGCCCAAACTCACCCTCGTTATCCCTCGACCTCCACGTCATCTTCCGCACTCGGGCCGTTTCTAAAATGTAGACTGACATGGAATCTGCGGCAGATATATTGGGCTAGCTTTGGCCGTCTCCTCTAGTTTGGTGCTCGGTAAGTCCATGTAATCCCCGTTTCGCCAACCACTCAACTAATCTCAGTTTTACCACAGGCGTCAGCTTCGTAATAACAAAGAAGGTATGATAAAGCCGAACTTGTTGGCGCTCGTCATACGATGCTTCTAGCCACAGCTGCTAGCGATGGCGACCATGCTAATTCAAGCCAGGGTTTAATACAAACGGAAGAAAAGCATGGCTTCAATGGAGAAGGGTTTCAGTATCTACTGAATGCCACATGGTGGGCTGGCAGTCTGACAAGTGAGTGTCTATCCTTTTTGGATCTCCGATGGCCCCAAGACTGACTTCAGATAGTGGTCATTGGGGAACTCTTCAACTTCGCCGCATACGCCTATGCCCCTGCGATTCTAGTGACGCCATTGGGCGCATTGGCTGTTTTAATAGGCGCTGTCCTAGGCTCGTATTTCTTGAAGGAAGAGTTGGGAGTGCTCGGAAAGCTCGGCTGCGCCATCTGTCTCCTTGGTGCTCTTATTATCGTGCTTCACGCGCCTCCTGATGAGGAAGTCGAAACTGTTGACCAGATCTTGCAGTACGCACTTCGACCAGGTAAGAAATCGGTTATACCAGGCTTCTAGCACCCGGAACGCAAATTAATCCGTCGGCTAGGATTCCTGATTTATTCTGTCATCGTTGCTATTTTCGCTGTCGTCATGATCTACAAAGTTGCGCCCATCCACGGTAGGAGCAATCCTCTGGTCTACATGTCGATCTGCTCTACCGTCGGCTCTGTCTCCGTCATGTCTATCAAGGCATTCGGTATCGCGCTTAAGCTCACCTTTGCCGGCAATAACCAATTCACTCACGCGTCGACCTACGTCTTTATGATCGTCACGGGTGGCTGCATTCTGACACAACTAAACTATTTCAACAAGGCACTTAGCCAGTTCCCTACCTCAATGTATGACAGCAACCCAAATGCGATAGCAGCTCACGGTTTTCGGATTTATGCTAACAAGATTCCAGCGTGAACCCATTGTACTATGTCACATTTACAACAGCCACCCTCATCGCTTCCTTTATCCTCTTCTCCGGTTTCAATACAACAGATATCATCGGAACATTTTCGCTCCTTTCTGGGTTCCTTATCACCTTTGCTGGTGTTTACCTTCTCAACCTCTCCCGGAAGGATCCAGATGGAATGAAGATGCTTGCCGGCCAGGGTACTGATGCTATCGGCACCGATATGGTATCAAGCATCCAGACTCGCCTTAGCATGCAATCTAGGCGCAGTCAAGATCCACGAGCTAGTATAGGAAGCCGAGGTCACTCTGATAGAGAGGGTCTGATGCGTGCGTATGACGAAGAACAAGCACATGGCTTTGAACTACCCGATGATGATCACAAGAGTACTTCAAGGATGAATGGGATGAACGGGCGTGCCGGAAGAGCCTACGAAACGATCGAGATGGAGAATCGCAATTAGATTTGCATGCTGGCCCATTTATATCTAAACAAAGAATGAAATTTCCCCTGCGTCACCTACCTACGCAGAAACGTTCCCCCTCCCGACCGCATTGTATATTTCCCCTCCCCAAAGCGATTTATTTATCGACGAATTAGAACGGCCCCCCCTTTATCCGACGAGAAATCGCGCATGAAACGGTATTTATGGTTTGAACGTTTTTTTTTTCGTTTTTTTGGTCTCGAGAATTTAAAAGACCCGGCTTGAGATGCCCATCCCTCAATATCTATACATAATCGCCGGGGAGAAACATTTTCAGCCCTCCCTCCCTCCCTCCCTCCCAAAAGAAAGGAGGGTGTATGAGTATAGAGTTAAGAGGGGAAGGAAGGGTGGGTGTTTCTTCAATCAAATGAGATGAGACGGGAAAGAAAGCGAGAATTAAGAAGGGGAAGGGAACATGACAAACCAGGGTTTTTGGAATTCATATATCGGCGTTCCGGGTTGGGGACATATTATCTTATATTTTTGGGGGTTTGATTGCTTGTTTGCTTGCTTTTCTAGTTGGGGCTGTGGAAATGAAGATGTTATTTACAGCTTGAGAACTGGAAGATTTGATGTTAAATTAAGTTAAGATGGTGTTGTTGGTGTCAAACTTGTGGCTGTGTAAAGTAGAGGAAAGTAGAGGAAAGTAGAGTGAAGTGAAGTCAAGCAAAGCGAAGTGAAGTGAAGTTATAAGCTATAGTTCATACCAGCTGGGAATTTATAACGCACCTGGAGGAGCTGTGTTGGTTGCCGTTATATGTATGTTAATTACCCCCTACAAATCAGCCAGTCATATGTCGTTTTTCGTGCCTTGGTCCCTTGCATGGTGGATGTTCTGTGTTATGCACAGACTTGCTGGGATATGTAAATGTAAAAATAAATAATGCTCATCCATCCATTTATTCGGTCAAGCCGATTGTATGTAATATATAGATACTTAGAGATATTCAAGAATGCTACGAGTTTTAAAGCAAGCCTCTTGGCTTGACTTATCATTTGCCTCGACAACAATCGCAACTTACACATTCAGACCAATCGTAACAATGAAAGTATACATCTATCTTCATTCACTCTGATGAATTGATTGCCTATCGTGGTTTACGTGGTTTCATCTACTAATTATCACAGTAGCAGAGAAAACACACTTCATACAACTCATGCATTAAAAACAATCCAGAGTGTCTGATTCTCAGGTTCATTTCGTTGAATTTCCCTCCCGTGCCAATGCAAATGATCAAGACGCCGAAAAGTTTGCCGTTTAGCAGATTTGTCCCAACTTCCATCCCTTTTTGAGATTGAAAATCTGCGTTTTCTTTACCCGTTCGTTTCTAACACCACTAGAGAGGGTTCAGGTATATTGAGGAGTCCAGCACCGACCGACTCAATTCTAACCCTCGACGGGAGCGGCCTCCTCACCGCCCTCTTCCTCGGCCGCACGAGCAGCCTCGGCCTGGGCCTGGACCTGAGCGGCCTTGGCACCGTAGTCCTGGCTCATGGGCTGGACGACGTTGGCCTCCTCCTTGGGCTCGATGATTGTGACGGCATCGGGCAGGGACTTGCTAGGACCGGCCTTGCCCTCGGGGTCGGAGCCGCGCATGATCTTGACCTTGATACCCAAGACACCCTGGCGGAGGAGGACGTGGCGGGTGGCGCTGTCGATGAAGTCGCGGGCGGGCTGACCGGAGTGGATCATGAAGCCGTCGGTGAACTTCATGGACTTGGCACGCGCAGCGCGCAGCTTACCGGAGACGACGACCTCGCAACCCTTGGCACCAGACTCCATGATGAAGCGCAGGACACCGTAGCAGGCACGACGGACGGCGAGACCGTTGAGGAGCTTGTAGCGCAGCGACTCGCACTGGGCGACGGCGGAGAGACCGCGGTTCTGGACCTTGGCGGCGTAGAGCGAGACGCTGTTCTCGGGGAACTTGAAGCGCTTCTGGATGAGCGAGGTCAGCTCGCGGATGCGGCGACCCTGCTCACCGAGAACCTCCTGGGTGTGGGTGGCGCGGATGATGATGTCGGTGACGGTGGGCGTCACGCGGACCTCGACGCCCGAGTATCCCTCCTCGGCGAGCTCATGCTGGAAGAACTCGTTCAGCTCGGCGTAGAAGACACCGTCGGCTACGAACTTTCTGCGCTTGGAGCTATAATCGGAGGAAGAAGGACTTGGTCAGCGAAATGTGCGCAAGCTTTGGCTCGTTGTGGGAGGTCTTGTGGGTGTGTGTAGATATGCATCATATATCGCGGGATGCACGCAACTTGCTCCTGGAGGGGCAGCGCCACGGCAATTGTGCCCATTGCAATGACATAGCAGAGATCTATTCGACTCACATCTGAGTTCCGGCTGTGGCCATCTTGACTGATTTCCCTCTGGATTGACTGCTCGAATCGTTGTGGAGGTGGGAGGAATGGTAGGTCGGTTGGTCGATCCGATGGTTGGGCGATGGGTTGGCGGTAGTTAGCAGTCTCACGAGAAATTTCGAGAGTCAATGTAATTTTGGTGGAGGGACGGGCGTACCGTAGCTGGACAGTGACGCATGCACTGTTCTGGAATTTTGGCGGTAGGGGATTTTTGGCTTAGGGCTCAGATTTGTGTGGTGCTCGCTGCCGCTATCTGTTCTTGGTACATTGGTACGTACTTATCTGCTGTGGCGCAGGTAGCGCTACGTGCCCCCTGCTTCAAGAGACTAAGCCACCTCCTGGAATATATGTATGAAGCTTGAGGCTCTGGTTGAGCAAGCTTCCACTAGATACTTTACAACAGTCTCTATCAATGCGTGCAACGAACTCGAAAATAGTTGCTTGATGATGGATCGCAATGTTTAGTAATTACAGCTTGACTTCTCTGGAAGCTCCTCGATCACTAGGCATAAAATGTGCCTATGTATTGCATCTTCATCGTACTCTCCAACCGTTATGCCCCCGATAAACATGAAATATCTCTTAATTCGATGTCTGCTCGCAAACTAAATGCTTCAGTTATAAAAAAACATGACATACTTCTGGGAAGGTATCAGGATATCCAAAAATCCGGCATACATGAATGAGTAAAAAGCCACCCAGCAGCTAACATGAAAGATATAAATGTCAAGCATCAAACACCAAACGTCAAGCCCCCTAATGAGATTACAATACATGGTCGGTGATTTCGTTGTTATACAATACCAGCATTTACTCCTTAAGCACCTAGCTTCCTCTCGCTGTATCAGACGGCAATTCGCTGACTCCAGTGACATATCCTGTGCTGTGAGCCCGCTCCGGCTCATAAGTTGAACCTATATCCGAATTCAGTAATGGCGGCGTGTATGACATTGTCTGCCCTGACGATGGGTAGTTGGGCTTGTAGTACTCGCTATGAGGGGCCCATCGGGTGGGAACGATCACCCTCTGTGTCTGATCCGTTTGGCTTTTCCCTTTTTGCATTTTTATGAGGGCGAATATGATGGCAGCTATCACGATAGCGCCGCCGATGCCTCCACCAATACCGCCACCTATAGCTGCGGCATTGGAGGAGGAGGAGGTAGAAGGGGGGGTGGAAGGAGAGGAGAGGGAAGTTAACGTTGGGGAAGCCACAGCCGGGGCACTCGTGCTGATCACCATGGACTGAATCGAGCTTACAGTACGAGTTAGGGTAGAGGATGTCGTAATGGAGGTGCTTTCTGATGCGGAATGGTCGGTTAGGTTGATGTAGTGCGAGAAGAACACTGGCGTACTGCCTGGATCGGAGCAGTTGAAAGCTTCGAGAAACGCCTGGGTCCCGTTCTTCAAGTCGATATCACCAATATTTCCATCCCAGTATATGAAATCATTGTCACCGGGCTGGCAGTCTGCGTACGTATCAGTCAGTCAAGTGAACGTGAAATAGGAATATCTCGAATCACAACATCAAGACACCACGAAGAACTGACCAGTAAGTTGATATTGCTGGACGGATTCTGGATTCCCTTCCTGCTGCAGGATGATCATCATACTGCTCATATTAGACACCCATTTCCACGGTTGGCTTTGCGGTTGGCCCACTATGAAGGCGATGTTCGAGCTGAAGACAGTGTTATCATTGCTGAATTGGGGGCCTGGTAGTGGAGGATAGATAAAATGATTGTTTGGGTCTGGAGGTCTGTTGTCTTGACTAAGGACTAGGCATGCAGCAGCCAAGAACGCGAGAATAATCATATTCATTGCCGATGTAGTTGTTAATCACTCTTTGCAAGTTGTTGTTGTTGTGAAAGAAACTCGGCTCAAATCTGAAAGTAGAATAAGTTGCGTTTCTCCCATGACCAGATTCCGGGGGGTTCGATTCTCCCCATGTTATCTCGATTACATCTATTTTCACCAACACGGTGCCACCGTGGTATCATTGGACTCATACTTCGGCCTAGTCCTCATCTCACACTGCATTGATAACGGATTCAATTCCTAGCTGTCATCCGTCGTGTTGTTACAATGCCGATACACGAGGCTGGCCTCAGAGAGTGGTGTATCCAGTCAGGTACGAGGGCATGTTGCTTCACCAAAACTCCCAGATCTTATTGCGACATGAATTCAGACAGGGTGGTCGATAGCCTAATTGGGACGCAGCCAATCCTGGGGTTGTGGTCTGATGGTGTGCGCTTGCGGCCAACAGCTTGTAGGGGTCTACAAATGACCTCAGCCCCCAACGAACACGAATTGTAACCCAACTATTTGAATTTATTATCCGCGCTTCCTTGCGAAATCCCTAAGCCTATAGGTATAATAAGGTCCCAAATCTATGATATAGGCTGTGGCGTGTTTCGAGGAATTGTTAACTCAAATTTTAACGTCAACTAATCATGATAACTTCCATTCAACCCTTCATCCAATACTTCCTTCGCCTTGGCAAACTTGCCAAGTTTAATATGCTTCCCTTAATACACAAGAACATACCACGCGGGCGTGTATATCTCGTTCTTTTGAGCCTCGCCTTGATTGCTATAGTATTAGTATTTCGATCCCTTCAGACCACAGATCATGCTAAGCTGTTGCCACTGGCTGCCATGTCGAATATCTCACCAAGAGACCTGGCAGCTAATGGAACCCTTGGTGTATGCCATCTAACGATATGCTTTCTAGCAGTTACTTACCTGAAGAGCAGTTTCATAAGATCCTAGCCCTATCAACTGGACCGAGCTGGCGCACTCGAGGTCTTGACGCCGCCGCACAGCTTACCGGTCTACAGATCACTATACCACCTCAACCCCGCAACCCGCCGGAACTTATCAGTGCGTTTGCTAGCATTGGCAAAGAGCAAGGTGCAACTCTGCCACGTCTTGGGTCGGCTACGGCGGTATGTATTTCTTGGAGCATACTCTTCCACCTATAGCAACTTGCGTGGGCGGACTTTCCCCCTCAAGATGACTAGCATTCCTTGGAGCATGTAGAGTCCCTTAAATTCCGTCTACGTCGCCCTGAGAATGATTACTGACCTCAGCGAAATGCAGTGGATGGCACATCTTGATCTACTCAAATACGTTGTCGCCTCGGAGCTAACAACTGCATTTATCGTAGAGGACGATGTCGATTGGGATGTAAGGATCAAAGAGCAAACAAAACTAATATCAGACAACGTCCGGCTTCATACGGGGACGTCGGCCGAAGACACAACACCCTACGGCACCGAGTGGGATGTCCTATGGCTCGGGCATTGCGGCTCGTTGATTGCCGACGGGATGCCGGAGCCGCGCTCATACGGCGATTATTCCCGATGCGAGACGGCTCTCTACTCGGGATGGTCGAAGCAATTTTTGCGTGAGAAGTTGGCGGAGAACCATCGACTGGTGCAGACGTCTATACAGACCGTGTGCACTTTTGGATACGGTGTGACCAAGAGCAGCGCGCAGAAAGTCTTGAGTTTGGTGGGCACAGGGGCAGATGAAGCTTTTGATGTGAGTCTATCGGCACACTGCCGAGCGGGTGAGTTGCGATGCTTGGTGGTCAACCCCCAGGTATTCAACCATTACGAGCCACCGGCTGGGCATGGCTACCTGAGCCACGTTCATGTTGGCGACGGACAGGGGAATGCGGCATCCGAAAAGGCAGAAGCTGAGTTCGAACGCGAGATGGGCACTACAGGCAACATTATGAAAAGTGCTCGGTGTGAAGCACTCTTCCACAAGACTTGTATGAGACCTCCATCGGAGATATGATAGGACGATATAATCAAAGGGGAGTGCAAGTACCTATTCCGATTCAATTTCAGTTAGGTTGTCGTAATGTGCTCTATATGGTGAAATCTGGGTTTGACTTGTCTGAGGCATAGTAAAATGTCGTTTCTTGTAAACCTGGGTGATCAATTAAGGGGTCGTCATATCTATTGTCCACCCATACACAGAGGTATCTAGGTACCTGCTAGCAGATCCGCTGTAAACCGCCCTTTTTATGGATACCCAGGTACCTTGTACCCAGGTACTTTACTGTAGGTACCTCCTCCTCTGTCCTCCCAATTTCTCCACACCTCCTCCTCCGCTCAAGTGGTTTTCATGTGACGTCGGTATCAGCGATCTCAGCGCTGCAGCCTACCTAGGTCATGTTTTAAGTGTTCTGATCTCTATTCGCCCTGACCCTTCAGCCTTGTGCCTCGTCTCGTGCCTTGTGATCAGCTAGCTACTTGCAGCTTGCTACGGGCGAGTGAGCGCTGGCTGCCAGGTCACCACTATTCAGCTTCAACAGTCCAGACGATGCCCTTGTCCACTTTGTCTGGGATCAGACAATCCAACATGGCACACTAGGTTAGGTATCAACACAACGACCCCAAACTTAGGTACCTAGATCGCCGACAAAAGTGTCTTATTTCATGTCATTTCATACAGATATGTGCTTAAACATCCGCCTTCATAATCACTATCAAATCCCCGCAACCACGCCGAGTGCTTCAAATCCATCGTCAACCGCGGTACATGATAAGTCCGCAATCGGCGCCGACCAAATGTGCTGTTGACCTCCGAAACCCCGGACCGTGCCAGTACCCGCCGTAGACGACTTGATCGATCGCATTGCTGTAGCCTTAGCCACAGCGCCAAAGATGCTGCCCGACCCTGTATGTTTTTGATTTGTCCCAGCAGATGTGCTCTGATAGAGCGCCTCGTCCTTGGGATCCGTGCTTACTGTCTCCGCTTCTGCCTAGATCCCCAACGTTGACGCCATTCGCTTTGGCGATAAATATTCGGGCGAACTACGTCTTACAGACCACCACATCATATTCTGTCACCCCATATCGCCACCCAACGGCGCCGCCCCTCCTCCGAATGCTCCAAAGTACAGGGAGTCTTACATCGCATACCCCATCATATCGCACTGTATTTTCAGACCCTGTCCCAGTGTCACTGGACGCCCCTCATCCGTACGATTGCGCGGAAGAGATTTCACCTTGATAAACTTCCTTTTCGCGAATGAGTTACACGCTAGAGAAGCCTTCGAACGCATCCGTGCTAGGACCTGCCGACTGGGGTCTGTAGAGAAGCTGTATGCTTTCAGCTACCAGCCTCTCAAGGTCGAGAAGCCATTTAATGGCTGGAGTCTCTATGATCCGAGGGCCGAATTCAGGCGGCAGGGCATCAGTACGAAGTCGGTGGACAGGGGCTGGAGGATCTCTTTGATCAACAAAGATTATACCTTCTCTCCGACATATCCGGCGTTGCTTGTCGTCCCATCCAAAATTTCCGACAATGTCATCAAGTACGCTGGTCCTTATCGGTCTAGGGCCCGAATACCAGTATTAACGTATCTACACTCCCTCAATAATTGTTCCATTACCCGAAGCTCTCAGCCCTTAGTCGGCTTTAGAGGGAATCGTAGCATACAAGATGAGAAACTCGTCAGTGCTTGCTTCTCTGCTTCGGCTACGGTCGAGTTCAATGGCCTTGAGGTACCTACTCTAGATACAACAGAGCCAAGTCCTTCATCTAGTCAGATTGATCTCCGAGCTTCTAGTTTAGAAGGAGAGGCAAGTGATACTGAACGTCTGGAGGATGACCTCATTGCTAGTAGCGAAGCCAACCATGACGCCCAAACAGGCAGGCGAATATACGGGGCGCAGCAGAGTAATCTGATTGTAGATGCGCGACCTACAATAAATGCTCTTGCAATGCAAGTCGTCGGGAAAGGTTCAGAAAACATGGAGTATTACCCTTTCGCAAAAAAGGCCTACTTGAATATCGACAACATACACGTCATGAGGGAATCTCTCAATACTGTCATAGAAGCTATCAAGGATGGCGACATCTCAAAATTACCTCCAAACCGCGAGTTACTGATAAAGAGCAACTGGCTTAAGCACATAAGAGGGGTTCTGGATGGGTCAGCTTTGATAGCACGACAAGTGGGTATTAATCATTCTCACGTTCTAATTCATTGTTCAGATGGATGGGATCGCACGAGCCAACTGTCAGCACTGTCTCAACTGATGCTCGATCCATTTTATCGCACAATAGACGGTTTCATTGTGCTAGTCGAGAAAGACTGGTTATCATTTGGGCATATGTTCCAACAGCGCTCTGGCCCACTCGGACACGAGAAATGGTTTGTTATTGAGCGAGATGCCATGGCTGGGTCAGTTATGCAGCCTGGAGAGCCCGATGGTCGGGCGGGCGAAGCTTTCGAAAATGCGATTGCTGGTGCTAAAAGATTCTTCCATCGAGGCCGAAATCAGGAATCAAGCAGTGACGCTGATGTGGATGGTTCAGGCTCGCCCCCTGACGAGAGTACGCAGGGCAAGAGGTCATCTGAGTCCTCTCCTATCACAGAAACCACGCGCCCTAACGAAATATCTCCCGTTTTTCACCAGTTCCTCGATGCGACATGGCAACTCTTGCGACAGCACCCAACTCGGTTTGAATTCAACGAAAGATTCCTTCGTCGCCTTCTGTACCATCTTCATGCGGGCCAATATGGCACTTTCCTATATAATAACGAAAAGCAACGCATGGATGCTCACGTCCACCGAAGAACTAGATCGGTATGGGATTACTTCTTATCACGGAAACACGACTTTCTGAATCCGGAATATGATCCCACAATTGATGATCGGCAAAGCGGTCGCGAGCGATTGCTATTTCCTAAGCTGGGGGATGTGCGGTGGTGGGCACAATGCTTCGGCCGATCCGACTCCGAGATGAACGGATATCTGGACCAAGCGGCAGCACATGAGCAAAGAATAGGCAGCTACGCAATGACACCTACCGGATCTCCGAGTAAGAACGGTAGTAGGTCACCGCAGCCTCCCGCGAGCCCCAAACCTCCAAGCATGCCGACCAGTCGAAGTGTGCTTACAGGGGTAGAGTCAGCTCATGAAGTGCTCACAACGGACCGTGAGAGTCCCGCAACCCTCAAACACAGCGCTAGCGCTGATTCGCCGCGCGGGTTTGCGGTGAATCTGGCCAAGATTCGCGATGGTGTCACAAGCCTAGATCTCGGCCGCGGCTTATTTGGGGGGTCGGATAAAGGAGACCCCGCAAAGAGCCACGACCCTCTGGGTGTCCAAGGCGAACAGGAAATGGCGGATATGGCAACTCACCCAACACGCCAAAACCTCGGCCACGAAAGAGAGATGGAAAACACGCCAAAGCGCTCTCTAGGCGACAGCTCAACATCCTTTGAGATGCAATGATAACATATTATTTTGAGGAAGCTTCGTCAGGTGAAGTATGGGACTCGTGTGAAGAACAGGGTGAACAGGGCTGGTGACGAGATCCAGTTCCGGTCTCGTAAGTCTCACGACTAACGATAAAAATTGGTCTGCTGTATGGTGTATTGTGAATCGTTTTCATGAATCCTGCGATAGATAGAGGGGCATAACTTTTGAGGGTTAACAGATATACAATCGCTTGTAGAGGATAGTATCGTGCTGCTGCATTGTTGATGGGAAAACTAGGCCCTAGACATAATTTACCACCACTTGACTACTACGTGTTAACTTAAAAAGCTACCATGGGAGGGGAATTAATACTCACGAAAAAGAAAGAAATTCGTTTGTTGTGCTAGCTATTTAGGAGAAGGTAAGGGGGGCTAAGCGGCTGTCGAGGAGGGACACATTTTTGTACATACATAGGATACAAGAGGTCTTTCCACCAAATGGATCTTCACATCTACTGTATATATCCCGCCATCTATCATCATTGACCGTTGCTCATCTTCAGCAGTTCCTGGACTATGCACATTAAAAGAAAGCTCGAAGTCCGCCTAGGTCTGCAATACCGGTACATTCGAGTTGGGAGGGTTGACTCTCGTACCTACTACCTGCTTCGTAAAGAAAGAACCCCGCCAACCCCACCATCTCAATTTCTGGAGGCATATCTACATATCTACAAGAGAGTTACCATGATATAACACGTTCTACCTATCGTACATAAAGCATGAAGGACGTTAGGATTCATGAAATGGGAGGCTATACACACACACACATATATATATATATATATTTCTTATAGCGCAAGATATATGAAAAAGATATCTATTTGGACTTGATATGATTGTGCTGTAGGTGAAAATGCTGTGGCACGGGGGGATCTGGGTACGTACCTCTCCTCTCCACCATGTACCTAGGTACGTACGTAGTATGTACACTACAGGGAAGCTTCACAGTGTTACAAGCCACAATTGGCATTGCTCTGCCCTCTCTCTGCCTCTGTGCCTTGGCATGATCAGCTGTCGATAGCGCTGTGGACAGCCCAGCGTCCTGCCTGGCGTAGGTACCTACTTATCCACCTAGGTAATCTGTACCTGCGCTAAGCACTCTAAGTACTTGCGTAGGGCACCTGCCAGAGCAGCGCTGAATACTGCCAAAAAGACCTCGGGAACGCTTGAAACCTTGGACCATGACCTGCTCACCAGTGTCACAAAAACAAGGAATTTGATATATGCTGCTTCTTCTGCTTAGATACCCCTCGGCCGCCCTCGACTCTTTGTTCATATCTTAGGCCATCATAGATGCGGTTTTTCTAATCATCCATCCATCCATTCATCCATCTTATCGATCCATCGATCGTGTTGTCGCTGTCGTTGTTGTCTAGCGTCTTCTGCAAGGGCCCCTCCCTCGCCCACTCCTCCTGTAGATAGAGAGAGAGAGGCCTGGGCTGTAGCAGAGACTACTGACAGCCTGACATTGACCTAAAATTGCCTTGGTATCATTGCATCACTCCACCCACGCGATCAACAACATCACCACCACCACCACTGCCACCACCACTGCCATCCCTTACCACCGCCACCGTCGTCCCGACTCCCCCCCCGTCTGCCGCCATCGTCGCCATCGCCGTCATCGTCATTGCTGCTGTCGACGCTGCCTTCGACTTGAACTCCCGACCTTGAATTGCAATATCGTGCATAGTCTTTCGAGCACCATCAAACAGCATTCCTACCCTTCGCCATGGCTGACGCGCCTAGTGCGAACGATGAGCTTTACCCCATTGCCGTGCTCATCGACGAGCTAAAGGTGAGCATGGCCGCCCAGACCTCGCCCAATGCTGCCCTTCCATGTGCTCATCGCTGACCTGCGCCCCCCACAGCACGACGACGTCCTCCTTCGACTCAATGCCATTCACCGTCTTTCGACTATCGCGCTTGCTCTGGGCCCCGAGCGCACTCGCGAAGAGCTCATCCCTTTCCTAGATGGTCAGACAGCGTCTTGCAGTCCCACGCTAGACGAAAATTTCTAACATCGCTTGCAGAGTCTGTCGAAGACGAGGACGAGGTTCTCGTTGCATTAAGTGAAGAACTCGGTAGTTTTATCGAATACGTCGGCGGTCCCCAATATGGCCATGTTCTTCTCTCCCCCCTCGAGAACCTCGCTGCTATTGAGGAACCCGCCGTTCGTGACAAGGTCTGTTTGTGCAAATGACAAGTGGTACTTTTCTCTATGCCTGGAGGCTGATTCCGTTGCAAGGCTGTCGAGTCGCTCAACAAGATCTGCCAAGATCTTTCCGCCCAGCAAATCGAAGAATATTTCATTCCGCTCACGCTCCGACTCAGTAAGGCTGACTGGTTCACATCCAAAGTCTCGGGCTGCGGTCTGTACACAGCCCCATACAAGAAGATCTCCCCACAGTCTCAGGAACAGCTTCGTACACAATTCGGCCTCTTGGTCCACGATGAGACTCCTATGGTTCGTCGGCAGTCCGCTACAAACCTATCCAAGTTTGTTAAGGAGATGACCGCCCCGGTGGTTATCGAAGAAATGATACCACTTTTTCAACATCTTGCCCAGGATGATCAAGACAGCGTTCGACTACTAACCGTCGAGATTCTGATTTCAATCGCCGAAGTTGTCCCTAAAGACCAGCAAGCTAGCCATAGCGTGTTACTCACATCATTGCGTAACCTGATAGAAGACAAGAGTTGGAGAGTCCGTTATATGATCGCGGATAGGTTTGAAAAGGTACAGATTCTGTTTTGCCGTTAGATGTATGTGGGGGGCTAATAGAAGGTTATAGATTGCCAAGGCGGTAGGCGACGAAACTGTCTCGCGAGACCTGGTGCCGGCTTTCGTCAAGCTTTTGAAAGATAACGAGGCCGAAGTCCGGACCGCTATCGCCGGCCAGATTCCTGGTTTCTGCAGTCTAGTAGATCGAGATGTTCTCCTCAAGGATATTATGAGCTCCGTTGAGGATTTAGTTTCTGATCCGTCTCAACATGTCCGCGCTGCCCTTGGCACACAAATCAGCGGACTTGCTCCTATTCTGGGCAAGCAAGAGTATGTTCTGCTTCTTTGCATGTTTGATCTTGACTAATACGCGATTCTGTAGAACCATTGACCACCTTCTACCCATGTTCTTGCAAATGCTAAAGGATGAGTTCCCCGAGGTTCGCCTCCACATTATCTCAAAACTTGAGCTTGTAAATCAAGGTGTGTTCCAATATCTCCGCTCGTCCACCTCCTTCATAATCTAACAAATATAGTGATTGGGATCGACCGTTTATCACAATCGCTGTTACCCGCGATCGTTCAGCTAGCCGAGGATAAGCAATGGAGAGTTAGGCTTGCAATTATCGAGTACATCCCCCTTCTTGCTAGCCAGCTTGGAGTTAAGTTCTTCGATGAGAAGCTGAGTGGACTTTGTATGGGATGGCTCGGTGACACAGTGTTTTCTATCAGAGAAGCTGCAACCCATAATCTGAAAAAACTTACTGAAGTTTTCGGTGTTGAGTGGGCCAGCGAGGCAATTATCCCGAAAGTTATGGCAATGGGCTCGCATCCCAACTACCTATACCGGATGACAACATGCTTCGCGATCACAGTAGGTTCACACACCCTAGGCAGTGTACATTTTATTCTAACTTGTACAGACATTGGCTACCGTTGTCAGCTTGGACGTGATTGGGAAATCTATCTTGCCTATGCTAGAAAAGCTAGTAGAAGATGCCATTCCTAACATTCGGTTCAACGTAGCGAAGACCTACGCCGAGTTAGTTAGCGTCTTAAAACGACTACCAGATGAGGGCACTATCTACAGCTTGGAGAAGGCTGGAAAGACCGATACGACACCGTCACCCAAGTCAACTGAGTTGATCCAGCAACGTATATTGCCGCACTTAGAGAAGCTTCAGAAGGATGAGGATGTGGATGTAAGGTTCTTTGCCACGACCGCGGCTGCTGCCGTTCCGGGTGTAGGTGGGGGAGAACCAATGAACACGTCACCATAATCGAGAGAACAGCTTTAAAAAGAGAGATTTTCCTCCGACAGCTTGTCATGGCCATAAAGTTCTGACCTCTTAGCAAATGCATCCTGCGAGTTTACGCCGCCATTGTTACTACGAGTTGATTACACTACGAGTTACTTGGGTGGATGCAGCGATTCCTGTTCTGTTGGGGGGGAGTGAAAACGAACGTACACACCTTACCTTATAATGGGGCCATGAGTATAGAGAAGTTGGCAAAGCATCGAAAAATAGCGTCGCCACTACGGTGCCGACGAAATCATGAAATTTTAAAGAATAAGCAGAAATCCAATAGAACAATTATCTATGAACTAGTCAGGAGTTTGATGTCCTTGTGTACATGCTATGTGATGGCTCTCTCCCCTCCTCTCTCTATCCAGATTAAAAGGGGGGGGGGGGGGGGGGGGGGGGTACCAGTGTAGGCAAAAAAAAATATAAAAAATAAATTAAAATTGGAGGACACACCCCATGACCATTAATAAAAAAGTTGTAA